CTAATGCGGGGCTCTTGTGAAGTATCACGAGCAGGTGGATGGGACTGTAATTTTTTTAGTATCGTTATTTTTGAATTTCAATCGCGATGGCCTAGAAACCACACTCACGATAGACATTCTTGCTGGCTCCTATCCTCGATTGATCAGCAAGCCAGTGCGCTCGTGAGGTTTTGTTGTATACATGATATTTATATTAGCCTTGAGACAGAGAGAAAAAATACCCGCGGAGGAGTCAGAATTTCTCGGCGCGGGTGCGTATGAAGTGAACAGATACATAACCCATGGATCTATCTGTTAGAAATGCGTCTAAATGATCTCTGAAAATATTGCGTCAGCTACAAGCGTCTTTGCCTGCGTATTGAATGAATATTAATAAATAGCTGTAGTGTCTAATTCTAAGTCTATCGAACTACCTCCAATCTGAAAGCTTGACGTTAGCGTTACTAAAATTAAAAATGCCTATACTAGTCTTTGAGCGTGCTTCTTACTTCCAGACGAAGATGCTTCTAGTGGCCGCACTGTCTTGTGCGCACTCTTCGCCCTATCATCTGTCTCCTGAGCATATAGTCTACTTGATCTTACCCGGCTTCTTGTCGACAAGCTCTAGAGGAGTGCTTTCCTCTGAAGAGGAGCACTCTCTTCTGAGCGCCACTCTTCAACAAGCTAGCTGTGACCTTTCTTTTTTTTCCCGCCACCGGCTACAGGGTCCTCTTTTTTGATGCGCTGCAGCCTCTTAAAAACGTTGGAGGACGAAGGCCGTGCGTCTTGGTCAAAAAGAAAGCACTCCCGGATAAGCTGCTTTACCTATAGATAGAGTTGATAGGATAAAGATACGAAGATCAAGGAGGAGAGGAGAAGAGTAGCCGACGAGTTTTTTTGATAATCCACATAAGTGGGCTCGATGTCTTTGATGTAAGGAAACTGGAACTACAGCGAGCTTCGCTCTTCCACAAAAAACAAGCGTCGCTTCGTCATCATCTGAGTGAAATACCGCTTCAATTTCGATGTGGCTTGGAATTGAAGGGCTTTGCTTCTTCACGGTCATTATGTGCGTCAGTGTCGGCATATCTTTGACGCCATCATATGGAATAGTGCCGCCAAATATTTCGCAGAAGATACCTTTGGCAGTCGTTTTTAAGTGGTGACGTAAGCGGATGCCTTGCTGGGTCGTCGTTGATTCATTTGAGATCGAGGCGTAAAACTGTAACTGTAGTCACTGATAGAGATGGCGAATGCAATATCTCAGGAGCATACTAGAACGATGAGAAGCTTAACTCTAAAAGCAGCTCAACGCGTCATCTCCTGTAGGTCAAAATACACGCCATCGCCCAGACGTCGATCTTTTCTGTGATTTTCATCTTCTTGTCGAAAAGCTCTGGAGCCATATATCTTGGGCTGCCTCCATTATGCCCCCTCCCTCGCGCGTTATTTTTGTCGATATACCTTGAGAAGATGCAGCTAAGTTCGATTCTCTCTTTGTGGAAGTACGTAGAAAGGGGGAACATATTCGGGAAAAGTATTCGCTTGTTTGTTCATCAGGAGCTTCAGTTCAGGCAAAAGCCAGCAGAGATATGCGATAGCATTTTTTATCCCCTTTGTGCTTGTGGTTACAGACCTTGTAGCGCTACTAGTCCTCTTAATCTTAATTGCAGCGGCAACCTCCCTAGTTTTACAATTATAAGAGAGTAGTACTCTGTGAGCCCGAAGTCGCACAGCTTGACGTTGAACTGCATATCGAGGACCACGTTTAGAGACTTAAGGTCTCTATGGACTACCACAGGGTCTTGCGTGTGCAGGTATTAGAGCTCAACCTGTTCCGTCTTGGGAAGTATCCTGCCCCTCGTTTTTCCTTCAGAAGCCTCTGCAGGATGCTTCAGAAAATGGACTAGGGTAAGCCTTAAAGGTATTCAACACCCTCGCAAAGCTGCATTGACATATTCATCGCGTGCCTTGTTGGCAATTTCACCTTGCGCACATGCAAAAAATTGTAGAGGGAACCTGAGTAGAGAGACAGTGAGAAATTCACTGGATAGCTGTCGCCGAGAGTGATTTTTTGCGAGGGACTAGAAGAGTACGAGTCTAAGATGCTTTGCGAATGCGTGACTTTCTTCTTTTGTAATGATGTGCCTCTACGTGGTTCAAATTGGTCGCACTAGTTCAGTTGAAGATTGTTCAGTCGATGCTGTGCAACTCGTACCTATGTGCTTATATTATATGTTCTTGACTCTTTCCATAAGTACCTTCTGAAGCTCGTAACTCTAACATGATGAATTTTTACCGTTTGGCATGTATTCTGTGATGAAGCAGAGATGCGGATGCTCAAAACATGCTCCCAAAAAGCAGACCTGGCGGATTCTTGATTGATGACTCTGTAGGACGGTGTTGAGGATGAAGGTCACTCTCTCAGATGTGCATGTCCTCAGTCTCAGAAGTCACTACTAGTACGACGCTTAGGTTTAAGCGAGACAGAGACAAAGTGTAAAACAAAACATAAAAAATAAATAGGGCGACCAGTTGAAGAAAGTACTAGCCTCTTATGCTTGAGCCCTCGGAAGGAGTCTATTTCCTTCTTTAGCTCGTTTATCGCTTGCACGTCGTGCCCCGCTTTGTTTGGGTCCCGATACAAGGCTTTGATTGCTACGTCCATAGGTTCTCCTTTCTCGTTTTGCCTCCCTCTCCAAGTCCCTCTAAAAACCTGGCCAAATTCGCCATTCCCTAATGTTTGCGTTATCTCCAAATCCTTCCACTCTATTTCCTCGATGTGCGCAACTGACATGTTGTATAAATAATAGATGGAAATGACGGATAAAACAGAACCAGCGGCCCTCTGCAAACTGAGTCGATTTCTTAGCCTAAAGATACTTTGCCACGCCCTAATTTCTTGACCTTGTAGAGTCATTTTTTGGCACCGACGTACTGTCTTCAAGCGCAGTATGATCGGAGAAATTACATTGCAAATCAGGAGGGTAAGTGGTCAAGTACTACTTGGCGCGCTGGGCCTCTTGGTTCCATGGATAGAAGCTCCGTGCTGTAAACCACTTTGGAGTGAAAGCCTTGGCGTCGCAATGTCTGGATATGGAGCTGACATCTGCCTTACTACTGGCTGCGATGGTTCTGGGATGGTTGTTGGTAATGTTGAATAGCATGCTAATTAAAAGTTGCTCTAAATAATTTGCATGGTCACTCTTACTACAGTTGTTGCAAGTAAGATTCAAATTAATTTTTGATAACAGTGGTGTGAAAGTAGAGATCTTCAAATCATTTCGGATTGCGAACGTAGAACCGTATGACATCAAGCGACACGGACAAGGTCAACATTAAGGAGAAAGAAAAGCGAAACTATTCAAAAGTACATAAGAAACTACTTGCAATCGTAATTTTCTGCACCTGATGGTTGATGACCGCTCTGGCCTGGGGCTAATACTCTAGCTTCGTTTTTATTTGGCCCGTCTTGGTCTCTCCACTCTGCGCCACTTGCAGGATTCGCTAATATTGGATAGCCGTTTTTCGCAAATGGTGCCTGTAAAATGCTATTGCTGACGCTGAGACAATTGCTGAAAATCAACAAGAAGTTGCTGGCGCTGAAGTTTTCGATGATGTAGCTCCTGCTCTTGCTCATGCAAAACCAGGATGATGAGGCTGTCATCTAGTAAATGCTTATCCATCATTGTTTTTGTTGTACAACAGTAACAGTTGTTCGTAAAAGTGGCCCTCTCCTATGTTTACATAATAAGCATGCAGAAAGACCTCAGAATATCAACAGGATGTAGTTGAAACATCCCTAATACCCCTCCCAGCAGACTGGGGGCCGAAGGCCTGCCCCAGGCCTTTTGATCCATCGGTAAGTTCGAACTTTGAGCTGGCGAGAAACCAAGTCGCGTTGACAATGCGCTCATCTTGATCTAGAAAGCATCATAATATGATCAACTATAGGGAGACTTGAGCTGTTGTTCGTTAATTCTGGTAGGTTGTTCAGGCTGTTCTTGTGGTGGTCGCCGTCGTGCGCGGTGGAGCCTACAAGTAGCGTATTGTTCGTCGCTGCTTCCGCTATGCAGTGAAGACACGCTCTCCTCGAGGTCGACAGCTACAGCAGAACGAGCGACGCCAGCGCTGAAACAGTCCGCCCCGTGCGTTTGCGGAAACAATCGTCGGCGTCGCCGTGTACGTGTGACTGTCAGTAGAGTCCCAGAGCCTTTGACGCCGGCAAGTCCGTGGCTGCTATGCTCCGATCGAACGTTCGCGACCTCCGTGACTACTACGCGAAAGTTGTTGTAGAGACCGAAAAAAGCGACAGAGTAGTATTCTGGTCGTCGTGTTGAGTCAACTACTACTCGGGCAGCGCACGTCAACGACAACCACCTGAGATGATGGCACTCGTTTTCATGTGCTCGCTATCGGTCCTCTTGCCTTCATGTTCCTTTTGTAGGCTAAGTATCCTCGCTCACGTCTGCTGCGTATTTGTATGGGTGAGCTTCTTCTACGTCCAGCTATAACGTGCGTCAGTTTCTATCCTCACTGCAGTCATTTCTATACTTCATCAAAAATGCCACTAGTCCTAGGTTTCTCAGTTCTTAATTTTTCTAGGAAATCAGGCACTTAGAAGGTCCTCGTTAGACTGAAAACCCGCCGAGACCTTATTAATTTATCCTTTTTCACTCGATAGCTTTTTTACCTAGGCAGGCTCACGCCAGGAGGAACCTAAAGGAGGACCGCGAAAAAAGTAGGGAAGAGTAGGCTCATTGCTCGACTGGAAATCAGTCGGCCACTCCATCAGGCTTGGGCTTCTCCGCAGGTTAGAAAGTAGAAGACTCCCCACGTCCAGTGGCTTTCAATCAATCAAGGGGCTGCGGCGCTTGGACTCGAAGTTTAAGATAGCAGAGCTCCTCTCAGACATTTTTGCTGTTGTGAGAACACGTCGCCATCAGGTTCTTAAGTAGTTGGGAAGTTGAGTTCTCTACTTCGACGCTTAATTTCAAGAGTGATAAAAGTGATACTACGTCCGTAGCATGAAAATGAATATCTTCCAACTACTACACGGCCAGCAACAAGTGAGACAATTACGGTCGAAAGAGGGCGCTTTTGGGCCTGGGTCGTTCTTTTTTGGATGTCCATGGGCTGTCGGCTTGGGGACAGCAGAGGGCGACTCTTATTCGAATTTCTGAGGGTTCCATCAGCAGCTTGGCCTTGTGAGGTATCATATGTTTGTTTTTTACAACTCAACAGCTAAGACAGGCACACAACCGTCCTCACTGTACTAGTATAAATCAACTTCAACAAACTACACCAGCACGACCATACTACAGATACTTTATTAGTTCTAAGCAATCTGGACACACATAACGACTTTCGGACATATGGATGCGCGGAACGCTCTACGCACCTGCAATCACAAAGATGATACTGATTCTAATGGAGATGGCCGATTCTAATGATAACAAACGACGACGATGAAGATCATCATTGGAAAAAAGTTTTTGACTTCTAATTCGTGTTTCTTCTGCGACAGCTTTTAGAAAATTGAAATGCCTGAGAATACGAAGAGAGCTACTCTTTTGGGATTCTATCGATGGAAAGGCGTCAATGAATGATTACTGAACCTAGTTCCAATTAGTAAGTTGTGAAAAAACAAAAAAAATGGAAAAAACAATCAACGACAGAGGACGGCCTTATGCCGCCGGTTCGGGAAAAGTAATAAATATAAAGCTGAGAGAGTCATAAACGTCAACAGAGGCCTCCTCCAACTTCTGGAACAAAAGTAATTAAGCTCCAAGCTAGTACTTACCTCGCACAAATCGCGAACAAATATCGCCTAGCAGCTTGGGCTTCGGCTTCGGAGGCTGTAATCGTGAGTTCCTTGCGACTTTGGGGGTCGTCTGGAGACTCGAAAGACAGCAACACTTCTCCCGCAGTCTTGTCATGAATAGCCATCATAAATGCTGCATGGGGTGCAAACTGGATTACTGTGTCTTTCGGACTTGCGCCACGGCGAGCGCTGTGGTGCCAGCGAAAGAAGACATGCCTCTCGGTCAGATACATGGTCAGCTTTTCCGAGAAAGCGCTGCTGGGTTGTGGCTGACGGAAGGGAATCGCTACCGAGATTAGAGGAGCTAGCGTGTCTGTGGGCATCCTTGTTCTTGCGGGAGGCGTCCTTCCTTGGCGCCTTTTTCAAAAACATAACCCTCAAGTAAAGTTGAAAGATAACTAGTAAAGGCGCCAAGGGTAGCACTACCATAAACGCTGAGACGAATGCACCATGTGGATGTACAGAATTAGCCTTAATGAGAGAGCTTCCGTGCACATGAGCCACTCGTCTAGGAACTGTCGAATTCTGGCGCCCGTTGTACTGTATGGTCGCAATACGCGGTCCTCCATGTAGGGCATTCGCGGTAGTCAAATCCTAGGAATACTGTAGGCGCGATGCCTCAGGATAGTATCATCGTTTCCGATGGCTTGATCTCGGATACCCTCAAGGACGTTCTTGAAGCCCTCAGTGACACCGACAAGGGGCTTCGCAAACCTTGCACCAAGCGAAAGTGCTTCTCTTGGGTGCGTCTGTGCTGTCGGACAAAAGCTGTGAGAAGCTGATGCTCCCGAGTCGCAGCCATATCCAGTGTGCCGGATATCTGCTCGATCACGCCCGAAGCGTAGTAGGTAGCATTCGTCGTGCCGGTTATTAGAAGCATTGAAGATACCCATCGACTCTAGAAGTTTGGTGTTTCGCAAATGTAGCACACAGCAAGACGCGGAGAGAAACACGAACTTACTAAGAAGTATGGAGTTTTTCATTATAGCTTGAAGTTAAACTTTCAAGAAAGCCTAGTATGTTGCGCTATTTGTAATACGAAAATTCCCTTCCTCGACGGCTAGCCACATTCTTTTTTTCGGTCAATGGTTACTTGTTTCGCCATAAAGTCGCGTGTTCTAGCCAGAGTGCAAAGGCCGCTGGTTCCAAGAGGTTTTCGCCCTGAAGATCACTACTTCCTTGGGTGTATCGATCTAGTTCGAAAACTTTCTGCTTCGCTTTCTGTTCAGCAGCTGCGTCAGCGCGCACTGTCGATTCTAGCACGTCCTTCCTTGCAAGGAGACCCAGAGGGCGGGCGGCTGTGACTTGACCTTGTTGTTGAGGAGCACCAGCAGCAGCTGTAGGATTGTGTTTCATAGCTTCTTCACGGACTAGGAAATCTTGTAACTGCTGAGCACTCTGCCTTTGCTTTGCGGCAAGTCGATCCACTTCCTCCACCAAGCGATTGCGCTGCCTCCATACTTTGTCTCGGTAGTGAGCGCACCTCTCATGGTTGGAGAACCGCCAGACTGTTAGGTCCGTTAACCCTACTTGTTTCACCAACAAGTCTGCGCCACCCTTCTCTTGCCTGCTATGTAGCTTGCGACCTCCGGTGTTCGGATCAATGTTGAAGAGTTCTAAATTTCGCAACGTGACCACGTAGAAGTTGTTTTCTTCGACTTCCTGAAGAATACTACAGTTTTTCGGAGTCGGAACTTCATACGTGATCGCTAGATTTCTCACCTCCATCCGGATGTTGTCCTTGATCTTGTACTGAGCATCGCGCAACGTTTCTCCCAGACCCACCATGCGCTAGAACATGCCACCACCGCCGCTTGGACATGAAAGAGAGATAAGACCAACAATCATTCTAATTCTATTAACCTACCAAGTGAAAATAAGAGGAGGAGTACTATCAAAGCAAAAATTGAATAAATTGGGGAGGAGTAGTACTAAAGCAATAGACTTGGGCTAGTCGGAATACAACTAGTCCTCCGTCTAAAGACTCGAGATTTTCTACTTCGGGAAGTAGCAAAATACATGCTATATGTCAAACTCATCTACTTCACATTCAAACTCTTTTTCTCAAAAATCTTGTAAGAACACAAGCCACGCCATAAGGTGGAGGAACTCGTTTCGATTTGTATTCGCGCATCATTAGCAACGAGGCCTGCTCTGCGCTTGTTTTGTACTCTGGTTTCAGCCAGTTTTTCTGAGTCGCCGGCTCTGCACGACGTAGCCTGCTTGATCGTTATCTTCAGGTCCTAGGTTAGAAGAGTGGAGCACTCAGAGCTCCTGACGCTATGCCTATGTCTAGACCCAGTTCCAATATCCCTAAGCCGACAACCAGTATTAAGTAAGATGTTCTATGGTCGTTCTTGGATTACCATGTGCATGTGCTGTGGTATCATTCAACAAACGAGCTGGCAGACGACCACGCGCATGTACTGTGGTATCATTCAGCGAACAAGTAGGCAGACTAGGAAAAGGACGAGATGAGTTTTCACCAATATTCCTCAACAAGTAGGTTGACCCGAAGACAAGGTAGTTCTAGTTTCTTAACTTCAACAGCACGCACAGATCGCCAGTTCGCAGGAGATGGAGCCAGCCTTGGTCCTCGCCTTCTTTACCCACAGATATCCGCACCTCCTCCGCCACGCCGCCCACGTCAAACGGTAAGCCTAAGAGCTCTTGCACTGCGGCAGACCGCAGACGACAGTTGTGCAAGGAGAAGCCCTTCTTTGTGACAAGGTCAAAGATATTGCTGCTACTTCCCTCTGAGGATGATGCAGGAGCTCGTCCATCTGTGCCAGTTGTAGCGGTAGCATTCTCGTCGAACTCAAGGTAGGTCCCTAGCCTGTCACGCAGCACGCCCATAACAGTTTCCTGCTTGCGCTGCAGCGGCAGGCTGTTGTAAAGCAGTGACCCGACTGCCGACATCTTTTTTCTGGGCTTTCTTATTATGCCACAACTTGTGCGGACACCGGTTGTTGTATGTGCTCAGCCTGCTCCTAGGCTCCCGTAGTCTACGCTCTCGCTATGGTGCGTGGAGGACACGACAGCATGCGTGGCGAATTGTACACCAAGCATTGCCATCATCCTGTTTTCCGTGGACGCGAAGTCATTTTCTGGAAAAAATCAAGGAACGGCACCTGGATTGAGTTGTTAGGGGGAAGAAGGTTCATCATTGTTGAAATTAATAGCTTAGTCATGAAGAACAAACCTTATAAATATTTCTCCTTTTGCATGAGCAACAGCAAGCGGTAGATGGTAGATACAAGAGGAGCCCGCTTTCTCCTAGGAGAGTGAGGTCAATGCAAGATAGAAATTCAAATTACCCCGAAGTCAATAGATTTCTTCCTTCGACCAGCTCTAAAATCTTGAATTGTGCTTGGAAGCGAATGACGGGTCTAGCTGGGTCTTTCACTGGGCAGAGCACGAAGCCCTTTCGCGAATCCTCTTCAGCGATGCCTCCTGGTCCTGAGACTTTCACCGTAATACTTTCTCCTACTGTTGCATAAGCGACCTCTTGCTCGCCGATTATGAGTTGTCCATCGAAGGCATTTTTCTTATTGTGTTCATTTTTTTCTGAGCTTACATATCCTCATCTCAGCGAGGATCTCAGTTCCTGTTGACAACATACATTGTTGCGATGTCGGGTCAATTAGCAGTGAAGATCATTTTTCAATACACAACCACCTGAAGATAAACCAAGAACAGCAGGCTGCTTACAAAAATATACCTTGACTCACGAATAGAAGAAACAGCTACGACATTCAGCTCCCGTAATACAAAGCTGAGATCCTAGGCTACATCTACTTCTGTTTATCTCTAAGTCAGTGCCTCTTCAACTCTAGATGCCACAAGTAAGCCGGGAAAAAATCTCGTACCAAAAACTCGCCCTGATGGCGTTAGTTCATGGTAAAACCGACGTTGAGCTTTCGTTTCCTCTTTTGTCTTCGTGGTTTCAGAGCAAAATATAATGAGTCATTCTAGTGGTATCGTTTTGTAGGATGAAATTTTGTAATATTTGATTGCTACAACATCAAGGAAGGCACAAAAATGGACGTCGTCTTCGCTTTGATATGGACATTTATGATCGTTTTCACTTGGAGATGCTGTGCCGGTACTTTGTGAGGATTCCACGCCTGCCCAGCATAAAAATTTCGATTCAGTTTTGGACTCACGCAAACCCTCGACTGAAGGGATGACAGACTTCCTCTAATTCCGAATTGGAGAAATAGAAACCAGAGGGCGAACAAGATTGTCAAACAAGAGTCTTCTACGAGGACTTGTGTTGAAGAAGACAAGAATTCACCTGCAGGCACTTCTGATCTTCTTTAGCAACGCCATAGTACTAGTTGCTGGTGTAGTTGAAATAGTTCAGGTTTAGCATCATCCTGTGTTGAAGTCTTTATACAATCTTTGCTTCGAGGGGACACCTTCTATAACCCGAAAAATGCTGGGGAGCGAGTTCTTGTCGGGGCGTGCGCTTATCTGTATTCTCAACAGCTTCATGAGGCTAGCCGCGCTTGGATGGCTTGGGCAGTCATCGCTAGCATTACAAATTCTATTTTTGTGGAGACTAAGCGATTATTTCCAATACGACTCAAGGAAAATGATTGAACTACTCATCATTCATGCGTGTTAAAGTTTCAAAACGTAATTATTAAGAAAGCTTAGTTACGCTTACGAATTTATAGAATACTAGAAGCGTCTATCTCGATAGTGGAAGTTCTGTGGTGTAATGCTTGTCGATCCTGTGATAGTGACACTGACACTAAGGAAATGTAAAGGGCAAATTCTTTGAAGCATAGACTGTCAGCGAGCCGATGGCTCTTGTGCCCCATGCCTCCACCACACTGACCCATTGCGTCTTCAATCAACGGAGGATCGTAACGATATAAGCTGTGTGTACGATCAGCGCCCAAACATTTATAATCAAATATTTGTTTGTATAATTCCTGTAGTACTACAGTTCTAGCTGTTCCTTTAGTATTCATCTCAAAGCAAGTGATGGTCAGTACTACAACTACAAAAGATATAAGAAGTAGCGAAAGACGTTGGTCGTCGGTACAACTACAAAAGATATAATTGGATGAGGGGTCGTGGTGGACATATTACCTCCGAATGACTGGAGATTGATTGAGATCATCATTTTGTTTCGTTGGGCCTGGCGGGGACTATAGAATTCTCATAATTTAGTATCACTTTCTGGCTATTCTGCCACAACAAGTGCATTTGGTGCTTCCTCGTCCAGGTCCAGGCAGTGCATGATTATTCTGGAAAGAGTCTAGCTAGGATTGTCAAGCCCTAACATATTATTCTCCCACGACTTTTCGAGATGAGCTGATACTCAGTAAACATCTTGCCCGCGTTTCTCTTATCGCTATTCTTCATGCCACTATCAAGAAAAGTCGTGCATTTATTTTACAATTTTACATTATATGTTTAGAAAAGGGACCCGTTTCCACCTCCTCCAATTTTCCTTATTTTTGTTGGTTTATCGGATCTCTCTACCTGAATCCCGAGTTGCGGAAACATTTCCATGTAGTTGGAGTCTAGATCTGCATATTCGAAGATGATGCGGTCGCACTCGACAGGATCGCCGATAAGCACAACTGCGTCGCCTTTCTTTGGCCCCATCCCGTCTTTCTCCAAGGAAAAGAGATGTGCGTTATCATCCGATACCCACGAAGTAAAGCGGTTAATAGCGTTTTTCAGATTAGAAGGCGACGATCTTCAAGGGAGGTTGAGGAAAGAGAGTAGATTTAACTAAGTAGTTTGCGAGGATGTTGGGGATGAAGGATAAAGACGATATAATCATAATGGAAGATGGACGAGCAGAGAAGATAGTAGCGATTGAGATTATACGTTGTTCAAAGTCCTTCTAGTACTCAAACTCGACGAGCTCGGAAACAAGAACCCACTACACATAATTGATTTTGGTTCAAGGGGAATATACCACCTGCTACTCAAGGCTGAACTCGATGATGTGGCCAACCATTATTAACTAAGAAGTAATTGTTCTGTGATGAAATTCTATGAAGATGTGTCTACTCATAATCTTCAGCTGCTGAATTTTCGGGTTCTGGCATATTTCCATGACGCTGCGCCTCTGCCCTGGTGCTGCTTGAAGCTGAACTATCATTTCGCGAGTATTAGAGCTTACCTTAATTCATCTTTATTAAGTGCATCTTTATTAATGGGCTTTCCCCTTGTTCAGCAAAGGCGTCAAAGATGCTTCTCCAGAGATGAATTTATTACGGGAAGCCTTAAGAGTAACGAGGTTGACGCGGTCTCGCTTGTCATCAGGACCATTTGGCAAATTCGCACAGGGCACCGAAGTACCAGAGACACCTATGTGTGTAGGTCGTTTGGATCTCTAAACTTACAGTTTGTAGTATCAAGTATTGCCCTGTCTTGCTAGAAGAACATCAAACACTTCTATGTATAGTGATGAGTTGTTGAGTCCATTCTTCATCAAGCAAGTAAATATAAAAGTACACGTAATCGCCTCTCCTCCGAGTGATGGTTTTTCGTCCTGTCCTCGTTTGCGTCTGTCGCTGGTTCCAAATGCGTCACTGTACAGACCACGTCCTGACTGCCCCTGCCGAGGAAGATCCTGTCGCACTCTTGCTGCATTACTTACGGCATTCACTGATGCCAAAGTTCTGCCGGTTCCTGCTCCAACTATACTACTAGAAAAGTTGTCTCCTCGTCCACCTCTAACTTAGACGAGGTTGCGAGGACATTGCATCCTTCTTGAGATCCGCCCTGAGGACCCTTTGCGTTTTCCTACTGGAAAACAAGTCAAGGATCATGGCAGTGAAGACAGAATGCAATGTGGTACCCCTTAACTAACATCTTTTCCAGAAGCACCTAGGTCTCGGTCTCGGTCGCCTCTACCGAGAGGGTCTCTCAAGGATGAAAAGAGGCCCATGCTTTGATTCCGCTGGGACATCGGGTCTGCTCGTGCCTTATCATTGCTTTTGCTACTATGATCGAGACCACCTCTCACATTTCTGTCCCGACCATTAGTCAACCCGTTTTGTCGTGGTAGTCGTTGAGAACTAGCTGCGCTTCTTGCGCGCTGTTGTTCGAGTTTCCTAAAGGCATCATCGTCGGCGGCGCCAGTACCTTGAACGGAAACCATCATGAGTTCAGGTCTTTCTTTTTATCTATGAATTTGCACACAATGCAGTGTCTGTCAATGAACTAAGGTGTGTTATTGAGCATGAAACTCATTTCTATACATAGTTGAGAAAAGGAGAAGGACAGTCATCTGCTTCTACTGCATAAAAGCATAGTTAGACATATGTGAAGCAGTACCCAATTCTCTGCTTCGCATTTGTCGGACTACGTCAAACGCGTGTGCTAAGCGTTTACTGTCGTCCGCAAACAAAGCAGTCTGCAACTGATCTGCAGCGTCGCCTAAACTCAGCACCTCCTTCCCGTCAAAGTCTTTGATTACGACCTCATCTGCACCAATTATGTCGTCGACGCCTGTGAAGATGCAAGAACGGATGTTTTTGAATTTTGATGATCTTTAACATCATGTTCATGATAGACATGAAGCTAGAAGTCTAGGGTCCGTCATAGACATAGAAGTTATTCTGTTCCCTAAGAGGCATATAGCGCCTACACTTTTTTTTGTTTTTATCATAAGTACCCAACGCCACAGCATCTGCTCCATCGTCAAAGGGATGCGTTGCCACTTGAGTCATTATGGGATCCTCAGAGGGTGCGGCAAACGGATTCCCTGGCACCGGAGCTGAACTTTGATCCATTTTGCCAGTGCTAGGTTTGTTTCCTAGGATTAGAACTAAGAGAAATCCATCTTCGGACTCGTCTTGGTTCCCCCGTTTGTTCCCTGATGAAGAACGGGAGGACCAAGATGCTAAGGAAGGTGGATTTCGTGTAGCCATAATAGGAGAGCGTTGTTTTTTTTCTTGCCACCTTTTGGGGCTCGAACGATATTGCCATTTTCGTCGAGGAGACCGTTTTCGTACGCGGTGTAAGTCGCGACGCGACCACCGTCAAGAAGGTGGAAGTAGTCAGCATAATTCTCCAGTATCTTATGAACTTTGCGTTCAAAACAAGCCGGAATCTCTGCCAAGAGCTTCTTCACCTTTCATTTGTAAGCAGAAAACAAGATGAAGATCATGTTCGATAGATACAATGGGTACTAGAGTTCATCTTCAAATGCAGTTGTGTTGTTTGATAAACATTCATGGCACATGGAATCGGACTTGTCATCTCCTCAGATTATAATTGATTGATTGATTGATTGATGTGCCTGGCATAAGGTCTCTTAATGACACTGACTATGGACGTTTTGCTGCTGCATACTTTATTAAAGTACTTACGTAGTTGTTACATTTTCATCGGAGCTGATGACGTTGAGACTGCAGAGGCCCTCGTTGTCGTCGATGATGGTAGCGATTCGTGGAATCAGCTGATTCAAGACGGCATTCCGCTGCTCGCTTTGAAACTCGGTTGGCGCCATTTTTGAGAAGATTTGGTACAACTAGGAGAACAAGTGGAGGTTACTTTTTTTGATTTTGAGTTTTTTTGTCGACTATGAAATATCTTATGCTTGAAGAAAAAATCTGGCAACCTAAGGGCATCAATCTCTTAATGATAATAATGATCTAGCTCTACTTTGTCGTTATTCATGACCTGTTGTATGGAAGAAAGAAAGTAGAAGTAATTTATCTAAGAAATTTGAAACCTGTTCTGAGAAAAGGTATGATCTCGGTAAAACGGTTCCTTTGTGGGATAGGATAGCAGAGGAGTTGACTCGCCGTCCACAGTTTGAACTGTATCCCCAGGCGAATATGTGAGGAAGAATAAGGAGATTTTGATGCCAGCAATAACAATAATTAGTAAGCGCGAGATGATAAGTGCCAACAGTTCATTCGAGCTTGTCTAGCAGGTTAGGTTAGGTTGTGAATCCTTCTCAGCGAGCCTCACGGGCACATGCTCGCCTCCGAGGATGATGGGTAAGGACCTAGGTAAGGTCATTGTCTAGCAAAAATGCCAACAGTTCATTCAATCTTATAGCGATTGTCAGTTTCTTTCAGAGTGCCTGATCGTACTTCAATGATGGAACTTCTACAAGAACAAGAGGCTTGTACTAGATTGTTTTGTTGCTTCCTGGTCAGGGACGTCGATCAGCATCATGGAAATGAACGAACGTGGTGAGTAGATCAGCAGGTTCAAGATCGATTTGGAGAAAGCTTCAGATCATTTTCGTCTCCAGCAGTAGCGTTCCTGAAGAGAGCTCTCGTCTCTTTTGCAATCTGCAACAACACTAGGTATACGTATAGGAGAACACCAGTAACCAATAGAAGTTGGTCGAGTGCTGCTCTATTTCTCCATTTCTAAACATAAGCTGTGACTGTTGACAAGTTGTACAAGCTGAATTTCACGCCAAATTCATATTCGACATATTCCAACTACAATCGAACGTCGGCAATGCGTCTCAAGTGATCGCTCTTGATCATTGTTGCATGTTGCGGCATATGTTGCATGTTGAGTATTCTGTTATTACATATTAATGACCGTTTCGTATTTTTTCATGATTTTTATGCGCTTCCACTTTATCAACAAACATGAACATGTCTACTTAGTATCAAACCATCGTTGCTACAATTACTATTACATCTACATGTAGTCTTAAACTACTTTTGTCGCTTAGTCCGACCCAATTCTCGTGTTTCAGTTCTCGATGTTATATTCATCACAATTTCTATGCACATTCTATATACAAGTGAATCATTTGAATCAACCATGGCGTTCTACTCTCATCCTTCTCACCGAGGCGCTTCAGTTATCGATCTCATCCTTGTCGACGTGCATATATTTCTTCTCTTTCCCCTGGGAGAGGTGGCAGGGTGTCACTGTCTCCGCTCATTGGCATCTTCATCCTCTACGGTTGCACTGTCTCTCAGGTCAGGCAGCAGCTGCCGTCACCGTCTGCGTCCACTGGCGTTTTCGCCCTCTTAGGATCTGCTAGGCTTCCCAGGTCAGGATTAATGCTGCCGTCACCGTCTCCGCCCTGTGGCGTCTTCATCCTCGTAGGATTTGCTCTCGCGTTTCTCGCTTCAGGTGGAATGCTGCCGTCATCGTTTCCGCCCTGTGGCATTCGAGTCTCCTTGATGTCGTTAGCTAGCGCGTCTCCATAATTTGTGTCGTCATTCTGCATCGTGGTCATCTGGTTGTTGCTGGTGTTCTCTTTGATGGTCCTCTTGTGCTTATTGTGCTTACGGTTGTTCCTCGTGTTCTTGCCTCCAAGCCAATGGGGCCCCAAACTATGTTTTCTCTCGTCGAGCGCCAAAAAACCCGTCGCTTGGCGAGTATTTTCCTCGACCTCGATGTTGATCGCGCACACCTCCTGTGCTACCATAAGAATAAGCGTCCCGAAGCGGCATCTCGGAAAGTTAGAATGCGCGATCCTCACCAAAATGCTCTACTCTAGCGCCTCATCATGTACTTAAAAATGAAGAGACGCTCGTCTGTTGTACTTGTAGCTGATGCAACTTCTGATAGTAAGCCGAAGCAGAAGCAGTAATCACATCAGATCTATCTGGCAAGTGTGGTGGTAGAATAAGTATCTATACTGATTAACATCTGGCAATCAGTGTTGTGATTCGTTCATTGGCTGTTGAACGAAAGAAAATGGCAGTGGAACACAATGAGTGTGATGCTTAGATCTGGCCATAACAAAAGCGACCATTTTCGATCTTAGAAGTGGAGGTGTAGACGCAAGTCGGGATGAATTTCGACCCAGATATTACCTGCATTGTGCATAATGGGTTAACGAGACCCCTAAGCCCTATTAATAGATGCATCGCGCATATAGACGATAGAGCAAATATCTTAAAGCCAAAGAGTGTAAGGCATTGATTTAACGAACTTGTTGAGGACGTTGAGAAGCTTTCGGCTATGTATCAGCTGTTCCTAAGACGATAGAACAAATATATTTTCAGTCACAGTCTCACTAGTGACTAGAAAAATCACTATACTACCAACTGGCTCTGGTGATGTTTACCTTCCGAGATCAGCAAGATGGTGACAAAGTAAGCTCTTACCAGAATGTTGATTCAGTCCAGTCCCAGCAGACGTTTTTCGTTTTCGGCTGCGCGCTAAAAATAGATAGTCAATTGCAGGTCCAATAATTCGTCCGCGCGCCCAGCTTCGGGATACGCTTAATGTATCCGTCCGTTTTTCCACCAGTTCTTCGAATGAGTGCTATCTTTTTTCTGCGTCCTGTGAAAAACTACTTCGAGAAGTCGTGTTTCTTTACTGTCCTCCCTACCTGTGAAGTTGAAGCGACTAGAAGATCCTTGCGTGCTATGTGGGAGAGATATAATGATCACGGGTGGTCGTGGTGAGGTCTCCTCCACATAAAGCTATCATGAACCGAAGGGGACGAAGCGCGAAATTCAGGGGGTCCAAGAGGAACTACATGGACATTGTCTGATAGGATATCAAACGACCACGACGACCGATAGATTTCCTAGAATACTACGACTCACTCGCCATGCGAGTCTCGTTCTCTCACTCGTATGCGCATGGTCAAGTTCTTTCACATGTCAACAAGTAGAAGCTGCTCTTGGACCACCGAGTCTTAGAATTGAGTCTTTCTTGCTCTTTTGTGAACTTCTACCACCGAATATCTGTGCACTTTTCTAGTACGAGCATGATCGTTCACTCCACTCTAGCTGCCAAGGCTCACTGACTCCTAACAAGATTGCAACATTCTGTTGCATATATATTTGCGCCAATTCCCATGTTGCAAAAATTGAAATATTACATCCAAAGCGTACTTAGTTGATCACGTCTCCTGCAAAAACAAGGCTGTGTGAATGATCCTTGTCCGACAATCTTCAGCACTCAAGAGAGATCAGTCGAGTTGAATCAAAGAGAGTGATGCTTTCTTCGCTATTTTTTCCAGTAAGCGCACGACGTCTTTCGCCATGAGCCTTCGGCCGTGAACGCCAGACACGTACTTCTCAAGGTCAAGATATTCTTCTTCTCCGCCTAGTTGCCCGAGCACATGTGTACTGGCGACTTCAACTTCAAGTACTCTGATTGATTCTGAATGCTCAGGAGATGAAATGGTGGAAGAAAAGGAGCGATGCTGCTGTGATGGAAGATCCAAGCGGAATTTTCAAGCTCTATTTTTATTTCAATTCGCTCGATGTTGTGTGGAAGCTGGTGTATTCTGGAGGTACATGATGTCTTTGACCTACTGCTTCTATTTGGAAGAACGGTTGCGCTCACAGGGGCACGGAGAAAGGGGTGCTGACGTCGTTTTCGTTTTCAGATTCAGATAATCATCGAATATCAATATTGCAATTGCGGAAAATGAAATACCACTCGCACTCCATAAATCAATTAAATAAACATTGATGTCGTCCAATTTGTTGTTTCTTGCCGTCCACTTTTCGTAATTTCAATTTCAAAATTAATAGTCAAGCTTCACGAGAGTTATAGAACATAGCCATAAGGATATTTACTTCATCAAACTCTGGCAATGGCAACAAGAAAGATAAAACTTAAGTATTTCAACATTGGTCTTCACTTTTGCCCGTATTCCCTAGGAAATCCGCTTCGGCTTCGCGTTCTTTCTAAATCATTGTAATTCTTATCAATCTTCATGTCTACTTCACCAGGACGAATAAGTACTTTCTCACGACCATGAGCAGCATTAATATTCGGAAAAAATATATTATCAATGTTTTGCATAGAATCAATTGTATCGTAATCCAGTAGTAATACGAGTTTTGGTTTTCGGGCGCGTCGCTCGTCTCATGAATCCAACCCCCATGCGATTGCGTGCGATCTCACATAGCTCTCCATTTCTTCTAATGTGTAGAAATGTTTACTCCCGTTTTGTTTCTTGCACCGCGCCGCGAAAAGATGGGCGTACCGTGTATAGCTGCACATCGGGTTGGTCTCGATAAAATACGCTCCCCCGTTGCATACAGCAAAATCATGTCCGAGCATCGGCATGAAGTCCGTTTGGTTATGCGCCCATTGGGCGAATTCAAGCATCGTCGCGAAAAAGGGAATTTCCATGTACCCGCCGTATCCGCCACCTAATTGATTGTAATTGAACAATCCGAAGAGGAACGAAACGAGAATTGACTCACTAAGTTGGTCGTGCTGGAGTTTGATTTAGGACGGAAATTTTTGCTCTTTGCTTCTACTTGATTTCAATTTGGCGTACAAAAATTAGATTTTCCAATTCCAACCGTCAAGTTTCTTCATGTGTATTTCATACTGGCGTTCGAATTGGTCCGCACACCGTAGCGCGTATTCGTATTGTGACTCTTGTCATTCTCTTTCTCCTTTGTCAGGAATTCTACTTCTTCTGGGAGTTCTTCGACCAAAAGTGAATTGTTGCGTTTCCCGTTGGAGATTATCTCGTGCTCGTCAGGAATGAGAAGTGCTGCGACGAAGTCGCGATCCCGGCCCGCTCCAAGCCGCTTGGTCCAAATGCGAATCGTAACCAATGGGTGGAACATACCTTATTTTTGAAGTTCGTCGAAAGTGGAAAAAGCCTCTCACTTTGCCTCTGTAGACGTAGATGATGCCACTTACGTCGTCGAGAGACCACGACTCGAAGATTTTTGTTACAACGTGGGACAGAAGAAGATGAAAAAAAAACTTACGGTAAATTTAATTGTTGAGTACAACAAGTACTTTTGACGAGACCGTGGCGCAGCAAGTCTTGCTGAAAGTCGCGGGATGTCACGAGAAGTTCCTCAAAGAGCAGGAAATCGACCCGCGCTTGGTTCCAATCCGCTTTCCTCGTCTTGTACATATCGTGGATAACCGCCAAGTCGCAGATTTGAGTGTCCTCGCCGTAAGCCCCCGTTTTGGGCTTCACAAACACAAGACAAGAAGCCGTGGCTTTTGTTGAGAAAGTTGAACATCAGACTTCAGTACAGCTACAAGTAGATGGAAAAGTTGTGTAAATTTTCGATCGGCAGGTGGGTGTGCTTGATGTAGTTGAGAATGTTGAACAGAATTCTTGCAGCGTGCTTCTCGCTACCCCTGAGTTTTGGAAAGATATTCATTAATCGCGCCGGCTGCAAGATGAGCGGTCGTCGTCCCATAGAAACAAAAACAAGAATAAAATCTGCTTCACTTTCAGCCACCTAGGCGGGTTAATCGTGAAGATCATATGGCAGAGAAAAGCTAGTCACCTCTCTCACCACAACAAGATCAAAACTCGACCCGCCAACTAGTAAAGAACGTACTAATTTCCGATTGAGTACCCTCGACCTCGTCTTCACTTTGCTTCGTCATGAGTTCCGTCTCGCTTTGTAGTGGTCGATCCGCGATTCTGTATCGATGTGGGAAGCGGACTCGCGTCGAGGATAGGGGACATGCCCCACTACCAACACCGCCAGCGGTCTCATCTCCAGACAGATATCGCGTTTTGTAGAAGTGTTGTTGTTTCTCTTTGTCGGCCAGCATTGCGAAGACGGCCGGGTACTTTTCTCGGAGCACCAGCATGTCGATGAAAACGTGGTGGCAATCGCGGAACAACCACGTGTCCCACAGCAGGAATCCAACCGCTGAAAGCACCAACTCCATTACCGCGAAGGGGAGGACGTAGGTTGCCAACCACCCTGCCCACGCCCCAAATTGCTCGGTCAGCATGTAGGGAAAATCGTGCGCGCGCACCGACGGGTCGTCGCCACCTTTCGTCTTGTCGTTCCGACAAAAATCTGGCATGAAGTAGTAGTCGGTCTGAATGCGGGCGGCGCGGGGTAGTCGCAAGTAAACACCGAAGAGACCACGAGGATCGCGAGAAACTCCCGCATTAAGCGGCCAAGCCTTGTTTTCGTTTCGCTTGTTCGTCAGCATCGCGTTGTCCTCCTCCAAAGTTACGCGTGAAGACTCCCCGTCAGCGTCCCGTTTGCCATCTTGGTGCCGATGGCGAGATGTTGGGCTCATTCTCGACCGTACCGATTAGCAAGATTTCGCAGCAAATTGGTATTTTTGCGCTTACTGTTTACTTCTACTTGATTCTGCTGAAAATAAATTCAGTTTCAGAACGTGCAGATGGTTGTCGTTCAACAGGAGACCCGGTATGATGATTGCAGTAAACGGACGAGCGCAAGTCTGGGAAAGGGAATGGACTGCTGGATACGGATAGCAGTAGAATTATTCAAGAATCCGAACTTCATCATGATCACTGCCACTTATCCCAGATGAAAGAAGCAGTGAAACAACTGCTCACCCTCAAGTTGAACACTGAAAAAAACGACTTCCCCACGCTTTCCGCTCAGGATTGTAAGTTTGGTTTGCATGAGAACAAATTGAACGAAAGCAGTCTCAGTCATGGACAGATCATTAAACTTTAGCGATTTTGGTCTTAACTTAGGGCGAGAGGGACGCTCAGGATTGTAAGTAAAGACTCGATGTCAAGATCAGCATCAAGCTCGAGTGAAATGCGTTGACGCTAAAGCAAGTTGTTTTCCTTCGTAGTTCTTTATATTTTCTTTGTACTACTAGTACAAGTACTAGTTCATATTCCTTCTAAGTATTAAAAGGCGCGTGGATTGGCGTCCTCGTCGTCTTCATCATCCGAAGCGTCCCCGTCTAGGCTTTTTTGAGGAACAAAAATTCGATATGTCACTTCACCGATGGGACGCACGAGTCAATGGAGTGGACTTCAGCCACCTCTGCCGGCGCTCAGAGAATCGCCTTTGACGCGTTTTTCAAGCGAAAGCCTTGCTCGTTCGCTTGCAGCATCTCAGAGAGGCAGATGTCGTCTCCGTTCAAGCAAGGGGGGACGATAGGCACCTTGAACAGTGCGATCCGCAGATCGTGATCGGTTGCCTTCTGTGACGTATGCTTTCCCGGTGGATGAAACTCTATATGCGCCTCATCGACTACTTCTATCTGCTTTCCACCTTCTTGACGTTGCCACGTCCTTTCGTCTCTCGGATGAGATGTTGTAGTTTCTAAGAATCAGTTGTAGAAGTTGTAGAGGTTTTACTACGCTGCCCTTGGTTCTTTGGGGTGCTCATCGCTTTTACTTAAAGTAAGTTCTTGTTCATCGTCTCCGTGCTAATTTCAAAAAATAGTACGTAGAATGGTTATTTGTTCACGAATAAAGATGTTGTTCCTACTTGTAGTAGTTATCGTTCACTATTTCAAGTCTGTCTGCACCAGAAGGAGTGCGTATACTGCCATGTGGTTGTGGCCAGCAGTGCCTCTGTGGCCTCCAGTTGATCATTATCCTCCTGTTGTAAGTATGCAGGAGAGTTTAAGTTTTCCGTGTCGTGTTCATCTGCATTTCTCTAAATCGTAAACTGACCTTTTCCCGGTGGATGAAACTCTATATGCGCCTCATCGACTACTTCTATCTGCTTTCCACCTTCTTGACGTTGCCACGCCCTTTCGGCTCTCGGATAATGATAGGACTTTTGCTCGGACGCGGACTGGGTTCCCTCCACAGCCTTCCTAAAATCTGGCACTTCTTTCACTGGGGGCGGTATCCACATCTCATACGCCCATTGTCGGAAGTGGGATCCAAACCGTGTATTCCACAGGAAATTAAAGAGTGCTCCTTTATTGGGGCATTTTGTTCCTCTTTCGACCAACTTTGCAAAAGCGAGCTCAGAGCCATGCGGAAAATGTGAAGCCTTTACAAAGACTGCGTGCAGAGCTCGGGACGCGGCTCTTGCTTCCGGGACAGTGCGAGTTTGGGAGATAAGTCTTTGTTCAGTGTTGGATCGGATTTTTGCAAGAAGTTGATGTGCTCTATCTTCTTGGTCGACTGCTTTCTTAGTCTTAGAAGACACACAATTCTTTTTGTACATCGAATTCAATGTCGATAGCGAAAGCGAGTAAGAAAGGGACTTTCGAATAGCATCGACGACGCTAACATCTTGTGCAGTTATATCGACGAGTTCTTTGTACGATGTTCTACTTGAATCACCTACGGATACGCCATCAGCTCTTTCTTCATCCTGTCGTGTTTCTTCACCATTAGCGCGACTAAAGGAATCTTTTGACGAGCTACGTCTCGCTAGCCAGTGGCGCCTCGTTCGTCTGGAAATCGCAGCGGGCACGTCTCGGTCTCGTGCCTGTGCGTCAAGGTCTCGTGTCTCTGATGAAGATTCAAGTTCCTTACTGGTCTGCGAAGGTGATAGTGATTGGTCTAGTACTTCAAGTTCTTGTACAGGATGTGCTACATCTTTCTCATCGGTAGAGACAAGCAAGTCGATGAGTTTCAAGACACTGGGCAAGGACTCCAGATGTTCGATTTTCATCGCTAGATCGTTGGGCAGAAGTCGTGGTCCTTGGGACCACACGTCGTAAAAAATTCTCTGCGTCGGACGAGGAACGAAAATATACTTCAAAATCTCGACAGCTAGGGCATCAACAGGATGATCTGCTGCACTTGTGTCATCAATTTTCGTTTCATCATCATCTTGCATTTCTTGCTTACAACTGTTCCGCATTTCCTCTTCACAGAGTAGCTGCTGCGCCTGGATTGGTTGGGGCGTTTCCTCAGCATCTTGAAGATCGCTTTCCTCTGCAAACATTTCTTTCACTTTTTGCTCCACGAATTCTTTCACTCTGTTGAAGATAACTTGCTCGAATCCTTCTTCGTCCTGCTCTTCAACTTCAGATGAAGTACCATCTTCAAGGTCCACGTGTACTGTAGCAGGCGAGGTATCAGAAGATGGAGAGTCAGAGGAAGAAGATGGCTGATGGTCTGAGTGAGGTGCTCGCGTAGAAGTCACAGTTCCGAAGGATGTTGACCTTGACCCTTTTTTTAAAGTCGGCGTACTAGTTCTTGGAGGTGTTCCACATCCACTTGGAACAACAGTTTTACTATCATCTCTACCAGGTCGTAGTTCAGGTAATGCTGACGTAAAAGTGGAGCTGCTTCCTGTCGTGCCACTCCCAGTTACAACTCTCCCGTGACTCGTAGCAATCGGAGGTGGATCACTAGCAATTCCTAGTTGCCGCAGTTGCTCAGCAGTAGTAAGCGGTCGTCCACTGGAGGAAGTTCCTGCAGCAAGACCAAAGGGATCAATATGGTTGATGGCATCAACATCATGGAGAGGATCACGTCCCCCAACTCTGAGTACCCAAGATGAGTGAGCATCATCCGCTACCCCGACAACGTCCTCTTGTGGTCGAAAGAGATTGGGTAATTCCGAGAACTGACAAGGACCACTGTAGAGCGTTGATATGGGTACTGCTAGTGGCAAGGCTGAGATCCAGGGTGGAAGCACGCTACCTCCCATTTGAGGCGCGGCCCCGCCTCCCATCAATTGACCGCCTCCACCTCCAAATAGAGCATTCTGCGGTAGGCCTAGTTGACTTTGTCCGTTCTGAGAGTCAGTAGCACCATGTTGCCCGTCTGCTCCGAGAAGGGAACCTGCTGAACCTCCTGCAATTCGAAAAACCACGCACTGAGCGAGGCTTGCGCCTCCAATCACGGTAAAGATTAGTGTCCTCGTTGTAGTCCCCATCTTTGCTTTATTTACTTGTAGTTGTAAAAAAATCTAGTACAACAGGTACAGGTTAGTTTGTGCTGAAAAAATAAAGACGGCGTAATTGTATACAATTGAACTATGCAGTTGTGTTGATGTATTGAGCAAAGGTATAAAAATCATGAAAAGCGATTTTCTAATTCAGAATCTGTCGCACCTCGATCAAACGAATTAAGTAAGTAAAGCAATAAAGTCTTGTGTCAGAAATTTACTTCCGGAAAAGCAAATGTAGGCTCAATTGTTGTACTAGTTAGAAAAAGTCATAGCTAGTACAGCCTCAAATTGTAATAATTGATCCTCAATGCAAGTCTTAGTTTTCTCGACGTCGTCATTCTTCATAGATAAGTAGATCATCCCTGTAGGTTTTTCAACAGGAGAAGACAATCAAGTAGAATGAGCGTGTAAGTGTATTTTAGTCTTGATCCTCTACTATCCGATCATATTATTGCATTCCTAGCTCGTTGTACTGAATTCTCTGTAATATTTCACGATAAGACTAGTTTGGGTAGTATTGCAGAATGGAGGTGCTCATTCTGATTCAAGGCCATGATCGGTTTTCCTCAGGGACATTTGTTCACCGCGTTGACCCTAAAAATGATCGCGATGATAGCACCCACCGTTGCTGTTCAAGACGGACCTGTTCGCGATCGTGCAGTGAACATATCGATACGCAACTGAGGCGCTCCTGTGGAGATCCTTATGTTCAATGTCCCGTATTCCCCTGAGATGTAGCTGTCTCATAAGATCCACAAAGCGCGCATTGTGGATTCATTTTCAATACCACGATGGAAGTAATTGAGGACTGCTTACTGAAATTGAATCTAAGAATCTCTTGTTCAGCAAGACGCCATGATCATGCCCGCAGGTTCAAAACGATTAGACTACTTGTAAATGGTTCCAGTGCAGCACAAAAGATGCATCCCCCTGATCTTTGTGAATTTCCCGAAACCTATTTTGATGGTGAAGGGATGATCGAACTGTAGTCAGATATTCTTTTCATCGTGGATACTTGATGGTCGACTGGAACTCGACTTCTTTGATTGCAGGGCCCACTGAGTCGATTTTTCTTTGACCCTTTATTAAAAGGCGATCTAGGGGTCATCTCTTGCTATCCTGTCTACTAGGCGTGACTTTTCGACTTCTTTGATTGCAGGGCCCACTGAGTCGATTTTCATCTTGGAAGATATGCTGTTCCTTATAAGGAGAAGGAACCACCAAGATGCACCACGATCTAGGGGTCATCTCTTGCTATCCTGTCTAGGCGTGACTTTTCATAAAGCACTTTCCGCTTTGCTCGCACTACATCCGCAAGCATGTGGTAGAAGCGGCGTCGAGTTGTGTCCGTTCCAGCCCTGAAGGGATCGACGTCCCAATATGGCATGCGTACAAAGGAGTAACCCAGCTTATGTTTGTTAGAGCTATCAACTCAATTCAGTGGGCGACCTCGGCTGCCCCTCTGGTGGGCCTCTACTCGCCGTGTCACAACAGCTATCGACAAGACAATTCACTCCTGTAGGTACTAACTAATGTACATCTGACCTGCTGTGGAGTGATAATCAAAAGAAATCGCGGCTCTACGTCTAGCATAAAATCATGATTTCCTTCGAAAGTAGAGTTGCTAGACGGGAGCTAGAGAGACTGTTCACCACACTGAAAAAGGAAGAGGGACGGATAAAGCAGGATAGTGATACTGATCTAGACAAGATGATGGATGCTAAGTAGAAAGACGAGCAAACGGAAACGGATGAATCAACGTGATAGCCTTAAGTATGAGCCATGTTTCAAATCGGTCTCGTCCAGTCGGCTCCATCCACGTGTTTTTCGAGCGGTAAAAGTGCACGGGTCCGTCATACTCTAAAATGACAACACTGTCCTGGGAAATTTCGTTGCTGGATTTTGTTGTAGTACCGTTTTTGTTTGCGGTTGTGAGCATTAGAGAGTGTTGTAGTTGCGTTGTACGTGCTTCTTCGCGAAGGAGTGGAGAGCCGATCGATATTCTCAAAGAAGTAGTATTTTTCATAAGATGAAACAAGCTGATGCTACTTCCATTTATATCTTCTTCTAGGCACATGATTTTCTAGGTACTTAGTCATAAGCCTCTGTCTGCATTCTCCCTTACGTCCAGGATGAAATCCACTGACCTGTCCAAAAGCGGAAACCAGACGTCGTTCCTATGTCGCAGACCTGCGGTCGTGAGCTCTTCGCTAATCAGACGTTCTGATGCACTCAAGCTGTCAAGATTAGAGGTTCTGGCAGTGCATAACTCTCCCGAAGATCATGCCTGACAACTCATTTCCATCCTACTGGAAAACAAGTGAAGTCAAGAATAGGACTAACAAAGAAAATGCAATGCGGAAACCCTTAACAAGACCTCTGCCAGACGACTGCGGTGTGTTCATCTCTCCCCCAAAACCCGCAGGCATGTTCATATGCCCAGTCCACAGTCTTTTTCTGCACATCTCTGCCTCAGCATGCAGGTCCAAAGCAATAGCCACGCGCAAAGCCATTCGTAGATCCGTGATCGTGATCATGTGGTTACCAAAAAAGTGCTGAGGATCTACGAAGAGCACTTGTTTGACGAATCCCCGAAACTCTGGACAGGAAAGCCAGTCCCTGGTTGCTTTACTAGTAGTAGTTGTGCCATCTTGTTCTTGAGAATCAAGCATCGTGGATGAACTGGAGGAACAATTTGTCGTGTCCGGTTGTGTTGAATTTTCGATTTCGGTAACAAGTGTGCTTGTCCTGCTCTTCTCACTTCTGCAAGCCGCTAGCACACAGAGACTCCACACCATCGTCGTCGCCTGGCGGACCTCGATAGTTTTGTGTGTCAGCAGTCGTTGTTTCGAGGCAGCAAACACCATTTCCTCTATGCCTGGAACGTCTGTGACACCTAGAACAGCCGCATGGCGAAGCATTTGCTGGGTTCCCAGCCAATCGGTATCCTGAGGTCGGTAGCCCATCAACTTTTTGAAAATTCTGGACAGCAATCGCGGTTCGCGGACACGCCATTCGGAAAAAAAATGCAAAAAGTTGCACAAGTTGCGAATGTAGACGGAACAATTCACTTCGTGTTCATTACAGGCGGTTGTTCTTCTCGTAGTTTCTGGCCCTTTGCTCATCTGTGCATGTTTTGGGTAGGACGTATCTTTGGCGCTCCAAAGCATGCGCTGTAGTCTAAACGGCGACGCAGCCCTTCTTTCCACTATCTCACGATCTGGAAAGACGAAGTCTAGCCTTTCCTCGATTTCTTGCGCGAAGTCACTCGCTACATCCAAAAGCTGCTGTTGCTGAAGTTCCGGGAGTTTCGCTAGACCATAAAGCATACTTCCATAGTCATGCGAGTTCCAGCGTCGTTTCTCTGCTTCTGTCGCATCAAGGTAGCCTTCTTGGAGAGCGCGGCGGACTACGGGTGACTCCAATAAGCCACGACCTCCTAAGCTGGCGATAAAATTGCACAGATCCCGTGGATGAATGTCAGCCTGGCTCGTTTTTCGTTTGTGCTTCTTCATTTTCGGGAAAAGAGGGCGTTCCTCGTCCTCAATGTTGGCGTCTCTAATATTAATATCCCTAGCTTGTTGGTTCTTGTTGTCCTGCTTATGCTCACCTTGAAGATCATCCTGTTCTTGTTCTCTTAATATCGGTTCCAACCTCGCCTTCCTTATGAACACGTCCAACCGATCTGCTAGCATATCGGCAAATTGCGGATCCTGAGCACGCGTCGGAAAAGGGAGCTTCATATCACCTGTGATGGCTAGTGCTTGGATCAGGACTCCACTTCTTGCATCCGTAGACTCCCATATTTGACGAAAAAGCCGGAAAGCTTCCTGATTATGACTCCTCGAAGAACTTGAAGATGAAGTGCTCATCTCGGAAGGTGAAGAAAAATTTGACGCTCCTGAGCTAGAAGAAAGAGTAGCGCCAAACGCAGACGATGAGGAGGACGATGCTGAGCTTTGCCTGCCCATTGACCCAGACTTCAAAGCAACAAGCTGCAATTGCGCCAGTAACGCCTCGTTCGCATCAGAAGGGGTAGAACTTGAGGAAGAGGACGCTGATGTTGATGCTGTTTTGCCATCCTGAGCGTCCACTTCTTTCCCACTGTAACTGGCGGCCACTGTATTTTCCGGATCTCCACACTGCGCTGAGGGTGACGCTTTTTTAAAAAGCCTCCGCTCGTCGTTTGTTGGTTTGATTAGCGCAGGAGCTCCCTGTGACCACCGCGTTGCCTTAAAACTACAACTACTATATTTGACCGGGGATATGGTGCTACCTGGTGCTTCATGTTGATGTGCTGGAGATCTTCTCCCTTCAGCTATATCCACTGCTGCTCCATGTGCTGCTCTCCATTCGAAAGCATGAGCTGCAGACGTAGAAGACCGGGTGTTCTGCGTTTCACTGAAGGAAGGCGCTGTGGCTGCAGTGGACGCTGCGCGCATAGTACGAGCAGCGGCTCGAGCATTAGAGCTCGGTCTCCTCAGTCCCCGCGTTGAAATGAGCATAGCTGAGCCCCCGGGTTTCATCGTAAGTACGCTGGAACGCAAGAGAGACCGCTCGTCATTGGAGCTTGTCGTCAAGTCAGATATTTCTTGCTACCAATCTTAGATGAGAACTGCCCTTGACCATGTTGTTTTCATCAAGCAAAACGAACAATTAGAAGATGAAGGTGAGAATGAGGTGAAGCCATGGATGAAAGTTATGAAAAAAAATATGACCAGTATCAACGACGACGATCAACAAGATCAAGTAGTCAAGGACATCCACGTCTGAAGAGGATCGACGCCACGCGTTGAACTTTGGGATCGTTCTGTTGTTCCATCCTTCAAGGATCACCTTTTTTACCTTTTCATGGCAATCTAGGATCGCCCTACAACATCGAGGCTCGCCCACGCTAGGAGTTAAGAACGAGCAGGTGTAGCACTTTCCGGGATCCCTTGGGTTTGCTAGGAGCGCGGGAAGTCATTGCTTCTGTGTCTGTCCCCATCTTCGAAGTCGAACAATACTTGAAGTTCGTGAACGTGAAGCCTGCTTGTCTTTATGAAGCTATTATTTTTTTGACAACCTTTCTGCGTGAGAAGTCTACTCTTTACCAACAAAAGTCCTCATTGGATAACATCATGCCTATCGTGGTAATGAAGTTTTGCTTATCAGTTACCTTTTTTTGGGAAAGTTCCGTGTATTGAATCGTGTATGTGCGCACACATCGATAAATAGGAATGACTACCATGATTCAGTTGTACCATATCAAGTAATCGTCCCGAAATCACTACGTGATGAAAGTTCTTACTTCGTCAACGTCTGCCTTGTCAGCGGTTCATAGACCTGCAGTCGACAAGAACTTTGATTTTGCTGCTTAAAAAACATCATCAACAAGTATCTTGAATTGTCAGATAATCAGTTGGGAAAAAAATCATTTGAAGTGAGTCGAAATTAGTGGAGAAAAATAAATCTTGATCTTCTGTAAGTTACAATCTTGCTGATGCTTGTGTCCATCGAAGTTTTAGTAATCAGGTCACCGATTTTCAAAGGTGACATCAATGCAAGAAACCTTGTAGTCCTAGTACCAGTGATAGCGAGTCTACCATGATACCCTCGCGTTTTTTTCTATCAAAGGCTGTTCTACTAGCTCTTCTTGCGTCCCTTTGATATTGTTGTACGTGTGTATCGCTTCATTTTTTTTAGGTAAGTTCAGTCAGTTCTTTCAAATGAATGCGCGTTATCGAGAACTAAGATGCGTTTTATTTTCAAATAGTGTCACTTCTAGCAAGAATTTGATGCAAGTCATGCTTGTCTTTCTTATTATGAGCCCCACCAAACATCGCGTGCATGATAAAAACCGGGAAGCCAGCAAAAATACCTCAAGCTCAGGCTCAACTTCGATCTTCTTGTGTCTACTAGTAGTACAAACCTTTCGTCTATCATGTAGACAATAGAGGCCGCCTCTGCCATGCATTCGCCGGCGTAATGTTGCCTGGACTCCTCGACGCCCTGCGCCGTCTCCCGATCGCTGTTCCTCGTGTAGTCCCTCCTGAGGTCGACGGCAATGACCGCGACCGTGGTTTTGCGAGAAGATGATGCATAGCCGCTACTGGTCTAGACCGCATTAGCTCGTACAAGCTTGTGTTCTGAGGGTAGTGCGGATTGTGTGCGAAAGGAGCTGCCGGAGCTGAAGGATTCGGCGCTATGACGAGCGAAGAGGGTCCACCACCAAGACCTGCCGCTTGCTGTAGCAACTGCTGGTTCATATCCAAACCAGTATTCGACCCGGTTCCTCCTAACATATTCATATGTTGCTGCTGGTGCTGAAACAAGAATTAGCGCCGACCCTCCTAATTCATCTCATGACTCATCTTGAAACTGTTCGGCCCTTATGGAACAGTCCTGCTGAGATGCTTCTGGAGATGGATTAGGGGAAGCCGTAAAAGAAAGCAGGTGCTGGGACCGGTGCTGACGATGTACCCTGTTGGTGGACGTGTAATTGCTGTAACTGCTGCACACGATGTTCCTGCAATCGCTGTTGTTGGATTTGTTCCTGTCGCAAAGCCAATTGACGCTGAGCTGCACTCAAATGTTGATGTTGCGGAGAGCTGTAACTTCGCGTCAGACCACCCCGACCTTGGGGTACACCAGTAGATGATGCTGCGACACTATTGGAACCTCCAACATTTCCGCGTATCGCTGCTGCTCTTCTTCGTAAATCCTCATCCGCGTCGTTTACGGCTACGTAATCGGAGTCCATGGCTAATACGTCTGGAAAACGAACCAGCTTAGTACCAGCGGTCGAGGATGACGGAGTAGTCTTGCTGTCGGTAAGAACTGTGGTTAGTTGGGTCGTTTCTACTCCTGCAGGTGTCGGCACAGTGAGTTTCAAAGGTGCTCCTGTGTCGCTAGAAGATGTGGCGCCTCCTGGAAGCTGTTGTTCTCCATCTTTCACGTCATTCACGTCAACCCCAGCATCGGAATGATATTGCTGATCCAGCCCCGGTTGTGCCTCACGATGAGAGCCCTCTAATTGCCGCGCTTCAGGTGCGAAACCTGCCTGCTCTGCCGCAGCGCTCAATTTCGACTGGGTGTAGAGACTGGACGAAGGAAGCAAGGTGCCACCCATCTGTGTCTGGAGGATGCTGCACATTTGAGTAATCTGGTTTCGAAGTCGCACTTTAGCCAAACCCGGCATTTGCTCAGACTGTTGAATCTCCTGAAGCTTCTCAATGGCGCTTGACCACTGCTTGCCCAGGTCTTCAACGCCGCTTTGATTCTGCTCGAGCTCCACAATGCGTCCTTGGAGTTGGGAAATCTGTTGAGGACGAATGAAATTAGTTAGTTCTTAAGTAAAGCAGAAGAATAACAAAAAGATGTTGTCGGTAAAACAGATTTTCAGATTTCAGAAGTATTTGTTGTGATCTTGATCGTCAATTTAATAGCACAGTACATTGAGTACCTCCGCTTCGTATCTCGCCGCATCGCTCTCCGTGTCTAGCCGTGCTCTCAGGTCGTCGATTTGTATGTGGGCAGCATCCAAATCGGCCTGAAAATTCAAGATACTATCGTCCCGTTCTCTTAGTCGTTGTGTAAAAGTTCGCATGATATCCCGCTGCTTCAGAAGGAGCTGCTTGTACCTGTTTCAGGTTGAATGATGAAGAAGGAAAGACACATAACATCTGATTCTCAACATTTTTTGCCCATCGTTTTCCCTGATGCAAAGACGCTGGCCCGCCGCGGTGTTACAAAAAAATGCTACAAATATGTCCTAGAAGTACCTTGCAATCTGCGACCTGTCCTCTTTTATCGTCACTCGCTCAGCTTCTAATTGAGATAGCTTTTCCTCGTAATGCTCTATCATTGAAGTCGCAGCTTCCGTGGTCGTGTGCCGATCAGCGGATACAGCAGTAAAATTGCCGACTGAGGACGCGGTGTCGCCTCCACCAGGTAATGCGCCTTGAAAGGGTTGCAATACTGTGGAAGTGTATTCTGACAACCGGCGTTCCGCCTCCAACCTGGCGTTCTTTTCTCGCTGCAGCTCAGACATTAGGTGGTGCGCACCCTCTGGAGTTCCGTCCGCACCGCCGGCACTCAATTCAGCGGGGAGACCGGGACGGCCTGGAGAGGAAGATTGATCTCAAAGTGGTTATCATACCAAAAACAACTCAAGAAGGTCCGCAGCTACGCCTAAAGACATCAAAAGTTAAAGTAAGAGTAACAACCTATGTATAGATAGATACTAGTACTAGTACCTTTCGCCGCCCCATTCCTGCTGAGTGTACTAAGCTGTTCCTTCAGACTCTTGATTTCTTGCTGATACTGCCTGATCAGTGTTGTCTTCTCGTCAGCGTTCACCACATTCAATACTGGCGCATTGACGATGCTTTTAGCTCGTGAGGCAAACTTCAAAGTGGAAAGACTCTCTTGAAACGCTTCGTAAGCAGGCGAAACCATGGCTACTATGGTAGTGACGCAATTGCCACCCAGAGAGTCCTCTAATAAACGGGTTAATTTCGAGTCTCGATAGGGCACGTGGCACTTGGTATCGGCTAAGGCTTGGATTACGTTACCTTGTTGTTGTGGATGTGGTGTTTTACTCGTGAAGTAGTGCGATGATAATCTTCACGGTCGAATGCGGAATTTGAAAGTCTCTACTTATTCGATAAACTGAAATATGCCAGTAACTACTTAAAATAAGCGAGTAACTACTGAAAATAAGTAGAGTAGCCCTGTCAAAGCTGCCTCCCTTATTTCAGTCAGCAACTCGGTTATTTTCAGTTTTCGAGTACGTGGTAGTGAAACCTTTTTTTGTAGGGGCAAGTGAAACCACTTAGGGACTTTGCAAAACACTTCGAGATTAATACCCAACGCTAGCAAACTGGTGTTGATCTTTTTCGATTCTTCAAGCTGCTGCCCTTTTGCTCCAGTCCAATGCACTCTTTCGGAACCTGCTAGATCGACCAAGTTCAGTTTCGCTATGCGCATTTGCGTACCAGTTTCTCCGCTTTGAGCGTCTCCCTGACTGTTCGTGAAGTTCTGAGGAGCCGCTGTCTGCTGTTCCACAACGATCATGAATACTGTGTGACTCCGACTAGAGATGTCGTTACTCTTCGTCTGCGCAATGACTCTTTCCTTGCCACCACGTTCAATCAACTGATAGACTTCTTTCGAGCTCTGCACTATCCACTCTGAGATGCCGTCCACGAAGACTCCGCGAGACTTGTCCTCGCGGATCACGAGGTTCAATCCGCGCTCTTCCCCGTCATCGCCCCATCTCTCGTGGGACCTCTCGCGCAAATTCGGAATAGCACCTGCGACACTGCCACGAAAATATTAGACCTTCCCTATATTCATCGTAACGCGCATCTTTGACAGTTTTCCCCTTTGAAAATAAATGCGTCAAAGGTCCATCATGCCTCTTAACAAGATGAATTTCTGGAAGCCTTAAAGATACTCCCTAGAGCCTGCTGGAACGGGCACGCCGCCATTGTGGGTCTTTAGAAGATCCGATATCTGCTCATTGTAAATCTGCAGGTAGCTTGCGCGAACTATGAAACGGGCCTTGGGATCCGGAAAATTGCCGATGCTATGGAAAATATTATCCATACAGCGAGCGATGACGCCACGTTTTTCGGACTGACTGTCGTAGCAAAACCCCTCCATCGTGTGCGTTTTACCTGAAGTGGAAGGCAGAGAGAAAGTATTTTTAGACAAAAGTACAAGATAGAACGATGTTGGGAAACACTACTAGAGAGTTGTACTTGCTGTAGAATTGTTCGACCATTGAAGAATTTGAGTTTCAATTTCTTTCATACAGCAGATCATTCCTTATACCGATCATCAAATCAAAACCACTAGGAAGGTAGTACCGGTCCCCGTCTGTCCATAAGCTAAGATTGTCGCATTGAAGCCTCTCAGCAAGGCAGCTGTTGCAAACGAGCCAGTAGATTTGTACACGTCCTCTTGAGTATTGTCGGGGCCATGTGCGAAATCGAAATTGAAAACGTGATTCGCAAATACTATGAACGGCAACCCGTCCTCTTTGCTGCTGTCGGGAACTAACTCGTGGAGAGTTACTTTCCTGAAAATGGTTGATATTATAGGAAGGAAGTAGTAGCAGGGATGACTGATTTCAAGCGAGAAATAAATTACAAACGTAACAACTAATCTTCAAAGAACAGCAAAGCAAAGTGTATACCTGTCATTCTCCACCCGACAAACTTTCTGAAACGAGGCAGCCTGCATCTCCCTTGCTAATGGCGGTCTGACACGAACGACGACACGGATATTACTCCCCTGATCACTGCCGACACTTCTGGTTCTGGCGCCTGGCCTCAACGACCTTGACCGTTCTCTTGACTTCGCACGTGCTGGTCGCATGTTTCCACCTCCTAGTACAGGGTTCATCATCATATTTAGCAAATTAGCTCCTGGTCCTCCTCTAGGACCTAAGCCAGGACCAGTCTGTTGTGGTACATCTACAGACCCACGACCTCCTCCTCCACTCATCAACATAGCTGGTGTACTACTGCTAGGATGCATTTGCATACTGCCACCACCAGGTTGTAGTTGCTGACCATGTTGTGGAAAGTGTGCTATCCCTGGAACAATACTGGGAGTTCCCCTTCCTCGGAGCCCTCTACTATCGTCGCCATAGTTGTAGGCAGGCCCAGTACTACTAGAGGAGGGGTAGTAGCCGGCGCCGGGGTGGTCATTGTACCCACCAGCCTGCTGCAGGTAGGCCTGCTGGACTGCCGCGAAATCGACCATGGTCCTTATGGCTTGAAAAATTCAAAAAAATTCAAAAAAAATTGTTGTAACAACTAAGAACTACAGCCTTGCGCTGGCTGTTGATATTGTAGGCTCTCTATTCGGGATTCATTGTGGTCTGTCGCTATGGATGAGCTTCTTTTTTCTGGGGACATCTTCAAGCTAGTCCGTGGTGAAGTTTTCATGTCCGAATGAATACCGACTATATAACCTTCTACCTTCTGCTTCTTTCGAAAGTGCTTTAACAGAAGAAGCATTGACTACTCGGGAGCGAAAGTACTAATTCGAAGCTGCAGGATGCTTTTAGTTTCTACTACTCGTTCTCGAAAAGGCTTTGTGTCACAGTCATTCTCGACTACTTTGAAATTCTACTACTTTCATCTACTTTACCATATATTTCTATCTCGCTCTTACACACCTCTACTAGATTGCAGGAACCGATACGACTATCACCGACTTCATCTTCGAACAGCATTCCGATGCGAGGTCCTACGAATGCGACTTCGGGTTGCTTAATATGGAATTTAGGCTTGAGAGCAGGTCTACTTGAGTTCAATATGGGGTTCTCAAACGGGGATCTGCATTAGGCGATGCTGTAGAGGAGTAGCACTCCTGCCACTGCCAGTTGTAACCATTTCAGCCCCAGACGCATCTATCTTTTTGAGATCATCTCAAGAAATCTGTATTTACCTATTTCTCGTAGCTACTTCATCTCGCCAGTGATTCAGTATATTGACCGCTGTGTCTGTAATATTGGGACTCGGAACCCATCCCGTCAGCTCCCTCACCTTCCTGTTGTCTGCAAGTAAGGTCTTTTCGTCCGCGCCACGTCTTCGCGTCGGGTCGTACTCCAAACGGATCGGGACCGTGGTGTACCGTAGCAAGATGTTCAGCATGTCGCGTATCGTGTAGCCTACTCCGGATCCGACGGAGGATTAGAGGAGTCATATGGTCATAGATAGGAAATGTCGTATGATCTCTGCTTTTCTTGAGCAATGATTTTGAACCGAAGAAGACCAAGTCGTTACATCGTTTTAAACAAAAAAATATATCTTGAACAATCTATGAAAGTATGAAAATGGAAAAACGCTTGGAAGCTCAGGTCATTGTCCTTAATTGTATGCTTCACCCGGTGTTCCTCGCTTGCAAATTTCCAAGAAAATCCTAGCCGAATCTGCTACATCAGTAACATCACGAGATGTTGACAGATCCCCATGCAGTAAGACGTAGTCAGTCTTTTTATCTTCTACTGGTATTTCTGCATCAGAAGTGGAAGAGACCACTTCCGCACTACAGCGTCCAGCGGGACCGCTATCGCCCGTTGCACTCGTACATTCTTGTTTTTCACGTTCTGCACGTGACTCAATTTCTGCTATCTGTTTGGCGAAGTTCTGAAGACTCAGCTGATCAGTTCCACCCTCAGCCATCTGGATGAAAATTCGTGCTACGGTTGCCTTAATGCCATACGTCGAAGCGTACATCACCGCTAGATTCTCTTGTGCGACTTTCGAAACCTCAGGGTTTGGATTTCAACAGCGTCATCATGGAGGTATAGACTCTACTTCATATAATTGCAGGAAGTGCACGCCAACAACTGTGAAGTAACTGATAAGCCTGTCGCATGGGCTCGTATCACATAATCATAGTTCCACATCCACTACCTACGACATTTTCAGCCAAACTAGGTAGTACCCCATACGGCGTGAACGGTTTCAGCATCGCAGTTTCGGGTATAGGCGTGCCTTCCCACTCTATAGCTGCTGCCCCATACTCCGCTGAGGACCCGGCAACTAGAATCCGCAAGTCCTTACTAAGAACGTCATCCTTCTGCAACACCCGTATGCCCTCTAGAATGTTCAGGGTGCCTTGCAGGTTAGAAGTAGAATGGCAGCCGAAGATGTTGAGGAAGAAGGTTACACGATAGTTCTCCTTGAATTCTCAACTTAGGTACCACTCCATCATAAGAATATTCACGTGCAGCGACAGAGACGCCGCTTGAAAGGACACGCCGTTGATCGCTTGTGCCGCAAAATGCAGGATGTAGTCTGGCTTCGTCTCCCGCAATATTTCCAGTGTGTGGAAAGCGTCTGTCACGTCGCCATAAATTTGGATTAGAAGTATTCAAGCAGGAAACAAAATATAATTTGATTGTCGAACCTCTAGACAATCTCCTGGGGAACAAAGATAGTCTGTTGAGTACCACAATCTTCAGGTAAAACAGGAGATGATCAAAGAAAACCTTAACAGCTTGATCCGATGCACATAGCCACTCAGGTTCTTCAAGTTAGAACGCCATCTTGCCAGCACAAAGACTCGCTTTGATGATCCGAAGACGCACGTGTCCAAGGACTGCTTTACGAGTTGACTTCCGATCATTCCGGTGCCACCGGTTATCAGAATCCGTTCTTCTTTGCCCGGACGCAGTGAAGTGTTGCAAGACGAAATTTTTCCTGGAGAACCTCCTGGAGAACCGCCTTGGCAGAACACTATCACATTCGGCAGAGAACATGACAGCAGGAAGAAAACGAAGAAAGACCGAAGGTACATATTTTATTGGTCTTTATGTTGTTAGGGATGAAAGCGGAAAGGAAAAGCGAGATGTTCCTAGATGTTGTTCTATGTGCATTTGAGGGAATCGCTCTTTATAAGTTGTGAAGACTTGTTGATACAGTCATAGGATTCGAAGCGAAGAAGAACTATTCATTGCTACCCCTACTCCTGCACGCTGCTTGATAGTATTTTTTCTCTCCTTCCACCTCCTCCTTCTTTTGACATCCACAGATTCTTCAGATCATACCACACTCTGCATACGCGTACGCCACCCGATACTCATTCACTCACTACAACCACCAGTGTTGCTCCTCCTGCTGAACAAGCGTTTAAAGAGGAATGTAGGAGTGGTGCTCTCTGTAATGACAATAGGTCGACGTCATGGGTCGGTGTTTTTTCGTTGAGTAGCTGTTTCTTGCAAGAGCTTCTTCCTGATTCCACTACCTAGTAGTAATACACACATCAGTCGACGTCAATCTCGATCATGCTGAAGAAAGCGGTTTGTAGTTAGAACTATCGAACTCTAACATCATAGTCTAAAAAGTTGAAGTTGATGTAGAAGCACTACCAGGGACATCGTCAAGGGCCATGCTCTTGTTGTGAATAAATGTCGCATCATTTTTCAGTGCAGGTAATTCTTCCGGCAAGAGCAAAGTAGTTGGAGCAAATCATTTTTGTTACCGGTACAAGTGTGCAAACACGACGTTTGGTGGTTACATTCAAGCAATCCTTTCAATTATTGGAACCAAACGATAACCTGCTGTATCATATTCATCAGCGTGAAAAAGAGAAACGAACTACCAAACTGAGAATGATATCATCGCAAGTTCGTGAGCCTTAGCGGCAACCAAGTTCTAGTTTTTCTTTACGTATACGTTGAAGGGTTGATGAATCTTGGAGTACCTCTAGATCCAAGCTTTGTCATCAACATCATTTTTTTGCATCAATTCAACTCGAAGAAGTCCAGATATTGACGCCTTGAGGTCAAAGTCAACATGCTGTAGAAATTCACATCACAGAGAAGTGTTTATCCTGCTTGGTTGCAACCTTTTTTGACGAGTCGTCAATTCGCATTGACTTTGCAACCACTGTGATCTCCTCGATTATGTCATTTTCATCTGTCCCAACTCCGAAATCACGTGTTTTAGGTTTAGAAGCAGCACCTCGTTGAAGTGGAGGTCTCGGCCGTTTCAGCTGCTCCTGCATCATAACAAAAGCCTTCTGGCGAGGACCATGTTGTTGATGTCGTCTTTCTAGTTCTTGATGCTGATGTTGATGAGAGTGAGATGCCATGGAATTTCGCGGGAGAACATTGAGGACTTTCTTGTTTTGATTCTTCTTGTTCGTCGTTGAGGGCTCTTTTGTATGAGACTGCTCTTCTGTGTGAGACTTCTCTTCAATCCCAGAAGATGCAGTGGCTGATGTCCCAGATGCTCCTCTCAACATTGTAGATCTTCTGAGTGCTTTCCTCACTGTTTTCAGCTCTCTACGAATATCCTTTGGACTACGCAGAAGTTCTTTGGCTCTGGGCTTTCTCATTCTCCATTGTGCTGGTGTAAGAGAATCCTCATTCACAAAGCCTCCTGTTAAAGTGGCATCATCTGACGAGGACGAACCACTGGATGCAGAAGAGCCTTTACTTGTACGATAACTAGACGAAGGTCTAGAAGACGAGCCTGCTTTAGTTGTACGACGTTTTTCCTTCAGCTGCGCGCTTCTCGACATCGGCCACGAACGAGAAGTTCTCCTTGAAGTTCTTCTAGAACGTCCTCCAGAAAAATGCACCTTCTTGTGTTCAACAGGCGCAACGTCAATGTCTGCTTGTGTTCCTTAGAGGTACCGACGTGCATCCCGGAGGGCCTCCCTCGGCCCTTTTTCCCCTTGAAAAAAGGGCTAAGGATGGTGTTGAGGATGCTCCAGCGGTAGCCTCAAGTTCCGATACTCTGAGTGGTCTGATGTTCGAGCATCATGCTACCATTCCGGTCTTCTTCTTCATTTGCATGACCCTCGTTTGCAATGCAACACGCTCGCTTAGCTGCTTCTCTGTCGGGATTAGAAGAGGCGATGCCTGATTATATTCTGTGCATGATCCTTAATACTAGGCCTATAGCACTGTTAATAGGCAGGAAGATGAATCGATCATGTGACAAGGTTCCACAAACAAGTAGAAAATTGTAAGTAAACCAACAAGTCGAGAGAGAGAGAGAGAAGCACTTGCATCACCTTCATTTGCAATGCAACAAAAGTGAATTGCAATTTTACCTTAGTTTGCATGGCCTTCATTTGCAATGCTCTCTTATGTGACTCTCGCTCGAGCTCGTCTTTGACTTCTCGGTTGAAGAAATTACTTGACAAAGACCTACAACTAGTTCTGGTAAAGCTAAAGGGCTACAGGGTACACGCAGCATTTTCTAGTACTACGCCGACGTACTCGGGAGCTGATTCGAATTGTCTTTAAATACGTAGTCCGTCTAGTAAGAATGACAATTCAGATCTAGATAAAAGTCAAAATCACGAGCTGGAGCCTTAACTTCAAGATTTTCCATATCGAAGCCAGTGTTGTCATTTTGGATGGTGAAGCTCGCCCTAGACACGTAATCTTTCCAGCTCCTTGTGTCACTAGCGCCAGAAATCTTATTTCCCAGAGCGGCCACAAGCAACTCATGTGCAGGTGTCATGTGGTCTGTAAGGGGATCGTCTGGTCTTGCTTTCACGTATTTCAGTTCGCCACAAAGCTCCAATAAATTCAAAGCTTCCAAGTGGGAACAACGTCTTTGTGGTGATTTTTTTTTTTGCGCTTGCCGCTCTTCTCCTGCGTGAAGTTAGAGGTTGAGAGTTGGCATCTCTAGCTCGCATATCTATGGCTTTCCTACTTGAAGAAGCCATAGAGATGCGCATAGAGATGCCAACTTCCAACCCTTAATGAAATATGGTGGTCTCGAGGAGGTCATCTAATACATCTACATCGGCGAAGGACGAGGACTTTTTGGGACCAGACGAAGGAGAAGTGGCACATTTTTGCTCAGCCGGTAGTTCCCCTCCAGACCCAGCTTGAAGACGGAAACCTTGTTCCGAGGGGATTGATTTCTTCGCTGGTTGAGAACTGGATGATGAAGGTTTAGACTCAGGCATAGGAGCCTTTGCCTGTTGTGGTCCTCGTAGTAAACGGACATCGACAAAGCTCCCCACAAGACCTGCGATTTCAGAAAAATCAGCTGCTTTTGCACCAGAAGCAGCTTGTTCAGACCCATTCTTTTTGTTCGATTGGTCAATCTCGCCAAGTACTTTTTCCAGGAGGTCCATGCTTTCCAAGGGCGACGGTCCTGTTCCTGGTTTCATCTTCACTGCTAGCACCTGCTGCACACAGAAGTGGTGCGCCAGCAGAGCAATTTTCAGCGCCATTTTTTTCATGTTTTTTTTGTTGTAGTAGTAGTTCTTGTCGTGATTGTTGTATCTGTTACAAGTTTGGTTGAAATTATTCAGAATAGACATAGAGAGAATCTTTAGGACTTGATTCACTTTCTCTTTTTTTAGTGTGTGATGTTCTTGTTGTTCTAGTCTTTGCTTATTCTGGTGGTACGAATATACTTAGTAGAGAGCGCAATACTAGGACTACCTATCTTTCTTGTTGAAAGTTTAGATCCTCCTGCGGACAGTGTGATGAATTTTCGCCTTGAGTCAGTAGCTGATGTCGTTTCTGTTGGAACATTGAAGATGTTTTCCTCTTCCTCCTGGTATCCTATTTCATTATTTTTACGACATGCTCGGACGACGTCTCAATTGACAACGTATGGACACGGTGGCGCTTCGTACGGTATCTATCACGCGCAAAGAATGACTGATTGCTTGATGACCACAGGTCATTATAGCTTCAGATGACTTCATGATTGCATCCGATGCATCTTCTTTGATGCGTGATTTTTTCTACTTTTCACATGTATAATCTTCATGTCAGTCTCGTGCTCTTTCAAGATTTTTTCGAATTTTTGATTGCGAAACGCTGTTCTTTGCTTTCACAAGAAAGTCTTCGGGCCGTTGTATGTGCGCACTTGTTTGTCTTCACTGAGCATGTGGATGTTCAGCAAAATTAACAGAGAACTGGAATGAAACCGCTTTCTCCCCACACGACCACAACCAAATAAATTTTTCATGAAGTAGATAGTTGCTATCATCTTAAAAGGTGGCCATTGTATATATTGTGTCTAATGTTGACGGTCGTCTCATCTATGACGCTGCGTTTCCCATGTACTCTACAACGTGACAACGACAGCTGTGACATCGTCTCCACCTTCACGCGCTTTCTCACAGACTGGTCCTAGGTAATCGACGCCGTGGCCGATGAGCTGCGAGACATTAGAAGTTGTAAGAATTTGCGTCGTGGTGCATTCAATTATTGGTCTTGTTTCCAAAAGAAATTTACTCGTCGTTCTAGTGAAGATGAATGTTCAAAGAGTTGTAAGAGATTGACAAACAAATATGAAGTTTGATTTTCATGTTCACATATCCATAAAAACAAGCGCCGAGTTGGAAAAGCGGTGAAACAAGCCACGAGTGCCCAAAACAAGCATCAAGTCTTGTCCAGCGTTGATGCGATAGGCGTTGACCTCCGCAGAAGTTAGGACGGCGTCGTGGGGGACGGAACCCAAGTGCCTGTTACAGAGAAAGGAGTCGAAAAGGATGCTATCCGAAAACGAGATGAAGCGCTTTTTTCAGCGAGTCGTTGTCGTTAGTACGGTGCTAGTACAACTGTATAAAAAGCTACTGAAAAGATCTCTATTCAAGTGATACCTCGTCAACACGCTTCCTTGGTCTCCTGCACCATCTTTGAAAACGGCTGTTGTGCCTTCGGCCACACTCTGTAGGATGACGCCTGGCGTTTTCTGTAGCCTTGCAGACTCGCCCTTGTGTGTGTCAACCTTGATTAGAAGATTGTAGGCATAATAGACATAGACGAAAAAGAAAATATATCTTGTGGTAGTTGCACAATCAGAACGAGAACAATGTGCAATTTGGATACTAATTAAACCCATCATTTCAAAATCTATGTTCTTGTAGTTCTTAACTTATGATCTTTGGTCAAAGCCACTGCGCCAAAACTTCCGCCGTCTTCTTTACTGGCCAGAACAACCCGACAATCGCCGATTGACCCGACTACAACCCAAGACTCTGCCTCGGTGCGGGAGGTATCGGAAGCATAGCCTTCGCGGGGAGCTGTTGTGATGTATGCTTTTGTCGAAGTATTCGATTCATTGATTTACGCAATATTCAAACTTAGTAGAGTATCAGTAAATCGCTATCACGGAACAAGAATATTTCACCATATCAAAGGATTGGCTTTCTTCAAATGGCTAAGCATCTATAATACAATTAAGCTTCAGCAGCAGTGCCACAGCTACTGACGCGCCATCCCCTTCCCGCAAGAATGAATCCGATGCGCCCAACTCCTTTTGGATCGTTTTGAACGCTTCCTCTAGGACGCTCTGGGGCTCTTGGAAGATCAAACTATGTGCGAATACGAGTTCCGCCATGCGCTGTTTTATCAGTTTCGAACACTCCTCACCATTTTCTCCAAAGCCATCGAAGACTGCGTAAAGGGCAATGTAGCCTTCATCTTTGACCACGTCGAGCCAGGAGGAGCGGAGCAGCATGAAGGGAGGAGGAGGACCAGGAGGGTGAGTGAGGAAACGAATGTTGTAGTTATAACAAGGTCAAGGGCAAGAAAGTCTAGTACTTACAACGAAAGAGAGGAATCCGAACCAAGAGAATAGAGGAGGGGCATGGAGGAGCGGACCAGCATGAAGGGAGGAGCAAGATGTCGGTGAGAGGAAGGATTTCTCCGTAAAGACAAGGTGAAGTCTACAACTAGAGCAGGCCGAAGAAAAAACTTTGATGATGAAGAGATAGATATTCTAAATGAGATAGATAGTCTAAATGTGAGCCATAATGTTCCCACCACCCTTTGAGCCCTTGCCCGCGACGTCTTCCTCTGCAGAACTGCTTGAAGAGGATGCTTGTTCTATAGGATTTCGCTGCATGGCCAATAGAAAATCGTCCTGGTTAGGACGATCAGTGGCGCCTCCGAGAGACACAAAGCGGATTCCTAGCTTCTCAGTCCGGACTAAAGCGAGGGCTTAGAGAGTGGAAGGGTGGAAACGGAATACAAAAGAAAAGCGCTCGACTCCTGAATGTGAACCTACATCTGGTAAATATACTTCTCCTACTCTCGACTGAACGTGAATCTACATCTGCCATAATTTTCCGGATAGCATGAGTGCTTCTTCTCCAAACCTTTAGAGGTAGCGCCGTTTTCCTGTCCCTGCACCACAAAAACCCAGTCTGACTCAGCTGAGTCCGTACCAGGGGATACACTAGAACTCGACTTGGTAGACTGTTTTGCACCTACAACGCCGCGGTCACTTGGTGATGCTACTGTTTCGACTGGGCTGCTTTGCTGGGACCGGCTCTGCTGACTAGATGAACTATGTGCTAGTCCGCCTGCACCTGCACCTGGCATACTCGTTTTACTCACTGCCGTACTAGAAGAAGAGGCTGTGTCCTCTGCTTTCGCAGCAAGTTTTGAACCTCCACCTCCAGACGCTGTTGCTGCACGTGTTGGTTGCAGGTAGTCCTGGTGTGGCGAGAAAGCGCCTGGAGAAGCGGTAGGTAAAGAATGCGAAGCCTCATCTCCTTCATCGACAGGACTCATAGGTGCGCCGTTGGAAAGGCCACGAGTTGGTGGTTTGAATCCACTGGTCTCTGCTATTAGAGCTCCCGCATCGCATCCCTGAGCCCATCCGTGCACCCCTTTTCCCCTTGAAAAGGGGGCCAAGGATGATATTAAGGATATGCTTCAACAGAGGCAGCCTTAATACTAGGTCTTGGTTCTCCTGATCTCCTTCTAACCCTCCTCCACTTGTTCCACCACTCCCAGGACTATTGACAACAAGCGCTTGTAATCTTGCTATTTCGAGACGCAGTTTCTCGTTTTCTAACCTGTAATGGTCCAACTTTCGTGGCCACGTCTTCGCCTCAAGTCGTAGAGTATCGATCTCTCGACCCTTCTGCTCGCTCTCTTTCCGCAAGTTCACCATTTCCTGCTTCGCTTTCGCGATTTCCGCTTGGAAATCTTCGGCCTCTAGTGCGCGGCGCTGTAGTTCACTCCTCAAAGTGTCTAAAATGATGTCAGAATCAGTCCTCTGCCGTGATCCTGATCTGAGTTGTGCGCTAGCACCGGTTGCACGACCTTCGGATGTTGATGGACCGTGATGATGCTGGTTCATTTTGGTGGAAGAGGCGGAAGCTGTTGTAGTACCACCACCTGCTCGAGCAGGAACATTGCTAATATAGCTATTACTGTTGTTCGTCGTTGTCCCTGGCGGAACTGAGCCTGTCCGTTCTCGTTCTCTCTGGGCTCCTGGTGTACTCCTGCGCTTGCGCTCTGACGAACTTCTGGCGGTTCCACGGACCCGTCTGTGCGGAGAGGCCGTAGAGATGTTGGCGGTGTCGTTGAGATCGGTCATGCTGGGACCTAGAGGAAGATGGATAAGGGGAACGGGAATAAGAAATCTAAGTGTAAGTCCATTATAACAACTAGAACTCCATACAAGGGATTATGGTTACCTGAAAATTAGAAGTTGCTGTACCCACTCTCTCCGGCGTCGCCATCGCCGCTCGCTCTTGAGACCTTAATGTAGCCCTTCGTGCAGCACGACGCTCACTATTTCCCGGAACCTGCTGTGAAGAGCGGTGATCAGACCCTGGCGGCGCAGCCGGTGGTCGCGCCTTCTTGTTCTTTAACACAGACAAAGCACTCGCTAATGGTGGTACCAATGCCGCGTGGTCACCAGAAGAGGTGGAAGTAGAACCTCCCTGTTGGTGTTGACCAGTTGTAAGAGTTGGCGTACTGTAGTTGTTCCTATCCTCTGTTCTTTGCTGCCCATTTGAAGACACTGAACTAGCAGTTGTCGGTGTGCGACCGGCTAAGGTTTCTTGATCCGCATAATTTTCTTCTTCTCGACGTAGCTGTGGCGTCGTCATCATTGCATGATTCGCCTTCACCATACCCCCTGACGCAGACCGTGTTGGTATTGGTCTAGTGCCTGTTGACGCAGTTGCTTGCATGGAATTGAGAGGCATCCCACCTGGTGTTGTCCCTGATGAATGTCCTACAACTCCCAAAGTCGAAGGTGATGAAGCTTGGTTTCCATCTGCTCTTTCCAAAGCCTGCGCCAGCACACCTCCACCTCCAGCAGCACCTCCAGTTTTGATGTTATTTATCAAATCCTCCTGACGCCTCTGTCGCTCTTGGTGTTGCTTCCTATGGTATTCTGCGATTTGACGCGCGTTAGCTGCCTTTTGTAGCAACGCAGATGATCCTCCGGCATTCACTTCTTGTTGTTGATGTCCTTTATCTCTGACAGGAGAGGCAATGATGCCCTGTGGTGCCGCTAGAGAGCCCTGAACCGGTAAAGATCCACGCGAGGACGGGGCCCCAAGTGAAGGATCTGTTGTAGGTCGTGGAGTTATCTTTAGAACATCATGGATGACTGCAGCAATAAATATAACCTATTCATCCTGCATCTACTCTACGTGAGCAGGTTATTGTTATTAAGAAGGAAAATTATATAAATTAATATATATTTAAGTGCATGATACACTGCAACTGCCCGGAAGTAGTCTTCGGCGCCCCATACGAACTTTTCACCCCCTGTTGCTGCGCCCTTGTCGAGCTTGCTGGAGTCCCAAGTTGTACACCCATACCGCGACCAGCACTGTCGAGAAGGAAGTTGCCGTTCAGCAGCACCTGCGTAGTTATTCCTTGCGGCCGCGTTAAAGACAGGGGCCGAGAACCTTGCTTTAGCGCGGGTTTGAGTTTGTTTGGGCCAGCGGATGCTCCGCCCAGCCCGTCTGATGGAGGACCACCAACCGGTTGTAGAATCATCCTGTTTTTTCTCCAAAGGCAAAACTAACTACTTAATAGTGATAGTACAGATACGAGTGGACGTGGTAAAATTAAAAATAACTACGGTCGTTCTTGAAGAAGATGCTAATCGCGTTTTGCACTAGAAGAGGACTAAAGTATGTTGATGTTCTAATAAAGAAGCTTTTCGTAAATCTATACGGAGTACACACAAGAAGCAGAAGTTGTCTTGCTCTTGTTTATCTACATGTTTGTTAAAGACGAGTACGCCAATCTATGATCCTATTAGCAAAGAGTTGTCGCTTTGTCTTTGTCTTTGTTGATCCTCCGTTTTCGTTTTGGGCGCTTGTTTTTTTACTTTGCTGACTACTTAGATACTAAAAGAGAAACAGATTTACTTCTTCCATATGCGTATGCCTCGTTGTTTTCTCTCATGTTTCGCCTGGCTACGGTCGTTGTCTTGTAAATGTAATGGTAATGCCCTTATCAACACACTTGACGTAGCGATTCTCTTGGAAGTTCTTGATGGCCGGAACACATCTGTGCAGATTCCTCCCTGGGCTCGGCAGCTTGTTTGGTAATGGATTTTGCGTACTACATACTAAAACATAGACAAATGATGTCGTTACCTAGGTTATTCTTGAGGGCTCTTCCCATATTGCCACCGCCGTGTCTTGATTCTTAAACAAATATTCTACATCGGGGCTTCTCATGAGGCCATTCAAAAAAAGGAGTAAGAAAAGATCAAAAAAAGTAAGGGGGGGATTATACGGTTCTAATTGATTTTTACACAACGAACGAAATAGCGAGTAAGTAGAACAAGGCTCAAGATGAAAGTTAGAAATGGACAATTACGGTGCTGTATGTCAACCTTGGTTATAACAACGCCAGCTTCTGTTTCTGATTCGTATAATTTCTCCACTTATATTAACATCAAAGGGAGTGGTGTTGTCGGACGTTGGTCCGTCTTGTTGAAGCACTAATAACACGACAACGACAAGCTGCAAACTCAAACTCCTACTTGTAGGTAGTTCTTGTACTACTAGGTAGTAGAAGTAGTTGCTGCACATGTATTTTCAAGAAGATCGGCATTTCTACTTCCCAAATTTCGGAAGATGTAGATTTTGATTTTGTTTACCGCACAAAATTATTTCTCAGAGATGCTTTTGTCTTGTGTTAGTGTTGATCATTGTCTAACACAACACACAGCAATGACCTACAGCCTAGAAGAGGTTCTTCATCGTGTCACTTCAGTCATGTCATGTCATACTAGCTACCTCGTGACCTATTTTTGTTCCAGAATTGTGGTGGCCGCTTGACATTTGCTTGGTTACGAGGAGAAGAGCTTAGACCTCAGTGAGGGCAGCGGACCTCTTTTACTATGGGTATGGCATTATATCAAGCCAATTTATTGAATGAGCACTCGTACTGTCTACAGTACCCCTGTGGCAATCGCCAAAACCCCCATGAGTGGACCATCTTGCCAAATCATCCACGACATAGTGATCGATATCATACACAATTTATTACAAACTCTCACGACAAAGACACTGTAAACAAGCACAGACAACATTATGCAGAAATAAGATTCTAGGGAATTTTGCTTAATCATTTGATCTTAGTACTATTTGTATATTCAATATTACCCACGCGATCATCATAATTCAAGCATATCCATACTCATTTCCCCGAAATGACTACTTAACAGCATGCAGACGATCATATTCATTGAGGTGGATTGAAAAAAAGGACACTCATCCAAAAATAACATTAACAAAAGAGGCCTTACGTGGCTTTACGATCAACAGTTTTTACGTTCCTTGACTTTCTCGTATTACCAGTGGCTTCAGCTCCATCTTGTTCGTTCGGCACGAGGGATCGTTCACTGAGGTCATTACCTATCTTCGACGAAGAAGAGAAATTCTGTAGTGATCGATATCATACACAAACACAAGCTCTCACGATAAAGAGTTTGCAAATACAAGCACAACGTTATGCACAAAAAAACGCTAGGGATAGCTTAGAAGTCATTTGATGTTTTCAATATTACCCACTCATCCATCATAATTCAAGCATATTTCTTTCCCCGAAAAAATACTAGAAGCAGCACGAAGACGATCGTATTCATTGACGACTGAAAAAAAACGACATTCATCCAAAATTAACATTAACAAGAGAAGCATTACCTAGCTTTTCGAGCAATAGTTACGCTCTCTGATTTTCTCGCTTTACCAGTGGCTCGCCCCAACTCCATCTTGTTCGTTCGACTTCGACACTATCCTCCGCAACTACTACTTACAATCAAATATTTGAAAAAAAAAACATAAGTACACTTTTCACATATCTTTATCGTTTATCCGAAAAAGCTTTCTCCATGAAGCTCCTTTCTGTGATGTTCTGGCGCCCTTCTGTCTCTGTGAGTATGGGCATAGCGAATTCTCTAGCGGGATCGCGCAGACTTCTTCCAATCATTTGTTTCAGATGTCTATCTTCATCGTAACAGCTTCACGAAACGGTCTGCAATCTTTCCTGCGTTTCTACTTGTACGCCCGTTCTACCTACGCTCTACTCCTACTGCACTACGCATATCGGAAAGAATTTCCTTGCGCTTTCACCGCTTTCACAAGTACCGTCATCCAAAGTATCGCACTCAAAAGTTCTGAGGATTGATGCAAGCGCGTCGAAGGTCTCCCCAAGCCAGTTTTCCAGCTTCTTGAAGAAGAAAGGATCTGCGTCGAGCGCTTCTGGGAGTTGAATCTGGCAGGCCGTGTTCAGTTGTTCTTAGAGCCGAAAATTTATTGTCGACAAGTATCTTAGCTCTATGCCCCTTTTACTTTTAGGCGATGATAATTATCTCAGTCGTACTAAGGAGGTATTCACTTTCTTTCATTCAGAGATGCGCAAGTCAATAGTCAAGTCAACGGTGATTTTTTGTGGAAATAGCCTTAAACGTCTTTCGTTTCCAATTTCCTCTCGAGTGTCATCGCGCGTTGTTCTGAGGCAACCGAATCATTCCGAAGCTTCAGAAAGGCCTTCTCTTGCTTTGCTGCATCTTCTTTGACCTTTAGAAAGGCCTTCTCTTGCTTTGCTGCATCTTCTTTGACCTTTAGAAAGGCCTTCTCTTGCTTTGCTGCATCTTCTTTGACCTTTAGAAANGACCTTTAGAAAGGCCTTCTCTTGCTTTGCTGCATCTTCTTTGACCTTTAGAAAGGCCTTCTCTTGCTTTGCTGCATCTTCTTTGACCTTTAGAAACGCCTTCTGTTGCTTTGCTGCATCTTCTTTGACCTTTAGAAACGCCTTCTGTTGCTTTTCTAGGCTGTCCGAAGAAGAGTTCGCAAGCTTTTGCCATTTCATCGCCTCTCTCTGCCAGTAGATAATATCACCAAGCATGGAGGCAAGAGCGACTCCCGCGACGCACGTGGCAACGAGGGCACGACTACGCCCGAGCGGTGGACTCAACTGTTTCTGCACATGGGCTGCTCCGAGAGTGCGTTGCACTTCAGACGTCCACTGAACATCTGCATCTGGATTGATATTGATTAATTAATTTCTATTTCATAGAAAAATATAGTCCCCTTTTTGTTCCCATGTAACACGGACAAGATCTTTGTAAGAATACTCTCAAAGTAGTAGAAGAGCAGGAGAGTTGTGATTACTCATACTTACATAGTAGTTTCAGGACCAGCTAATAGTGGTGCTGAACGGATATCATACTGTTTCTATTTACCCCTTACATCGATGAGGACAACGCGAGGAAGAAAAAAATTAAGATTCCACGACATATCATCGATGTTGAGTTTGACTTCCCACTTCTTTCGGAACAAGTCATTGATGCACGTGCAGACTACAATATCATTACTTCTCTTCTTTTCGTTGTACCGAAAGTGTGCACCTCATATTTACCAAGTATGATGTTGAATACCCTTCTTTTCTTCGAGGCGAGGAAAGATTCCAATGAGCAGTCTAAGATTCGATAGCGCCTCGCATGCACTGGTTGCAGTCATCGGTTTCCCCTGGTTGCAGGTAATTGGATTCTGCTCTAACAATTCCGCCAACCCATTGCAGGTGCTGAACGTAGATGCGGAGGAACCCGAACTTCCACATCCTTCTCGTCGCATTTTCATCTCTGCAAGAATATGAGAACCATTTGTAGTGCTGTAATCTATTGTCACGAGCGGCGCAAGCTCCTTCTGCTTTGTTGCATCACAACGCTCCATCAGGCATACACGCAGCTCCGCGATGCGCGGCTTATCACCACGGTAAGGCTTTAAGTAGGAATCCACAACTTCCTGGACCCGAAGAAAAAATACCTCATCAAATTTGGCAGTCAGCGGATTGAAAGGAAACTTGTCTGTGGCCAGCTGCTCAACCTTCGGCGAAACTGGATCTAACACGACAATCGCGGAAACAAGGTCCTCGCCGAACTCCTCGGAACTCGAACCTGTAGAAATCAAAAACTTTTTCTCTGTCAGCGAGAACAGAATATAACTAAGATGCCCAAATCGAAAGCAGGCTCTGCCATCATTATGATACTTGGGTCCATCTCCATGAATCAATCATACATCACCACAAATTTTCTTGTACTACTCTACACCTACAAAAATTACAAAACAATTACTACTTTGAACAAAATGGAAATTAAACTACGATTTTCTATTTTTCGGAGGTTCTTCTGCAATGACTCCTTATTCGCAGAAATAGTAGCGCCGGGGTCTGTTGATTCTGTTAATATCATAAATATCTCCCATCAGGATTTCCATGTAGTCCCAGTGACGCACCCGCATGTCTACTGCATTCCATATCTGCTTTCTGATCTCATTGGTTTGTATACTTTCTGGAAATTTCACCAAAAAATTAACGAACAGTGCGGCACTCTCGGCGTCCGCTGAATGTGTAATAGGGGGGAAGAGCAAAATCAACAAACAAGAAATAACATCCGAATGCAAGAACAAGGGAAAAACGGCAAAAATAAAATACTTTCACGCGGGTAGCAACTCGTCTATGTGCATCTAGTATAGCTAAGGCCAATAATAATGTATTCGATAAACTGAAATAAGCGAGTAACTAGGGAAAATAAGGGAGATACTGAAAGAAGAGGAATGCAGTAGTCAAGACTCTCTTATTTCAGTCAGTAACTCGCTTATTTTGAGTTTTCGATTACGTTCTGTTTATTATGACCACAAATAGAGATGCACGTGGTAGGTGTACTTAGAAAAGAGAAGCTCAAGGATCCAGAAAACTATGAGGGTGGTGCAAATGGTTAGGGACGCGAAGGATCTGATTTAGATACGAGCGTAGTAATCCATATGTGATACGACCTAAGGGTTCTACATATATTATAAAGGGAAAGGCAACGAGTGTGAAGATATCATGTAGACGAGCCTATCCTGTTTAAGATTTATCAAAGCGAAGGATTTAAAACGTCCTTGCGAATACCCATGCACACTGGCAGGAGCTTCCAGAATTTCGGGTCCCAGTGATGGCGAGTAGTAAACTCCCCGTGGAACCACCTCTCAGGCATACGAATGGCATCCATACAGTCTTCCAAGCGCTTCTTCCAGCTCGAAACGGACTCGGAGTTGGCATGCCACCCAGAATCCCCATCCTCCTGTGGTGTCGGCGGGGACGGGGTGGCAATGCCCAGGTCTTTCTCAATAATGAGGCGGACTCTTAAAAAGAAATCAGGTTCCGTCTTGGAGTCACGAACACGCTCGCTTATCACATCAGCCAGGACCGAGTAGTATTCCTTCTGCGATACTGCGAGTCCCCATGGAATACTAGTACCGAGGGCGACAGAAGCAAAAGAGCACAGCACGAGTCCCATGGTCGTCATGGGCACAGGGTATGCGCTTCTATTCGGACGATGTCCTTTCGAGCCTGCTCCATGGTAAAAATACAACATTTTGCCGATCAATGCACGTGGTCGGAAGTCCACAGAAACAAACATCAAACAACCCACAAAAGGTACTATTTCACTTCAACAAGAACAAGATCCTCTTAACTTAACTCAACAAGAGCGATTTATTCCAGAAAAGTTGGTATGTGTAAACCAGTTAGAGATTTGAAGAACCAGCTTTCTGGAGGGCAACCTTGGTCAGGTAACGGCTTTTCGATCTTGCAAGCAGCGTCTAAGTATTCATAATCGTGTTTGATACACTCTCTGACACACTCACAACCAAGTAAGAGAAATGAAAGAATGATAAAGTAAGTAATCATAAATCATTTTTAGATGATCTTAGTACAGGAGAAATCAGTTGTCGACACCTCTAGATTGACATGACATCTGAAACAGTCAAACCAAAGAACGAGTCTGAGCAACACGCAACTTGAGTTTGATCATGCATGCGCAAAATCGAGTCAGAAGTTGAGGTTTCTATTCAACGTACAGCACGCTGTAGGAACCATTACGTGGACCCAGATAAAGCAGGAGCTTGTCGATTGAATTTTCTTAGATATCAAATTGTTGGGTATATATTCGCATGTGGATAACACGAGAAGCCTGACACTCTTTGCCTTGTATGTTCATCTGGATTTCGGAATAACGCGAACCAAACAACGATGGCGTGCGCAGGCGCGCATTTCTGTATCGCGTTTGAAGATCATCTGAGAAATACGCGTATGCATCTCACATCAATATCTAATATTCAACAAGGATCTCCTCCATTTCGTGGCGAAAAGCCAGATTAATTTGGATAAGTATAAATCAGTCCCCGGTTGAGAAAGTGTAGGCGTAAGATCATCCAGGTCACCCAATGTGACGAATCAGCACGAGGACCCTCATCCAGTTCGATCCTTGTCCATGGTTCTGATTTCAATCAACTCGCGCGGCCTCGTTCCTCGTTCCTCCCATGCATATAGATCCCCACAACGTTCCACCAGGATCATGAACGCCATCAAGGTCCCCGGTTCCCTGTTCGTTCTCATCGTTATCATCATCATCACCAGCCTAGTAGTCACCATCTTCATCAGTATGCTAGTGGTAGTCACGTCATCTTTCTCACCCGCAGACTGGTAGCATCGACCTGAGTAATTTCCCTGACTTGCATGCGTGTGGTAGTGGTTTCAGTGTGTTCACTCTAGTGGTGTAGTCAGTTGGTCGGTATCTCAGTCGGCCGTGGACATTGCTAACAGAAAGTGAGGCACACAGAAATATAAAATGCCTATTTGTGTTGATACATGCTGAGAATGCTTATGCGTTGCGAACAGTCAAAATGTTTGCGCACGCTGCCACTGGAAGAACGGCACTGGCTCCCTATGGGTCAGTTCCAGAATGCTGATACTCCAGCAGAAGCGACAGATCTTGCCGTGTGCTTCCTGATGGGCCCACGTCGGGTTGATAAGGCTCTGGCTCATCTGTCCTTCGAGCTTGCACTAGTGGTGCATAGCCGAGCATATGTCTGCGTAGCGGCTCCAAGAACAGAGGCTGACGCCATTTCTCCGCGGACTCTAGCGTACTGCGAGGTAAATAAAACGCCGCGTCCAGCACCTGCTGCACAGCAGGGGAACGCGATTGCTCTGGTCGCGTCTCCGCCAGCGCGTTCTTCCAATTCCTCAAGTTTTCTGGATAGATCTCCAGAATTCTTTTCAAGCGATTGCCGTGATGCTGCATCCAGATCCATCGGAAATTAGCATAAGTCCATTGCTCGTCGTTGCCACGCCGTTTGTTCGCATCGACTTTTGGCCAGCTCCTAGCCATGGTCCGGAAAGTGTCTCGGAAATGAAAGTGCCAATTTTTCCGCGGCATTACATCTGGATGCTCATCACCTAATGATTTGTACCAATACTCTGGGGAACAGATGTCCAGCCCGTACTCGCGTTTCCCCAAGTGCAATGTTTCGCCTTCTTCGGCCGGCGGAAGGCAATAACCTAGGTCAGTTGCTTGGGAGAATGAAGCTGCGGATATGTAGATTGACTTATCTTTCAAAATCATAGTCGTGCATCTTTGCTGACTATAGTGCCAAGCGTTTTTGAAAATGTATAAACGCTAACTCTGTAAATCAACTTAGCCTTGTGTCTAAACAAGCGCTAAGTTCATCACTCTTTGATGAAACATGGTTGTGAGCGCTACATTCATCATCGTGAATAGATAACCATAACCAACCATCTAGCTCGAGTTAGTTTAAGAGTTTCTACAGAATGAAAGTACGAGATTGAAAGGCCTGGCGCCTACACCAAGGACAACTATGCTGCGGGTAACGACCTGAAAGTAGATCAGCCTGACCGTGCTCCAACATACACAGAAAAGCGTCGGGATATGATAGATAAAAATAGAAGCGAAGAGAATTTACCATGTTTCACGGGAAAGCCGTCGCCCTCCTCCAAACCACCGACTAGTGTCTCGCTTTGAAAAAGAAACTCGGCCACCATGGCGATTCGGCATCTATATTCTTCTGCCTCTCTCTGATCTGCTTTTTCGTCGACTGCCGCTGCAGCAGCGTTGGCACGCGCGACCTCATCAGGGTTCCATTCTGGTAATGCCTTACCGAAGAACCTCTGTAAATAATCGAGGGAAGGGCGAGTACGCGAAACAACGTAAGCAGGCACATCGGGACCTACTCTACCTCGCGTGTCGATTTTACTGTGGAAGAACTGCCACACTTCCTCGAAAAACGGTCTATCATCAATCCCGTTGCAACCGCCCGCCTCATACCGCAGGCTCATGTACTGCGTCCGTAGGGGCGAACCCTTTCGCCAATATTCATAATTAGCATCCAAACCACGCGAACAAGTAGAGGCAAGCGACATCAGCAAATGAACCGACCATTTCTTCTTGTCTACTCGGGGGAAACGATATATCTCTCTGGGTCCGCTGTTAAGGATCTGCAACCACCAACTGGCATCTGCTCTTGACCATACCGAGTTGCAATTACGTATCATACCTTAGACAAGCCTCCCGCTGCATCCGTGCTACCTGGATCTCGGGTGTTCATTCCCTATGGGAAAATGGACATGAACAAACAAGCCTCATTTTCCTTTTTGAAGAGAGAAAACACTAGGGCCATGCCAGGGATGCATTAATAAGAGGGCAGTCTTAATTCCCATCGATTACTTCCAGCCAATCTATTCCGTACGGGTCACTGGCGCTGGTCCATAGATCTTTCGGCTGCTTCTTTCCTAGTGGCAATTTATTGTCTAGCCACTTGAGAAAAAGTATCTCACAGTTTTCAGTTCGCTCTCTGTATTTTTCAGCGCTTGGCACGTTCTTTGGCTCAACTTGTTCCTCTATATCTACTGCCTCTACTAACACGGCGCCTTCTGCTCCTCCTATTTCACTCTCAGGCTGCCCTGTTTCTGCAGATGAATGCGCCCTCCCCGCTCCATCAAATCCTGGAATACTTACTCTACTGAAATCTTCATCGACATGCTGTTCCATTGCTGCTCCGCTAGTATTCCTTTGTCCGGCTTGTTGTCCTCCTATAGCGGCGTCTTCTTGTACAGTTTGTACCGTTCCTGGGGACGAAGGGGCCTCAGCGATCACCTGCATGGGTCTTTCATCATCTTCTCCAGGTTCTTCGAGGTCCGTCCTTGTCCGCCCTGCTTTGTCTTGCTCAGGTGGTGCGCCAGAGGCCGCCTCATTCAATAGATTCTCTTGTCGCTCAGCTTCGGCCACTGACCCGCTCGCGGAAGGCTCGAGTCCGGGTCGTTGTAATATTGGTGGAAATGTAGTGAGTTCATGCTGTTGTGGCTGGCTTCCCTCAGTACCTTGCTCTACTCCTACTGTTCGCTCATCGCCCTCCATGGGTGCTACGTGACCCTGTGGATTCTTCAGATGCAACTCCGATGGTCGAGAAAACAATGTGTGCTGGACCGCGCTAGCAGCACCTACGATAGCCGGACACTCATCTAAAGCAGTAGCACCTTCTCTTTCACTAGCAGTCAAAGTTTCCACACGACAACGAGGTCCCATTTCGCTATTCTTATCTTGCGTGGGATCTTCAGGCTCCTTTGGAAGAACGGCTGGCGCATCTTCTCCTTCCACATTTTTCCCCACATTCTCTTGTTGGTGTGCACCAGCATCGCGTGGCAGATGGTCACAATTATCGCGTTCGCCGGTGTTTTTGCATTCTTCTACAGGGACAGTATAGCGGTGTGTACCAGATCCAGCAGGAGCAGCACCCCCTGTGGCATCGCGTTGTTCTGGGAGGCTAGAACAACCTTTGAGCGATCCGGCAGCAGCATCACAATCTTCATTTTGGCTACTTTCATCGAGCTGGTTGATGATTGCTGGCGGGGCCCGCTCTCCGCTTGGTCCAGAACTGGCATCTACTGAAGTTTTTTCCGGGAGTGAGTTCAGCGGCGCACCATCGTCTCCATAGCCATTTTCAGTGCTACAACTGTGACCACGATCAATGCCAGGAACTTGTTCAATTTCTTGTGCTGTTGGTCCACCGTTTTTATTCGTGTCCTCAACAGCCGGCACTTGCGGAGATGACATGGCTCCAGGATGAAGCTGCGATCCTCCCAGCGTCGACGCTTCCTCCTTCTCCACCTGCTCCTCGACAAGTTTCGCTTTTTGCGGCTGCAGTACTTGTTTGTCATGACTAGTATTCCCATCAAGCTCGGCTGACATTTTTTCCTCTGCTTGATCGGAGTTGCACTGTTCTATCTTTACTCCATCCAAAAAAATACCGGGCTGGCTGTCTACCTGTTGCTTCGCCGGCCCATCAAAGTTGTCAAATATTCTGCTTCCCCCATCTTGGGCCACGGCGATAAAAGAACTGGCTCTACCAGAAAGACCGTTTATTGCCGAAGTAGCTGGTGCAGAACCACTAGAGGCAGACACTCCGGCTTCAATTTCAAAACTAGCGCTTGACAAACCAAAGTCGCCATCGCGCGATGGCTCCGGAGCATTTTGTTTTGCAACCGCCTCTCCGAGAGAGACAGTTCTTGCATCTTCTTTTCTTGGAGTTTTGGATGCGTCTCCTGAATCTTTAATCGTATCTTCTGCAGTGTCAGGTTCTATCAAATCAATGATACGGGGGCTGTTGCGATCATCACCGCTTGTTTTTGCGTTCGAGCTCTGGCGGACAACACTTGCTTCTGGCAAAGTAGGTGTTTGCTTGCTGCTGCTTCTACTGTCGTCCTCTATTCCCGTTTGCTTAGCTCCATGATTCACTTCACTTGTTCCCGGCTGTTCACCCCCACTAGGAGGTATTTTTGGCAGTATTAGAGGAGACCTCGTTCTTGTTGATTTAGAACTTGTACATGTTTGGGGTTTACCACTTGGTGGAACTGTCGGCGTACCCCTTACGCCTGTTGGTGAATTACCAGTGGGGCTTGTCGCTGATGCCGCGTGACTTGAGCTTGTAATTGCAACAGTTTCCACACCGTGTGGCTGCAGAGCAGTCTCTTGTTCGGGCAAACAACCGGTCGCGTTACTTCGGGGACAATCTTCGTGTTTTTCTATGTCTTCTTCCTCTGGCTCTGATTTCACCTCTACCAAAGGTGTAGTTGGAGGCCGGACAAAGGGTTTTTGGCCAAAGCTTTGTTCTTGCCGCTTCTGTGTTTGTTCCTTGTCGTGTTGCAGGTAGTTTCCGTTTTGTTGAGTCTGTGACACTTGTCTTCCTGGCGGGAGAAAGTTGCTTGGATGCGAAGATCTTTGGAGAGTTGCGCCACTCATTTGTTGTCGAGGTGGCGCTGGTGTAAACGTAGCCGGAGGTTCAAGAAGATCAACCGCCGCTGCAGGATGAGAAACCCCACCTCCAACATGACCTCCGCCAACACGACTGGTATAGCTTCCGCTCCCACCGCGCCCAGTTCCACCATAATTTCCGCCGCCACCGCCACCAGAGCCTCCACCTCCACCAGAGCCTCCACCGCCAGTGCCTCCACCGCCAGTGCCTCCACTGCCAGAGCCCCCACCTCCGCCAGAACCTCCACCGCCACCAGACCTTCGAGACGAAGCACCTCCAACAGAGGTTGACGGCGATATACTTCTCGCGTGGCTGGAAGTGAACGAACTGCCATCAGAGTTGTGTGTCGTTGATGGAGGTCTTGTATTGCCAACTGTGGCTGCTGCGATGCCAGTGCGTGCTGCAGTAGGGTCATCGAGCGATGACATTCTTCCAGCACTAGAACCAGTCCCAGAACCAGCACTAGACCCTCCAGTAGTAGTAGAAGCCGGATTGGAGGCAGGGAGTGCAGCGGACGATGTCCGATGGTCTCGGTTCGCTCGTTGAAAGAAGATTATGCCAACGACAGTGCCTCCTATTGCTAGGCACACAAAAGTGGAGACCAAGACAAAGAAAACAACTCTGGAGAAGCCACAAATACGAGCTTCAGGCCCCATAGGTTTCACGGCAGGAACATTAAGACAAGGAACTTCGTCTGTTGCTGGCTTGTCGTGAGCGTCTTCTAGAACAAGGTGACTAATTTGACTATCATGCTCTTCGTCAACTCCAGGCTTTAGCTCGTCAGGCATTGTCTCCAGCGGTCCTGCCCACTGCGCATGTCCTGCATGAGAAACCAACTCCAAAACAGGTGTCAAGTGAGCGGCTCTGTTGTTGCTTGGACTTGGGCTTGTTGGTGAAGAGGAAGTAGACTTGCGGTTGCTATGTTGAGAAGTATCATGAGTCAAGATTTGCGCTGCAGACCAGCGGTTTTGCCACTTACGCTGCAAACAGTGCTGCGTCAAAGCAACCAAGTGAAAGAAAAGCTGTGCGTTTTCCGCTTCGTATTTACGATGATGGAGATAACGTATTTGCACGCGAGAGTCGGCTATCGCGAACTGTAAGCGGTGTCCACAGCCCTCGAAATGTCTGTACGGACCGCGTCCGTACAAGAGTTCATACAGAACGATGCCCAGAGACCAAATGTCAGCTTGCGGTCTCATTTTCATAGAGCCCACTCCCTCCTCCGGTTGCCAGAACGCTTCGGGCGCCATGTAACGCGGCGTGCCGCACTGTCCGTACCGCGAAACGTGCGTTTTGGTAGCATCCAGTGTTCTCGCCAGACCGAAGTCCGACAGCTTCAAACGACCATCCACGACCAGACAATTCGCAGGCTTCAAGTCAAAGTGCACCAGTCCTGCTTCGTGAATGGCCGCCACGCCATGCACTAGATCCATCCACAGGCTTTGAATCGCTACCAGTGACAGGCTCTGTCCTTCTTCTGATTTTAAAAACGCTCGCAGGTCATACTGCGCGAATTCTAAAAGGATGTGGATCGCAAGCTCCGTTTCAAATGCCTCGTCCTCATAGATCTGTACAACATAAGGACAGCCCCTCAAGCGACGGAGTGCCTCGATCTCCGCTTGCAGAAACTGGAGATTGCGCTGATCTCTGGCGAAGACAACTTTTAGCGCAAATACCTCGTTTGAGGTCACGTCTATACACCGGTAGACATCGGCACTCGCACCGCTCCCACAATAGGCCTCCACACGCAAGGCTCGGCGTTGTCGAAATACGACCGTAGCGCCAATACCAATGCGACGCCCTACTACGCCCTCCACTGGTAAAAGTTCATCTCCTTTGTGAATATCCGGCACCACAGCCGCAGCATCACCTTCAGCGACCTCAGGAGGAGCTTCCCTCTTGTCTAAGTTCAGTACGTTTGGAAGCAAGGGCGCCTCTTCTTCTCTGACGGGAACAGCTTGTAGTTCTTTAGGCGGTCTTCCATCGAGAAACCGACCTGGATCAAAAATATTCAAAGATGGAAGATGCACACCTTCTCCGAGAACTTGGCCATCTTTCTCTTCCTCTACTTCGACTTTGCCAGCTTTCTCTGTCAACAGGTCTTTCACCGTCATCTGGGTTGGAGGGGGTGCTGTAGGTGCTCCCGGGCCTTGGCTGGTACTCGGACTAGTTTTAACGCTAGACACTCCTCACTATCTGTGCTGGAGTCAAAAACTCAACAAGTGCTCTTCCTAGTTTCCCCGTGAAGATGTTCTCCCCTGCTCTAAATGATCAGGGAGGACGCCTTCGCTGGTGAGCATGGATACTACCTCGTCAACAAAACAGACAATTTAGTGAGTGTCATCTACTCTAGGTCTAGCCTTAATGGTGGACTTTGTCTCTGCTGTAGCCTGATCCGCATTCTGACTGTGACTTCCTTGTTGCACATCAGGCACAGATAAAGAAGTGCCTGATTTTGTCAACGCAATGTCGGGATTCCTCTTCGACATTTTGCCGGGGGGTTCGTCACTTGTTCAGCGGAAAAAATGTACGCTCGTCTGATAGTCTGGAGTTTGATCAAAGAAGTCCAACTGTAGTTGTCACAACAAAAACTTCTGCATAGATGCATGGACGACTCTCGTGCTCAGAGTGGGTAAAACAGCTGTTGAAAAATGAGGGTTATACTAATTACATATAATTGCCAAGTGTTCATCTTCATCATATTCCATTTACTACGTCCATCAAGAAACAAGAAGGGACGACTACACGCAGTAGCAGGGCTGATAAATACTTACATAGATAGGGAAAGAATAAAAATAAGAAGGTCGATTGAAGCAACAGAAATAATTGAGATTTTTCAAAAAAAAGCATTACTCAAGCGGATTATACACAGAGACACTGTCTTATCGAGGCTGCTCCGAGCAATCTATCACTAATCTTTGAATTAATATCGAAAAAGCAAATAAACTCGTACTAGAGCAGACTAACACTGACACAGCACTTCTATCGTTTACCACTATACTCAATGTTGATCTACCATCAACAAGGCTGACTTACTACCAAGCCATAGTCACTGACTCACACACAGAGAGGGGGAAACAACAGCAACAGGGAGCGAGATGGGAATGGGTGCGAGGAATCCTACACAGAAGAGATTAAACAAGACATTTGAGCACGAAGAAAAGAAGTGCTCCCTCGCCAGTTCATGAAAAAATGTGTCATATAAAGAGTCATCTTTATTCTTCAATTTATTTGTATTTGACAACTACGTACCACAATCTATAAGTATAAAAACTAAAGGTCAACAAATTATAAAGTCCCTAGATGCTTTTGCTTCCTACGTTACTATTGAAACCGATTGGAAGTGACTTGATGCGACACAACTGTAGTGCACGTTGACATAGATATTCTACTTAGGATGAAAAAGCAGCAGCACAAGACCGATCAGTCATTGCTTTGTCACCTGGTAGTTTTTGTCGACATTTGCTGGGAAGATTGATAAGTATATCCCTATTTCCGATTAGCATCTGCATGGTTACAAGCATATCACGATTCCTCCTAGTCTACCACGACTTTCCTTTAGAAATTGCAGTCCATATGCTCAATATTTTCTTTACACGATCAACACCAATATCTCGCGCGAGCTCCTCTACTTTTTCTTTCATCGTCTTGTTTCTATTTTCATTCTCATAGTTGTCGTACATGAAGATATTACTCACATAGCAGATATGCCAGAATCAAGAATCAGGAGTCGGTCCCGCTCATATCAGAATGCCAGGCCAGAATAACGGTGAATGCTGGAGCGTACCAATAGACTCAGAGTGCAATTGAGTGCTGTGATGTGCCAATGCGTGCAGTTCAAGTTCAAGACAGATGATCGATTGAGGATAGATCAAGCAGAGTACGTAAGACAGACGATAGATTTATTAGGACGGTAGAGAACCGAAAAACCTCCACTGAACGATTTGGATTCTCTCCTTCACGAACTACGAATCAAGCGCAGCTTAGCTGGAGATCCTTCACAACCGAGGCGAGTGTTGACTACTTGCCGAGTTGTATTATAAATGCGATAAGATACAAGCGAGCACCGAATTCTTGTTACGAGAAATCGAAGTGGGCAACGCGAAAATAATGAATGAAGTAAAGTATCATACTATGACAATTCAAGTATGTATTAATGTTGATGAACCGAGGAAGACCAAAGACAGGAATTTCTCTAAACCGAGAAACACAGAGAGCCTGAAATGTTACCAAGCAAACAAAGAAAAGAACATGAAGAGAACAGTGTGGTTCCAAGCATCAATAAGCTTTGTTGAAGTGGAGAAAACAGTCCTCGAACATGTGAGGGAAAAGAGGTGCTTCTAAGTACTCAAGTGTAGTAAATTCAAATGAACAAAAATCAATGTCAAAATGCTCTTCCTCTCTAGAGTTTCGAAATTACACCTGCTCTTCTCGCCCTTGCGGATCTTGCTGCTGTCTCCGTGACGTTTTCATGCCGGTCAAAACGCAATTTTGCAACCAGGCAAACGCGGCCGTCGATGTCGAGACAGTACGCCGTCACAAGCTTCACATCCTCTTGTTCTGGCGGTCGATCCTTCTTGCTTGAGCTACTACTACTAGTCTTCTTGAGTTCTGGAGATGTAGGTTTTAGCTCTACTTTGGAAAACTCTACTTCACCTGGTTGTGCTGTTGACGACGACGTTGATGAACCTTTCTTGTCTCCACCCTCTACGAACCCTTGTTGCAGAGCGACTAGTTGCGATCGTTGTTGCAGCTCCGCTCGGTCATTCGCTCTAGAGGATTCACCACTGTAGTAGGTTGTGGTTGCGATCCACAAATACCGCTGCCCGCTGAAGAGCGCGTAGTGCCGCTGCACCGCCATGTCGGTCAAGACGTAGTCTAAGCCAGCTGTGTTGTCAGTAAGCAAATTGCAGTGCCGCATTACTGTCCGGTAAGAAAGCTCCTCCAAGCACCCTGTGACGAACGCTGAATGGACTTCAAACCCTTGATGCTTCTCCTCTAGAGACATCTGCAACTGCTTCGTCTTCGGATCCATGTAGCGGTCTCGCGTGTCCAGCAGAAAGGAAACGTCCCAAAAGAGTGATGTTCTCCGACACTCTTCACCTCCTATTCCGGTATTGATAAACGATGGTCCACTTCGGATTCCGGTAGTTCGTGGCTGTGATGGGTCGTTGAACGCCTCGTCTAGTGACCTTTGACTCATCGACGCATCTTCTTGTTTCGCCATGTCGACAATGCACTTTAGCCACGACTTGTTGTGCAGCAGGACAAGAGACCGTTGCCTGGCTAGCCACAATCGCACGCGGGAAATTCCATCGACGCCGCCGTCGGTGTGCAGGGTAGCGTCAGCAACGAAATTGCGGATGGATGAGGACATCCAATTCGGATAATTCAGGAGGACCTCATCTAATTTGGCCCGCTTGCGACCCTCCGTGTCGTCCATTTCGCGTGAAGAAGGTGGTAAGTTGTCGCTTGTTATATGATGGATATGGATGGTTTTCGTTGTTTGTAGTTATACTTGTACACGAGAATGATCACAATTATCAAACGAATCAAAAATTTTTGGCAATCAAGTTTCAATTTAGTATCTCGAGGCAGAAGTTGTAGGTATTGATGCTGATAAATATCAAGAATAACTGCCACATCAATTGTCCTCGTGTATCATCATGATAATCTATCATAAACGATGCTGTGACTGACTACTGCAAATCTGCAAACATTTTTGGTCCGAAGCAAACGATCCTGCCTATTTTTCGAACGCCACAAGCATGTTGAAGGAACTGAACCGCATAATTAGTTACTGAAGACCATCATTTTTACATATTGCAGTTCGCTAACGCTATGTATCATTGGTTTGTTAGGACAAAATGTAAAAATTATAGAGGTAAAGAGACCCACAAAAAAAGACATAAACTAAGAAAGAGACATAGTACATCAAAAAAAGACTTAAAAAACTCATTTATCTCAAAATAATACCTTCTCGAACGCTAATGTTGCTATGTCAGAGAGTAGACCGAACGGCTCTGATAATTTCATTGATCGGGGTATTTTCTTGCACTTATACAATGCAATGCAATTAATCTCGCTTTTTTTTTTTGTATCGTGAGCGAGTTCCGTGAAGAACCTGCCTACATATTGCAGACTGCCATAAGGGCGTCGTAGATAATAAATGCACAAGTGGGGTCATCGACGAAGGTTGTACAAATATACAATTCATCAAGCATAAGTTCTCACTCCATCCTTCGTATAATCTTCTTCGCATCTGTTGTGGTCGCATTCGATGATGAACAAGGATGTGTGAGGATCTTCCCGTAGCATACTTTTACAATTACAAGTTTTGCGATTTAGTTCGACGCACCAGCAGCGGTGGGCGCAGAGAAAACAAACATTTCACAGACAAGATATTACCGATGCCAAGCGGAACATTTCTCGTCTCTCTACCGAATATTATAGCTCTCTTTCTTTCAACAAGCGCATTTCGAGCATGATGGAGCTGGATCTGTCTCTTCGAATATGCAGTTGAGACGAACCAACAAGAAAGCAACCAACATGATCACATCTTGTATAGATGCTTCACTCGTCATCAAGGCTCTCGTGCGGCTGTGTCGCTCGTCAGCTCGTTTCAACGTATGCAAGAACACTGTCTCTATTGTTTTCGCATGACAGAACATGCGATTTCAAGCGACCGTGCAGTTACGAGTTCGTTAGGTTTTTTTCGACTGATCATTCATAACTTTCATAGGAGGTGAAGCTGCAAGGCGAGCCAACTTTTTTTCATAGATATCATCACCAGGATCTCGATCATTTTCACTCGTTGTTGATGAAGTTGTCCTAGAAGGACCTGAGGTACCATTTTCTGAATCTGTTCCTCCGTCTATCTGAACTACCTTCGTCAAGGAAGAGGATTTAAGTAGTTGCTGTTGGTTCAATTTAGTAGTTGCAGTACTGGCATCCTTGTCTTTCACTTCTTTGACCCCTCGAAAGTTGTTCCACATTGGCGTCAGCTGATGTCTTTTGAACTCAGTCCATTCATCGACTATATCGTCGATGAACAATTGCAAAAGCGCTGCTCCAGTCACATATAGAAATGGATACAAAGGCTGTCGAAATAGCCTGTTAAGCCAGAATTCTGCAGCATCGATGCCACGCAGTCGAACTGCATCCCACCGTCTCCGCCTATAGATACCCCATCGCCACTGTGCAGAGAAGGCAGGAGCATGGAGAGAGGAACGATACGCATGAGCGTGATACGCGTAGTTGTAATTGTAGTGCCATTTTGTCCTTGATGTTCGAATCAACATATTCATACTTCTTTTTCTTTAAGTACTCCTGGCAGCTTCCCTTACTTATAACAAAATGAGTAGCTCTAGCTTCTTTGACAAATTAATAAGTAGCCCCCGCTTCATGTTCATGATGTACTGCTCACGCTCACATGGCCGACAAAAATGATCTTGTTCTGTTGACCTCTCCTATTTCTCATCCTTTTCGCCTTTCTATCGTTCTGTAGCGTATACCGCACGAAAAAACAACCTTACGGAGCGGATCCAGTAGGAGGCCTTCTTTGATGAATCCATGAGGTTGGTCCCGCTTCCATTGCGCCCCATGGTATGCCTTGCTTGTTGTAAATGTCAAACAGAGAGATGCTGATATCGACAAATACAGGTACTTGGTACAAAGGGAAGCCAACAGGATGTTGATGATATTTCATACATGAAAGTGTCCTCGTACCATCAGAGGTTGTACTGGGTCACAAAAAAACTTGGAGTGTGGAGGAAAACTCAATTGGAGGTTTTGGGAATGGGAAGTAGAGAGGTACAACACGTACATGTTGAAAGATCACCTTTCAAAGATGTGAAACATAACGATAGATATAGCTGTCGTGGATAGCACTTATAGCTATAGCTGTTCTTGGATTCTGAAGATAAATACTTACTTATGTTGTTGGTATGAGGAGTTGTCATGTTTTGTGAAGATGTTGAATGTTGACAAAAAATCGAACTCCTGGAAGGTACTTCCCAGCTCTGATGGAGCCAGTCAGAGCCAGAGGAAGCTTCTTAGCACCACTCAGCCTCCACTCTTAAAGAAGCCTGTTACACAGTCTGCGACTTCTTTCGATTTACAAGCCGCCGTCAACTGCATCAGTACCCGACCCTGCCCATCCTTTCCGATCAACGCCCTGCATACCACTGAGAAGCCGCCTACAAAAGTGCCTGCCAGCCAGAGCTCGTGGGCATTACGACCAGCTACTGGCGTCTCGGTCTTGTCACACGCCTCCATGCCCATAGTGGCGATGACGCCTGCTACAGCGCGCTCGATCGAGTCGAATTCGAGTTGGAGCTTCGCGGTCTGGTGGAGGGGGAGGGAGAGATAGTGATGTTTTCAAGTTGGCAATTGGAAGAAGATCGATTATGATCGTGAGGTAGAATGAGACTCATTGTCATCGTATCGGATGAGGGCTAGATCAACAACTATGTAATGTTGTAATGCAAGAAAAACAAAACCTTGTTGTTACAACATTGCCTGAAGACATAGCCGCGAATTCATTGTACCGCTTCTCCAAAGCTCTTTAATTGCTCCCACAGTGGTCTGCAATGGCCCTGCGGCAACTGCATTGGCGTTACATAGTTTCCTGGCAAGACCTCGGCATTCTCCAAGACCGTCTCGTCAGGATAACCAATATCATCGCCATCCTCTAATTGGTTGTAACAGAGCTTCGCAGGCATTGAACCCGTGCAAACCGGTGAACTAGCATCACGCTTTTCGAGGACGACATAGCTGTTGTGGTTTGTTTTGGTACTAACTTGTGTTGGTATGGAATGAGACGGCAGCTTTGGGGAAGCTGTAGAGGGAACAGGAAGTTGAAGTTTATGTATGATGAATGATCAACGAATAAGTGCAAGATGAAAGCGAACCTTTAAGCAATATAATAAAATAGAAGTAAAAGTTGTAGTACGTGCTTTGGCTTTCGTTGTATTTGACGCTTGCTGCTTTGGCTACTCCTAGAACCGCAAATTTTTCAGCTGGTGGCGAAACTTGGACGTAACATTCGGCTAGTTCGACTCCATCTAACGTGTTTGTCACGTAGAATTCCAATACGACGTGCTTCGCGAAGATATGTCGGATCAACTGCACCGAAAATTCGGCCTCTAATTCGGTTACTGGCGTTCCCTTCGTGCACAGCAAGTGGTCGCCTAGTGCGGCTGGAGCGCCTGGTCCGAGGGCTGCTACGAGAGGGGTTAGAGCTAGAAGAGATGGGGTCTCATGCAACATCAAGTCTGTATTTCAGCAAAACCTAGTAGAAGAAAGGTTCATGTTAAGGCTGAGGGTCCACCACACCGCGACCAGGCCCCACCGGATGGAGCGAATCAATTGTCTTCTAATGAAATAACATTGCTAATATTCTTGTTGTCGTTCGTTGAAAGATCTTTATCCAGCATAACTTGTTCATCAGCTCCGATGGTGTCGAGCTCTTCGTTCTGCTCAGATCTGCTGCAGCAGCCTCACTCGCTGGCGCCGTAGACGTGCCGCTAATCGGATCGATCGACGGTGGATCCTTAGCCGCTGCCTCTTTCGCCTGCTGCGCCTTAAACGCTTCATAGGCTTCCGGTGATGGCAACGCTGACACATCGATTGGTTGTCCTCGCAGATCTGGCACTGCCATTTGCTTTTGACACAGTTCGAATAGAGCGTCTACGCTGAAATCCCTGATCGGTTCCGCAATGCAGTCACGCGGTGGCTCAGACGCCAACGAATCTCGGTATAGCATGATTCGGTCCCGCACTTCGTCATCGTTGTCGTTCTTGCCACATTCTAAGAGAGTAGCGATGTCGTTGCGCAAAGGTGGGCATTTCAATGCCACCTTGGTTAAGGCGTCTGCGGCAGCAGCGCGTACCAGAGCGTTTTCGAGGATAAGACGGTTGTACATGAAACGGACGAACCTGTCGTGCCATGAGGAAAAAAGTGTCAAGAACGAAGGAACAACGGCCGCCTGGGCCTGAAGGACGACGAGTCACATTCACATTATATTGCTTTATTTTTCCATAATGTCCTCCTGCTAAAATAAGCTTTATTGCTTTGTAGAACAAGACTGAGCTTCTAATCTATATCTAGAAGAACAAAGAAGTAAAAATACTTTCCCGGCGCTTGCTGCTTCGGAACCATCTCCCCTAAAAACGCTAGAATCTTCGTACACAAGTCCGGGTACTCGCAGTCCTCGATAAACTCGCATAGGTGCAACAAGCCCTCCTTGGAGGAGGCTGGTAGTTTTTCCACCAGACTGATGATAGCTTCCACGATGTCTCGTTTGAACTCCACGGAGCCTTCTTCTCGCAAGTTGCCGGACAAGAAGTGCAAGATTTGCTTGTACTTTCCCGGATACTGGAGGCCTAAGTGTTTCACTGCGCGGACGACTTCGACCTTGTAGACATCGGAAATATCGGACATGAAGGAAGTAATCTGCTTTACCAATCGCTCTACGTTGCTCTCGTTGCCCGTTTTGAGGAGAGAGGTGAGGGCGAGAGTGGCAGTACCTGGTAGTTGGCGAGGGTGAGACACTGATCTTCTTTTTCACCCCAGCACGAAGAATTATCAAAAAAAAAAAGAACGGACAAACTACTTAGGTTTCTACTCGTGCTGTTCAAGTTCAAGCTTGAACGATTTCGAAGACTACATTGATTATCATGCGCACATTAATATAACAAGGACGACTAGGTTACAAAAATTTAGATTTTTAGACTTCATTACTTCTATTCGGATCCGACAACAGCGGCTCCATGTCTTGGTTGCACCGCGACACCAATTCCGGTCGATGCTGCGCTAATTGGTTCAGAGTTCTCGCCGCTGCGAATCTCATGACGGGCTTTGCTGAAGTTAGGCCGATCTGCAAAATATCCACCGCTCGAGAGAAGTCTACGCCAAAAACGTGATTGATATGGGGATCGTTTTTGGACTCCGAAATAATAAGGTTGACAAAGGCACGGGCAGCCTCGTGGGTTACCTGCGTGGTGGAGGATAAATTGAGATTGAGGTGCTGTCAACATCAGGGTCAATGCGTCGTTGATGTATCTTGTTTTTTTGCAGTTCTAGGAGTTCATTTACATTTGATCTAGCTAGTACCATCTCGGCTTTCTGCTTCGCCTTCAGGCAGCTGTCTATGTAAGCGATGAGTGGCTTCTCTATTCCCGGATCCCTATCCTGCGCCATAAGTGCTGATGCTGAGTACCTACGTCATTGCAGATGGTAGATGATAATTGATTCTTTGAAGATGAAAGATCCCGACACCCATTAAATTCAGATGCTTCGTCGCTTAGAACTCGTTTCTTATAAGTAAGTCAAAAAATCCACTACCTGATCAACAAGCATTCCGCCATCGGGTTCTTCAATTGGTTCTTCGCCAAATTCGTGATCACTTTGTGCAAACCCAGCCTGTCAGACTTCTTAATTTCGTACAACAACGCCAATGCGTGATATTGCACCATGCTTCCCGCCTGCGCCGTTACACTCTCCTGGATTTCGTTGACCCACCTCTTGATCACATCTGGCACCATCTTCGTCAAAGAGATACCGCATACCAAACTGCTGCTCGCAACAAACGGGTTTTTGTCCACGATAGCGGTTTTGAGGTAGCGATCGGCGATCTGGTTGGCGATCTGGACATCGAGAATCTTGGACAAGACTCGAATGGCGTTGGCGCGGTTGCAGTCGCTTTTGCTATTTACGTCTTTGATCAGTGATGACGTGACAATGAAAGCTTCTGTCTCGGAGGGCTCGAGGTTCTTGATCACAAGGTACCTTTATTTTGGAGGGAGGTAAAGAGGACCATACCTTGGTTTCAAGTGAACTATGCGTATGCATCCTCTTATCTCTCTCTGTATATCTACTACTCGAGATATCTTCATGTATCAATCATCAGGGTGAAAAATGTATAATATTATAAGGTCACAACAAGAACTGAAAATTACGTCAGCCTCCTCAATTTCGGATCCGCGCTCTGAAACAGCTTCGTCACTCCAAAAAAGAGTCCCGTCATGTCGTCTCCCGTAAATCGTTGGCCTTGGAAGAGCATGTACAGGATCTTCGTTATCAACCGACAGCATTTGTCCGTTTCGATCGGGGTTGCGTGAAATGCGCGTGCATCTAGGAGAAGGGTAGACTTGTCACCCTGCCAGGGGTTGACAAATTCCCTATCATCTGCCTTCAAGTTCTCCCGCAGCGCGTTTTTCAGCTTGTCCGTGATCTGATTCGCCAACATCTTGGAGTTGGAGTTGTCGCTGCTAGTCCTCGTAGTGCTATAGTATTTTTCTCTTCTTCACAAAGAAATAGACTGCTGCTGGTACAAGAAGTCCGTTCACAACGATGCGAACAAGGAAAGTAGTCGGTTGTAGTTGTGGTAGTCTCGCTTTTGCTTTCGCACTATGATGTTCGTTTCGTCCAAGCTCCTACTTCAGGTTTCGATGCTGAGGTTCCAATCGCAACCGCGCCGACTCACTTGAGTGAGAGCACCGCAAGACGCCTACCATAATGTTTCTTCAACCAACATGTTGATCTACTACAGTGCCGTAGTCAATTACTCACTTACACAGCCTACAGCACTGCTTTCTAACCTAGATAGACTCATCACAACATGAATCCATCAAGTTCTCACCATCTATTCACAATCCAAAATGACAAAAAGAAAACCTGTGGGCATTGTCGGGCATTGACGTTGTAGACACGCTAAAATTTCTGAATTTTCAGTTCGGAAGCTACAACTACCAAGTACAGGGTTCTTCGCGCGTAATTGAATTCTCTCGGGCCAGCACCATCTTCAAGATCGTCGTTTTTCACAACTCGAACTCGCGCAGTGCTTTTTGTGCAGAGTCCATTCTGATTTTTCATCTCCATCATGCTACAGGTGGAGCTACTGCCACGGAAAGATGAGCAAGGACATAGAAACAGATTTCCACATTACACGACCACGCATAAAAAGCACTTTCGGTGGTCCTGCCGTCTGCATTTCATTTCTCTTTCCTCTTCTACTCTTACACCCTCTTCAAGCCCAATTCTCAAGGATGGGCCAATTTTGATATCTGGTACATAGCAGATTCAGCATTACCGCGACTTCTATGCACGGTACAGATGCTACATGTGATTCTTTTGGATTTTCAGAAAGTTATAGAGGATCGGATGGCTCTTGTTCTTGGTTCATGTGTCATTATCATGATGTCCTGAAGAGTTCGTAGGATTCATTCGGTCACTGCTGCTTGATGTAACAAACACTTTATTAGAAGACATCAAGCAGCATGCAACAAGTAGAAGCTGTGACATCTTCATCAAGGATGAAAGCATCTGCTTCGACGTTGTCATTGTGTAGACATCTTTTTTACAACAAGTTCGAACATCCATGCACATTCGTGTGTAGTCTGGCAACTTCTTACATCGAAATCCAAAATTAACTTACATCTTAATGCTTTGAAGCGATGTGCGGAAGTTCGTCTCGAGGACATCGAGATCGGCGCTTCTAATATCATTCTTTAGTTTGTTCTCATTCTGAAGGAGGTTGTCCTGATACTTCTGATTCTGCAAGGATGTGCTTCTTTTACTTTCTGTTCCTTTTCCTATTTTTGTTCGTCCAGACGGACACGAACCTTTGGGCTTCTCCTGATGGCCTTACCGTCTATACGATCCTTATCTTGCATGTACGACAAATCGGTTGGCTCACAACCACAGTCGGTGGCCCGAACAAAGGAACGCTGAATCGCGGACATTCGACATCGACGGCCTCTTCACGAAATCGCTTAATATTGCTCTTCACAGCACGAGGATTATCGAGATGCCAGTCTTGAGTTGGCTCGTCTACCTTTTCAGCCTGGAGATCCTCACTGCTGAGCTGCGTCATTCGAAGGGTGAGGTTAAAACTGTCCTTGAGTCATCGCCCTGCGCAATCCCCCCGCCGCCACAGGCACAGTCCATCATTCTCCGCAGGCAAACGCTGACACTGCGCTACGATCCAGTTCAACATCGGCCATAACTGGTGACGGAAGATCTTGAGCGCGTGGGCCCTTGTAAATGCCATTTCGTCCATTGTCTCCTTTTTCTTCTTCTTCGCCCGGTTGCTCCGAAGCCGAAGGTTTTTTGTGGCGGGGTCGTTCCAGTGACTTTGCAAAGGTCTTATCAAACGCACTCTCATCCGCGCGAACGTTGAGTTTTCTATCTGCATCAAGTCGTTTTCTTCGCCTTCGTCTCCATTTTGAAGTGGAGAAGGAATTTCCGTCCAATTTCTCTCGCCCGCGTCGAGGCCAAGAGCACGAACCAGCTGGACTACACTTTCCACCGAGGCATACCCCCCTTGTTCGCTCTTCAGACGCCTTTCCGCATGTCGCCAGGATTCTGCCGGGTCATTGAAAACCGAAGCCGGCTCAAACGTTTCGACAACGAGATTGGCCTCAACTCCAAGTTTTCGTGGAGTACGGCGCCTAACCGCCTCTAGCAGGTCCGGGAGGACAGTGACCAGGTCCACCACGCGGCTCCTTTACCAAGACCGCTTGGAACGATCTTTGCAGCAGCTTTGGACCTTCGAATCTGTCCGCTCGACGCCAATCCTGCTCCTTCAACACTCTGGATACCGCATAGCGATCCAATTTCTCCGCCCGAAAAGAACAGAACATTGAGAAACAAGGAGACTATGATGGCCGCACGACCGCCCATCATTTCGTTTAGCCTCTCTCTCTGTGTCCGAGATTTGAGTAAGTAAATAAAACAAATACGATCGAGCATTCGTCAAAGGAGTATGCGTCTGTTTTGCAAGTGGTGGCTGGTGTATTTTGCAAGGGACCAGGGACGCTCTCAGGGATGCGAGCGCGGTAGCTCTAAATTGCTGAAGAATCTTCGTGTGCCGAATCTTCGTGTGCCATTGTCGAAAAAGATCGAGCAAATAATTCGTCAAAGGAGTATGCGTCTGCTGTTTTTTGCAAGTGGTGGCTGGTGTATTTTGACTTCTATCTTTGCTTTTCCTTTTCAGATTATTCAAGTTGGCTCACATCAGTGGAGTGGGTAAACGTTTACTTATTGGGGTATGCCCTTGCTGATGATTAGCCTTTGAATGATTAGAGCATCGTGATGATTCATATCCGAACTTCTGAGCTCCCACTGTAATTCCGTGAATTTGAGGAGTGGAACCAATACATAGAAAAGGGAGACCGATGAAGGCTCATTCAGTCCTGCAATGGACGAATTGATTTACAACGACGGATGACAACAATGAGCTAGTAACAGCCTGTAACTCTTAGCCGAGCGTTCTACGTTTCCGATTCTCCGCCCAGGGAACTTTTGATAGACTCTGTTCTTTCTCCTCATTCTTCCGTACTACTTGTCTGTTTTTAGACAAAGATCTCTCACTCCGAACTACCCAGCGATAGCAAAGACTGCTACCGAGTAATTGCAATGTCAGGTTTTAACTGAAATATGTAGGGTAGTTTAAGACCATGAGCACCATTCGAATTCGTTACCGACCAGCTGCAGGGACCTTCCTGCAGTTCTTCGGTGGCACGGCTGGCATCACTGTGATTCTAGCCCCACCACTGCTTTTCCATATACAGAAGCATCTTGCCGTAAGCCGCCTCGTCTGAAAGATGCTGTTGGGCAAATTTCCTAGGTCGATCTCCCCACATGTTTTTGCGTAGTGCGTTCACAAACAAGGCAAATTCCTCTGACACATCTTCCGCACCGAAATCTACGATGTGGCCAAGGTGCTGCATGCTGGCAGGCACTTGCGCCTCTGCGGTGGCGAAAAACGGTTTATTCATCAGCACCGACTCGTGCAGAATGCGCGCATTGCAGTCGTTGCTGCTGTACAAAAGCGTGCCCGCCGCGTTCCGGTATACCAAAGCCATCTCGCGCTCCGTCAGACTATTCAGAAAAGTACACTGGAAACCTTCTATTAGAGCCACATCTATGCAAAAAGAGTACATGGAATCGATATAATTCTGGATAAACGCGTAGACATGAGACTTGAACCACGATTCGTGCTATTGACTCTAAGTAGTACCACTAGTCTCCGCATCTTGAGAAAAAAGTGACAATCTGACTGCTGCGAAAGCACACAGCAATTTCCCCCAGAAGACGTCGAAAAACATTCATAAGCTTAGCCGCCCTCTGAGCTGTGCGCACCGAACAGCAGTTTGTGAACAGTAGGTGACGTTCCCACCACACGCTCCGATGAAATAGACGTGCACACCTCTTAGTATCTGTTCCGTCTCCGCGCTCTCCCGTGCGCCGTCCCGGTGGTACAACATGTTCAAAAAATCCAATTGCCCTTTGGCCGGTTTCAGCAGTGCCGGATAGATTAGCGCACTCTTGTCAGGCGGAAAATGGAGGAAGCGAGGAGGCAACCGCGAGGCGGTCATATTTGCTTCAGGCAAAATTCGCACTACCTTTTGCTCCCGTGTGCCATCAGCCTTCTCGCGGAACTCATCCATGCGAATCAATCCCTTCTCTTTCTTCTGCGCGACAGATGAACTTGATGAATTTTTCCAACCTCCCTGGGGCGAGCCCGTTGCTGGAACGGGCACTCCTGCTAGGCCTTCAGTTGCCGCTTGTGACACAGTTTCGCTCGCGTTGAGCTCCTCGGGTGCTACCTTCTGCCATTCTGTTCGCGTCTGATTAGGGTAAGGCAGCGTCGACACGTCAGTGACCCCGTAAGCCCTTGCTAGGGCTTCTTCGGTCTCCTCCTGCACCTCAAGGACTGACCCCGGAGCCGCGAGCATGTTTTCAAGGATTTCTCGATAGCGGGGGTTTGGCGGTTTCAACACTTGGTCGTCGCGTAGGACGGATATTTTCTGCGCCTCAAAGTTCCGCACTTGTCCTGGGGATAAGTTGTAAGTCGGATATAGTATGGTTTTCTTCGCGAAGATCCCTCCCCGTGCCTCCGGGTGCATGAAGCTGTTGACCTCGAAGACAAAAAGAAGATCGAAAGCCTTGGCTTGCAGTAGCGAAAAGTTTGCGAGACCTTGACGCAACGACACGAGACATCCGCGTGCATCCATGCGATAAACAGTCCGATTTACGTCGCGGCCAGCCACCCACACATCTACCGTCGCGTTGGTCAATGCGCGCACCCAATATGGCAGACACCAAGACCCGCTACGACACACGCAAGGATTTTCCTCCTCCGGTTCGTAGAAGTAGTAGAACATGACGCTGTCGAAGTGTACAGTCAGACTATTTTCATATTTCAGGTTCCGCTCCACCGCTTCTGTGGTATCAACGCCGATAGGCGCCCGCAGTTTCTTGGGTACCACGAGGGGCGGCTTCTGCCCCTCCGTGTTAGCGTACAGTGTACGCACCAACTCGTCCCTGACCGGCCAGGACCCTAAATCCAGGCTTTCCGAAGCAAATAGTAAGTACGTTGCTTTACGTAGTAGTTCGTGAGCGATGAAAAGGAGCAAAAAAGTTGTGCTTACACGAAGGATTGACTTCAGTCTGCTATTTCTTACCGGAATGCAAATGCCGTCGCTCCGCAGAGGAAGCTACGGGAACCACTCCTGGACCTAAGTGAGAATCAGTTACTGAATTCCGTCACAATTCCATATAGTATCATGAACACCATACACTTTAGGTCCGTCTCTTGTGCGATCGAGAGGTAGACGAGCGCCGTTACCACACCACCTGCGCATTGATTAAAGATGCCTGGGTCGTCTTCGTAGCGATCGTAGACAAGCGCACAAATTTGCATTGGGTCTTCGTCACCCTCTGTCAATTTCATATCTGACATGCGCTGGATGCTGTTCCGCAGCCGAACCATCTCCGGAAGAGCTGCGCATCCCGGCTCCAAGTTGATAGGCGGATCAGCTGATTGCGTCGTGCCATTGATTTCTGAAGTGGACGCCGCACCAGCATCACTGCTGACGGCACTGCCACCATCACTGAGCGTCCTTGTCCCAACCAGGGCGGAGCTGATTTCCTGCCATCGGTCTTGGAGAGATCCGCTACCAACGCTAACTCGCTCGCTGCTTTGTCCTGCCGACGGCGGCTTCTGCAGCGCGTCCTGTTGCGCCTCGTTCTGCCCTCCGACCGACACGCCGGTCAGCAGGGTAAGCGGCAGGAAAAGCAAACAGTAGGACCATGGAAGGTCCCTAGACGCTACGACACGAAGACCCTGGGCGCCGCATCCTTGCCGCGAAGTCATTCTTTACTGCAATAACTACCTCAAGTCATGATCATTTGTCATATGAGTTTACCACCACGACACCCTTCTTATCACTGCCGGAGCGAAGCCTTGTGCAGCTCTCTCGACCTCATAGATTGAATAAAAACCCATTGCACTGCTCGCTCTAATCTCTCCAAGAGTAACAGCTGCTCTCTGCCTTCCTCGGCTTCACCGTCACCATGATGAGCCATCAACTCACTTCATTCGCTGCCCAGCACTAGAACACGTCGATCTCTGCGAAGTAATCGCCTGAAATTACCTGCCACTCACATAAATAGTCACATAAATGGTTCGAGAGTGACGAGAGCCGAAAATTCCTCACATTTTAAGACCAAGACTGTTTTTGCGCTGAAGTAGAAGCTCAAACGGAAAATTGAAGCTATTTTCGGTTACGCTTCTTTGGTGGTTCCGATTGTTCTTTTCGCAGTTATGCGCACCATGACGTAACTTACGAGCGAGGCTACGCCCACTTCCATCGCCGACCTGAAATCCGGCTCCATAGTATGAAAGAGCGACAAGTGATCCGTATCAGAGGTCCGCACGCAATGAAGCATTAGTCCTAAGAACATTCCGAGTGCCTGTGGTAGAATGTGGTTTAGGCAGTTAGTGGTCCTTGGTGAGCCGGATTTTCTCAAAAATTGCCAATCCTTCGTCTTCCCGTCTGCGAGAAAGGCAAGGCCGAAACTGTCAGATTGGCTGGGTGCGTTCTTCGGACTTCATCGCCCTTGGACGTCAGAAGACCATCGTGAACTTTTCTCATCATGCTGAAGCTATACATAAAGATCATCGCCGATCTTCCGAACGAGTGAAGTTCTTGATCTCCAAGTATGAACCAGACACCTTGCTTCTCAGAGAGCTGGGTGAAAGTGCAGATGGTGCAGCATTGCCATCAATCAAAGATATTGAGCTTGCCAAGAGACCAAGCGAGGGAATGATCCACGGAGACCAATATCAGAGGGACAAGATTTTAGATTTTCTTAGCCGAGACGTCGACCGCAACCGATCCCTTCGGGTTCGGAATGAGATCACATTTAAAACTCCAGACTAGAGCTAGAGCAGTTGTTGTAAGTCCACATATATATAAAAGGAAACGTAACGCGTGGTACCTCGAAAACCACGTACATCCACATCTGCAAGTCCGAGAGCACTACTCTTTGCAAGTGTCTCGTGCCGTGCCGGAGACCTAGCGCAACCACGGGGTTTAAAAGCCACGTCGGCCGCCTCAGGTGAACCAGAAGGCTTACTAGCTGGTAGGTCCAGCCAAAATACAACCATCCGTCGGCACTTGGAATTGCAGTCCTTCCTGTGTGCACGAATTCCAAGACTGCCCACGAGAGCACTGTCACAAAGAGACATTCGTATTTTAGGTGCTTCTGGAGTGCGGTAAAATTCCTTGCGACTCGCTGGTCCTTTGTTACCCACGGTAATATGGTCTCGGAATTCTGCACAGCCGTCGCACCACACAAGAAGACCAACAAGAGCCCATCTTGGACCGCTTTCATCTTAGCCAGCAACATGATCAGAATGACAGTGAACCAAATAAGTCCGATCAGGATCTGCATCCAGTCCTTCTGGAGTGAAGATGCACTCTGCGGCAACATTTTCCCCTCGAGTTCGCGTAACAACTCTATCGAAGATACGACAAGTCCACGCACTTCCTTGTAAGTGTTCGCTATGACTTACATGGACATATAGATTTTTTGACTCACAACTAAGAGAGATATACTTTCGTGGCAAATTACTCAAAGTCTAATCGACGCATACGCTCCGTGATATATCATTCGTGAAACAGTTTTTCAACCAACATCCAAGCAAGCACGGGAGTAGGAAGAAAGAAAATATAAGCAGGGGGCCTTCGCGTTCGCCGTTGACAGTCTAATAAGCAAACTTTTCACCGACATGCTTTACATGCATAAGCGGCCCCAAACAAGCATCGTCTTGATCGCTGTGAGAAATAGCTTTGGCGCAACCACTTGGCTTGTTTGCATTCTTTTCTCATTCCAAGACTCCAAAGTGTTAGAGATTTCGGTTCTAAATCTCGCTTATTTCCAATTTTCTACAGCTGTCACAAGGAGAATGAATGCATTGTGTCAAAAATACAAGTTCTCACCATCTATTCACAATCCAAAATGACAAAAGGAAAACCTGTGGACATTGTCGTGCATTGACGTTGTAGACACGCTACTAAAATCTCTGATTTTTCATTTCGGAAGCTACAACTACCAAGTAGAGGGTTCTTCGCGCGTAATTGAATTCTCTCGGGCCAGCACCATCTTCAATCTCGTCGTTTTTCACAACTCGAACTCGCGCAGTGCTTTTTGTGCAGATAGAGTCCATTCTGATTTTTCATCTCCATCATGCCACAGGTTACTGCCACGGCAAGAACAAGGACAAAGAAACAGATTTCCACATTACACGAGCACGCTTAAAAGGCACTTTCGGTGGTCCTGCCCTCTGTATTTCATTTCTCTTTCCTCTTCTTCACTTACACCTTCTTCAAATCCAATTCTCAAGGATGGGCTAATTCTAATTTGATATCTGATACATAGCAGATTCAGCATTAGCACGACTTCTATGCACAGTACAGATGCTACATGCGATTCTTTTGAATTGTCAGAGAGTTATAGAGGGTCGGATGGCTCTTGTTCTTGGTTCATGTGTCATTATCATGATGTGCTGAAGATTTCGTAGGATTCATTCGGTCACTGCTTGATGTAACAAACACTTTATTAGAAGACATCAAGCAGCATGCAACAAGTAGAAGCTGTGACATCATCAAGGATAAAAGCATCTACTTCGACGTTGTCATTGTGTAGACATCTTTTTTACAAGTTCCAACATCCACCATGCACATTCGTGTGTCTGGCAACTTCTTACATCGAAATCCAAAATCAACTTACATCTTAATGCTTTGAAGCAATGTGCGGAAGTTCGTCTCGAGGGCATCGAGATCGGCGCTTCTGATGCCATTCTTTAGTTTGTAGTTCTCATTCTGAAGGAGGTTGTCCTGGTAGTTCTGGTTCTGCAAGGATGTGCTTCTTTTACTTTCTGTTCCTTTTCCTATTTTTGTTTGGGTCCCAGAAGATGTGCAGCTGGTTCAAGAAGTGAAAGTGTTCTTACAACTTGTAGTCGTAGTGGTTCACTTCTCAGCCTTCGACAGTTCGAGGATCTTTCCGATTCCGACAGTGATACCTTCGTCACGCAGAGTGAAACGACCCATCTTCTCGCACCCAGCGAAGGAGTCCATAGCTGCCTTGCGGTCTAGCGTAATGACACACTTCAGGACATCTCCTGTTCTGGCGAACTTAGGATTGGCAGTTACTTTTTTCTTAGGCTGAAGGGTCATGGTTTCAAGGAGTTTCGTGATCTCGCAATCTTCAACAGCGGTATGGAAGTGCACGACGCAACGGTATCTGGATTGAGTTGTTAGGGGGAAGAAGGTTCATCATTGTTGAAATTAGTTTATTCATGAAGAACAAACTTCATAAATATTTCTCCTTTTGCATGAGCAATAGCAAGCAGTAGATGGTAGATACGAGAGGAGTTCGTTTTCTCCTAGGAGAGTGAGGTCAATGCAAGATAGAAATTCAAAGTACCCTGAAGTCAATAGATTTCTTCCTTCGACCAGCTCCAAAATCTTGAATTGCGCTTTGAAGCGAATGACGGGTCTAGCTGGGTCTTTCACTGGGCAGAGCACGAAGCCCTTTCGCGAATCCTCTTCAGCGATGCCTCCTGAGACTTTCACCGTAATATTTTCTCCTACTGTTGCATAAGCGACCTCTTGCTCGCCGATTATGACTTGGACTGCTGTGCAAGTTTTGCCTGTTGGTTGCACAATGCACTTCATGCCTGGAGTGATTCTTCCCTGTTCGACTTTTCCGATAGCCATCAAACTACCCATATCCCTGTATCCCTCAAGCATGGGAATACGGAGAGGGGCGGTAGCCTTGGCGTGGACACCTGTGTTGAGTAAAAATGTTGGTTGAGTAAAAAAAATGTTGAATTTCTTCATGTTCGTTCTTGTAGAAGTTGAAAAGATGAATAGCTAGATGAAGTTGTACTCGTGATGAAGAATCAATTGGAAATTAATCACAAAGTAGAACCACACTCATTGATTTTCAAAAAAAAAATATCTCTTAAAAAGAAAATCCTCACTAGTTGTCGTAGTACCTAGATCCAACTTATCGATCGTCTCGAAGAAGGTTTCTCCAGTGACCCAACTTGGCGAGTTTTTTCTCTCCTTCAGGTTATCGCCATTCAAACCACTAATCGGCAAGAAGATGACTTGGTCATCCTTAAATTGGCACGCGGATTTGAGGAAAGGCTTCATCTTTCCTACGATCTCGTCATATCGTTCCTGCTTCCACTGCACTGATGGATCGTCCATCTTGTTGACCGCGATGATGAGCTTGTCAACACCCAAAGTCTTGGCCAGGACTGCGTGTTCGGAAGTTTGCCCGCCCTTTTCGAAACCGGTTTCGAACTCACCTGAGTGATTATAGTTTAAGTTACTTAGACTTAGAAGGTAGGAACAAAAGATGATATGAATGGTTCCGGTATTTGGTAACCTGAATTTGATCATAAGGGAAAACAAGAGGAGAACCCTTAGGATCAAATTCAGGCTATACCAAAAATACCAGAACCATACATGATAATATTTCAAGTTGAAAGAAGTTTAAGTTACTTAGACTTAGTAGGAACAAAAGATGATAATATTTCAAGTGAAGAAGTTTAAGTTACTTAGACTTAGAAGGAACAAAAGATGATAATATTTTAAGTGAAGAAGTTTCGGCTTGCCGAATACCTTTTCTTGCCGAGATAATGAGCACGCCAATATCCGCCTGCGAAGCTCCGGAGATCATGTTTGGCACATAGGATTTGTGCCCTGGTGCATCTAGGATCGTAAACCTCTTGTTTTCCGTTGTAAATTGAGCTCTTCCGACTTCGACCGTCTTTCCCTTTGCCTTCTCTTCCTCCGAGGTGTCCATAATGTACGCCAAAAACCATGAATCTCGGTTCTTCTCTTTGGCTTCACGTTGGTATCTGAGGTTGAGGCGGAGGTTCTCTCAGAAACAACTACAACGGAGACAGATAGAATAGATAAAGAACTGTCGTGAAATGAAAAAAAGAATGGCGCATTGTCATGATCTACTACATTTTGATCGCAAATGATGACGTTAGTCGGTTCGGCCTGGACCTACGACTTCCCTGAACAATAAACACAAGTGCTTAAGCAGAAAGTACTTCTCAATAGTTCGGTCATCCACGTAACCCGTAAGGAAGAGAATATTTCCACAGGTTGTGCTTTTCCCCGCATCAACGTGACCAATGAAGACGATATTCGCATGTGGTCTAGAATCCGGATCCGGCAAGCTTCCTGGAGGCTTGACGACGACTTCTTCTTCTGTGGTGGTATTGTGAATGACAGGTTCGTTGTCAAGAGTTCTTCGTTGTGTTCAACGCGATCGAAAGAAAAAATGTTGCTTCAAATTCGATCTCAAAGAGGATATGATTGTCTTGTAGAAACAAAGATGACAAGAAAAAATTTAAAGGACGAAAACACCCATCAAGAACATGATACGTAATAATTCATAATGAAGTTGTTGTACCCGCTTCTGGCGCATCATCTGGTGACGCTTTGTCTGGCTTTGATGATGCAGCGGCTGCCGCTTCCTCTTCTTTCTTCTTTGCGGCTGCCGCTTCTTCTTCTGCCTTCTTTTTGGCAGCTGCGGCTTGTTCTGCAGCAGCGGCTGCCTCTTCCTCCTCTTTTTTCTTAGCGGCTTCAGCTGCCTTGTCGTCGTCGTCACTCACATCGTCATCCCAGTTGTCGCCGTCGTCTTGCTGTTTCGTATCTGTTGTTGGTGTACTAGCAGACCCCTGCTCAGCAGCTGGGGCATCAGCTCCTGCGGATGGTGCTTCTTCATCTTTTGCAGTTGGACTACTCCCCTCGGCAGCTGGCTTGGAACTAAATGTCTTGTCTAAGTCCTCTTTGGACATTTTGATTGGTGCTGCTTTTTCCTGAGGCTGTGCGGCTTTTTTGGCTGCAGCCGCCTTGGCGGCCTCTGCCTTGGCCTTCTTTTGGGCGTTGTACTCCTCCAGCGTCATTTCCTTGGGCTCCTTTTTCTTGTTGTCGGCATCTGAAGTTATTGAAACAGGACAAACTCTAGAATTGCTTTTGCTGATAAATCAATGCATTCAGACAGCAAAAAGGTCAATTGACCGTAAAGTAACGAAGAAAATCAATAAGATACAGATAGACTTTTAGCATGTTGTTCTAAGTACTTATCGATCTTACTAAAACAAGGTTTCTTACTCTTCGGGCTCTTGCCATTTCCCTTGTTTTGTGGTTTCCATCCGCCTTTCTGGCCTCCATAGTTATAATTGTCATAACCCTGTTGCTGCTGACCCCAGTCTTGCTGGCCTTGCCATTGCTGCCCTTGCCATTGCTGCTGGCCCCAGTCTTGCTGACCCTGCCACTGTTGCTGGCCCCAGTCCTGCTGTTGGCCTGTGATAGGTTAAGCGGTGGAAGCGGGGATAAAGTTACACTATCACTTTTGTTATGAGGTGACTTGAACTTGAAGTGAGGGATGCGGATCGAAAATTGTTGTAGTTGATAGAAGCTTTGTAATACATCAACATTTGTCTGACGACTTTTTTCATAAATAGAAGATTCTCACCTGTCCACTGCTGTTGCGGAGCCCATTGCTGGCCAGGATAGAATTGGCCGTTGCCGTAGTACTGTCCGTTTCCGTAATTCATTTTCGATTATAACTAGGTTTTAACATGTACAAAAGTATGTTGAATGAAGATGAAATACGATGATCGAACGACAAAAAGTTTAAAAACTTCTCACGTAGCGTTCGACCAAAAATCTGTCGCGGGAAAGAAAGGATGGGATTGGGAAGATGTGGTGGATGTGCGAACAAAGAACTCCACAAAAAGTATGAGGTTGTGCGTGTGGTCGTTTAGCTGGTGATAAAAGCAAAAAATAACAACAAAAAGTCGCTTTTTTGAATGCAGATAAACTGGTTCAAACCAAACTGGTGGACTGTTCTGCATGGATCACAAGACGAGGCGTGAGAGAGAGCAAAGAAAAGCCCACATAAAGATGATAGCAGGTTCGAGGTTCAAGGCTCCGCGTGTGAAGATTACAATTCCAAATTGGAGGAGGACAGTACCATCTCAGAAGCAGAAAAGTTGTGATGAATGATCAGTGGCATTTGAATTCACAGAGTGGAATTCGAGGCACAAGAACCACGATCGGAGTTTCTTTTCATTTCTTTCATCAACATTTTCAGAGTGCTGTGTTTCATTTCGTGGGGATCCAGATCATGTGTTGGATTGATACTCAGTCGTCGGATTTTTCGAACAATTTCGAAAAACGGTCTACTGAAACGCGACTTTCGCATTTCGTTGCCCCTGTTTCACAACGAGATTGTCAATAGACACGTGTCTACCACCACCGGCTCTCGACGTCGTTCTCGTTCTATGTACTGTGCGGTACTTATCCTTTTTCCACTTCCGACTGTTCACGTTGCGCTTCAGCGTTGAGTAGATCGATGTGTAGCGCGACTGTGACATTGTTCGACTTCCCGCTGTCCGACCGTCTTTTCGATGGTCATACTACAATGCGAAAAAGCAACGCTTGTCGCCATCTTTCATTCGAGGAGAGTCAGTACGAGACTACATATTGCAGAAATACAAAAGACAATCAAACTGTCTAGGACTTACTTAATATGTACACAATAAAGCAAGCGACCAAGGAAAAATTGATGTTAAACTTAACTGCAATGAAAATGATCTATTGATTGAAGAGAGACCAGATAACGGGGGACGCGAGGGAGGCCACAATCACGGCCGACAAACAGAATCAATAGGCCAACAGAAGAAAAATCCAGCTGCAACAGCCATTTGCGTTGACAGAGTTCAAACCGGAATGTCAGACTCAATCAGATCGGAGCCTCTTGCTCGTGGATGAACCACAACAGACACTTCCTTGCAAGAACCGACATTTATCAAGAACATTTTGATGTATACTATCACCTAGTTGCCACAGATATAACATGTCAGCACGGGAGACAGCGGCTATATCCACAAGTAGAACAGGACGTGTTGATCCTGACGTCGACAGTTCGGGCGAATGGCATTCCTGCTGCTGCCAGCTAGGCCCTAGAAGTTTCTCTATCGGTAGTTGACCCCGGTGTGCGGTGTACCAAAATGACCGAGCTCACTCGTCTTGATGCAAGTCTTTACCAATTACTGAGTCCGTCGTGAGGGGTGATGTGATAGCTTTAGTCCATGCCTCCACATCAACACCCTCCACTTTCCATACCAGATGTGATAGTGATTTTATTGTTCCATTCTTTCTTGATAGTTGCCAAAGCCAATGTCTATAAAAATTCAAGTCAGAATGATGCCAAGTCATAAAAATTTGGGAAGAGTGTCAATGCCATTGTCAAATCTATCAAACCGAAACTACTGTTCGAAATGACCTCGCCTAGATCGGCTCACCACACTCTGTGTCAACACTCGTACATTTTGAAAACTTTATATATAATGTGTAAGTATGTGCTATGAAAAATCTAAATCAAAAACAACGAAACAGACGTGAGAAAAACATTCTTGTGAATCTACCTATGCACCAACAAGTACAAATATGCGTCTACACTGTTTTACTACGCAACAGAATCTAAATGCGCCAACCTCAGCGTCAGCAAAGTGCTTATTCTAAAACGACTTCTACATTTCTAAGCAAACTCTAGCTCCTCAAATTTTCATTCCTTGCAGGAAAGACTTTGCCTCGTTGAGCGCCTCGATTTCGCCAGTCATGTGCTCCTGGCGGGAGGCGAAGTTGTCGAACAAGAACTTGCAGTCGGCATTCCACTGCTTCAATTGCAAGTCCTCATTGTACTTCTCATCGATCGCGAACTTCTTCTTCTCCGTCTTTTCTTGCAGGTCCTCTTCAGCGCTGGCCGTGGGTTAGAGCACACAACATGATACTAACGCTACAACTGTGAGGCTACTTCGACCAGTGCAGAAATCTACTAAAACTAATAGATTAGTTTAGAAGGCAGAGCCTGCAGCTATCTATGATCATTTGAAACAGATTAAATTTTGGAATCCCTTTCTTATCCAGCTATAATGCATGTTAAAGTGTAGTTTACCCCATGATCCAGCTATAATATTGAGTCCTCATCATAATTTTCATCCCGCAACTGCGAGTGAAGCGCCTTCTTGTCCTTGATGGACAGGTTGGCGTCCGTCACGGCTTTCTCGTATTCGGATTGGGCTGCCTTCTCGTTCTGAATGCGGATTGCTGCACTCTTTTCGGCATCGGCGATGATGCTCGCGATCATCGAGAGAACCTTGTTGCCGCCACCACTCTTCTCGTAACTCTTGAAAGCCGGTTGGGCGGAAGAAGAATCGGAAGAAGATTGGAGGAGAAGCTTGGGAGCGTAGACCTGGTTGTACTTGTAGTTGAGAGGAGTTTGAGGAAAAAAATGTATAAAGCTTAAGTCATAAATTATGTTCTTCAAGTTGCAACTGCAGAATCTAGATCTACATCTCATTCTCAAAAATCGTCTATAAACTTTAGATTTTAGTAGTACCTTGGCCAGCACTTCCTCGGCCTTCTTCAAGACCTTGATCGAAGCCTTCTCATCCGCAAGCGCCACCTGGTAGTCCTGGTTTTCTTGTGCGCGGATCTCACTCAGTTCCTTCAATCCGGCCTCCTCCTTCTCGATGGCTTCCTCAGTTTCCTTCATTCCCTGTTCGAGACCCTGGATCTTGATCTCAAGGCGCTCTTGGGCGGCAGCGAGGTTAGCAATATCGTTCGCGAGGGCGGTGGTCAATGCGGTGCGCTCGTTGATTTCGCTCGTGCACGTATCCTTCTGCTTGACATCGTCGGCCATCTGCTTCGTGATATCCTTGACCAATTGGTCAATTGCGAGAATGACTGGGGCGAAGGCGTTGGATTTCACCTCGAAGTGGAAGGGGATGCTGGTCGTTGTCTTCGGATCAAAAATACATGAAATGGAAAAATACATGAAATTGAGCGGCGTTTTTTACCTCTATTGATCATTCTGAGGCGAAATTCAAAAAAGTTACCTTCTGCGCCAAGATGAGCAACTCCTTATTGGCGAATCGGTTTCCGGCGCGACGCAAAATTTGCTGGGCTCGCTCCACGTTTGACAAATTTTTGTTCTCGACCTGCAGGAACCCTAGGGCGCGACCGAACATAGCATGAGCTTCGTAGATTAGAAGATGATGCAAGCGTTAAAAACAACCTATTCGTGGTGGCGCCGACGGACCTAACTAGAAAAAAGAAAGACCAGTTAAAAACAACAACATATTCACGTATATTCGAAAAGGATCACTCCTCCTACTGCTAGTGGCGGATGCCCACGCCTAGTGTACGTACAGTGTGCTAGTGTACAGCTGAGTATGAATGAATGAATGAATGTACCCACTCCAGGGGTTTAGAAGACACTACTACTGGCTATTTCTTTTTGCAACGTGGGGCCATAAATCCGAGTTCAGGAACTCAAGAGCCTTCGCAACGGCATCCATCTCCTCAGCCCGTGCCTTGGTTCGCTCTGCGAATTCTGCATCAGCGAGAGTGCAAGTCTCGGTAGCTTCCGCTAGCGTCGTCGTATCTGCCTCCAGTCCAGCTTCGCATTCGGCCTTCTTGGCAGTATTCTCAGCCAGTGACTTGCTGGCTTCAGCGAACTTCCCCTTCTCCTTCTTCAGGGAAGCGTTGTCCTGAAGGGCGGGGGAGGGGTCGAGGAAATGGTGGATGACGAAGAGACTGCTCACATCGAGGTAGTGGATGACACGAAGAGACTGCTCACAACAAGGTCGTGTACAAGGTAATAAGGGTTCATCCGGTTGATTCAGAAGTACCTTTAGAAAATTTAGAATTTCCAAAACATGATGCACGACAGGAAAGATCGTCCAGGTTACACGACAGGAACAAATCGTCAAGTACAACGAAGGGTTCTCAACAAGTACCTTAGCGATCATGTCTTCTTTCATCTTCTTCTGTGCTGTGAACTGGGCAATAGCGGTCATTTCCGTTTCCCTAGACTCCTTTAAATCCGCGGTGAACGTATCGAGCATATTCTCCAGAATACCGAAAATTTCGCCGGACTGGGAACTATTTTATGGAAGTAATTGTGTATGGAAATAACCCTTTTGCGAATAGTCTAAAAATCGGAAACGAATACCACTACTCAATGCGGACAGATGTTGTATATAGATTGTTGATGTATATCGAAGTTCAAATCTTTAGAAAATTTAGATTTTCCATATTTTGCTCACCTGTAGGCGGAGAAGCTGGGCTGCTGGATGAACTCTTGAATAGTTTGCTGCTGGCCATCAGATAACTCTCCTCGGTGCTTGAGGTTCATGAGCTGCTTGTATTAGATCTAGTACGTAGTTTCTTTTGTGAGGGCAATATCCAAGAAATTTTCTGTTGAGAGAGACTACGAACTAAGTACTTACGCATGCCGCTCTCACAAAGCACATTCTTGGATATTGTTGGTAGTGAAGATTGAAATAAACCACCATAAATATTGGATACTAGTGTGTTTCGGACTTGCTGATATTTTTCGTCTGTCTGCAGGAAGGAGTTGTGTTTTTTCAGAACCGTAACCGCTGATTTCAATGCGCCAATAGCTTGTATCATCTCCCGCTCCTCCGTTGAGAAACTGTTGTATTGATGTAGAAGAAGATATTTCTGAGATACGGCGAGATGGTGTTCCTTCCGGTCTGTAATTTTTGCAGATGGTTGTTCTTAATCACCGTCGCCGCAACGGATCTTTGCGTACAAGAGGATAAGGTCAAGGACTGAACAACGATATTTACTGAGCATTTTCATAAAAATTCGTTTTCGGCTTTTTTGGTGGCATTGCCTCGTATTCGTAACCACTCACACCACCAAATAAATATTACATACTTCGTCATCTGCTGGTGGCTTAATATTATGACGACATTACCTAGCAAGCTCCTTCGCCCTCATTTCCTTGGCGTTTTCTAATGCGTCTGTATTTTCCGCAATAGCTGCTTCCAGTGCTTTCACTTCTGCTGCAGCAGCTGCTTTTCGCCCTGTCGCTGCTTCTATATTGGCTGTTGACTGGCTGATGCACCTCTTGTTGGCTTCGATTGATGCTTTTGTATCCTTCTTTGTGGTCTTGCACCAGCAGCCCATCTTCTTGTACGTTGCTTGGTCTTCTTCGCCCTCCGTTTCGAGCTGCGTCTGCATGTCTTTCAACAGCTTGATCACCTTGGACACGGGCCTCTCCTTGAGCACGGCGTTGGCCGTTCCGGCCAGGGACAACAACCGAACCACACGACGGCCCATTCTCGATATTTGATCCTTTACCACAGGGCCCTAACTAGAAGTAGATCAAGATACTTCTGTGGGGCTACCGGAATTCATCCATAAAGGACGGGAAATTATTACAATAAAGCTTCATCTCTCTTTAATCAATTGATCGTAAGTATGCGCATTCTCTCATCAATGCTCTCTCAGTGATCCTGCGATGACCTGTAGATCTCACACAGTAACAAATCGCTCAGAAGATCGTGACTGGATCAGTGGTCGCGTATCAAGCAACAATATTTCAATAGTCGATCTCCGCAGCGAACCTGCTGTTGGCGAGAGCAGTTTCGGTCAAATTTCCTGTGCCATCACAGGTTGCTATAAAGTATTTGCTTCGGTCATCTGGAAAAAGAGGTTTTCGTATGTTTCAATCTTCATGCGCAAGCGAGTACGTAGTCTTCATTGTATTCTGTGTACTTTACCACGTAAATCTGCAACGAAGAAGTAGTCCTTTCTCTTGGAGCTACGTCTGGTGATGTCAATGAGTGTTGTTGATATCATATCTCTTACTTTTTGTGGTAATCGTGCTCATTAAATCTGTTCAAGTGTTCCCTTCGTCAGAACTGGAAATTTTGCCTCGATCTCGCACAGTCAAACTACTTATAGCACTACGAATAAAACGGACGCGAAGATGTTACTATGCAGGTATCTTCAGCATTCGTTTTGTATTTGTTGATGATTTTAGTCCCCCGATGTTCTGTGTCTATGCGAAACAAATCGATCAAGGAATCATTTTTTTCATGTTACATACTTCTTGCGTAAAAATTGAGAATTTAATTTCGGCCGAATAAACACATAATAGATGATTAGAGAAAACTTACTAGCAAGTAGAATGTGACAATAATAATAAATACTTAGTTTTGTTAGTCTCCCCGAGGACTCAGAGTCGAAATATTCATAGGCTATACATGCTTTCCTTTATTTAATAGTACAAACACATAACTTTCATCTTCCAAACAAAATCAATCACGGCGCCCTCCTCGCCGCCGTCACGGCATCCACCACACTCTGCGGCACCGCTGCTTCCAAAATCAGTTCCTCGTCTCGTAAAAATTTTTCGTCTTCTGCAAATGTTTCTCTCTCCAACATATCACCTCTCTCAATCGGTGTAGAGGAATAGAGTCTTGGCATGCCAGGTTGCAAGTGGTCGTATCCAGCGACGTAGGGTGTAATCACACCAGGACAGCCAGCTGTGTATGCAAGAAATTGAATTTTCGGTTCTTTGAATTGTGGTTGTTTTTCGCCACTTGTCTTCCTTTTCACACATAAAATGAGAATGTCAACAGGAGCATCAGATCATAATCGATCATAATCGATAATAATAGTAGTAAAGTTAATCCAGGGGTATGTCATCACCCCTGGAAGAACGGAGGAAGCGGTCGTAGTTCCTTGTAGTTGTTGTATCAGGTAGGAGTGGGACCGAGCAGTCCGAGGATTAATAAGTGGACGAACGATACTACCAAAAGCGGCATGATCAAGTGGGAACAAAGTCTAAAAAGGGAACAACTACAGTAGTTCTTGTGTAAAAGTCTTTTAACGTGACCTCCTGTCGTGACTAATTTTTCCTGTGAATGAATCTTCAGTTCTACTAGTGGGCGAACATCTTAAACGAAGACACGACAAGTTTGAGAATCCACAGTGTTAGATACAATATACATAAGGAATTTAGTAGTAGGAGAAGCAAATAAATCTAGTAGTTGTAGGAGCAGTAGTAGTAAAGTTAATCCAGGGGTACGTCTACATCTACTACCTTCTCTCCGTCCAAACCAGAGATAATCGAGGTGTCTCTGTGCCTCCTCCTTCTTTTCGTCTTGGGTAAGATCTTTTCGGTGTTGTAGATCGTGAATTTTGAAAAGGCCGTTTGGATCTGCCAGTAGAGGATTGTCGCGGAGAGGAGATTAGAGAGTTCACACACTTCTAACAGATAGAGGAGTTGGGGAGTTGGAATGCTGTATTCTTAGAGGTAATGCAACTAGATGTTCTAGCAGTATCAAGAATAAGATCATTAACTAGTCCAGTCTGTCGTAATATTTCGAGCGCAGACACGCAATGTGGTTGCAGTTGAAGTAGGTCGCGCTGTCTCCAGTGTGAGCTCGGCGCAGCATCATCTCTTCGTAGCTGACTGGTTCGCCTTCGGTCCCCCCTGCCCTAGGCTCGTTCCAACTATCTATCATGTACAGGGCGAGGAAGTAGAGTCCAAAGTGCGCCGCTATAAGCGCAATACCGCTGTCGTTGAGGGATTTTAGAAAAATTTTTATCTGAGAAGTGTGGGTTACTACCAATTGACTTTGATACAGAGCTATCGAAATAACCCCTGCCTCAGCAAGGAAGAACTATAGAAATAACCCTCCTATGAAAAAGTTCTTCTTCTTCACATTAAAAATAAAAGCCGCATAAATCCACATATCCCCTTCTTTCTGCATACGTGGCCGCGTTCCAAAGGATTTGACCGAGGCCAACCCCCCAGAGTCTAAACGCTGTGCGACACGCAGAAGGCGAAGTAATGGAGGTCCGTTTGTACAACCGCACTGACGAATAGACAGTGAGCAGATACATGATGCACAGGACCACGACGAGGCCGACGAGCAGGTAGGCGACGGCCCTGATGGTAGAAAATAGAAGGAGGTTATGGATAAGTATAAGATATGGTTTGGTGCAAGAAAGCATGGGAAGAGGTAGTGCTCAACCATGAATATAGGAGCTAGTCCCTGTTATAACCAGAAAGAGAAATGGACGTAGAAAATTGTCAAGTACTCCACGTCTAGCCAGCACCACACCACGAAAGCGAAAAACGTCAGCAAAATCGTCACGTACTGCGCCGGATAATCAAAAGCGTTTGGTGATACCAACTTTTCAGCGGATATCCGCTCATACATCCGACTTCGCACTACATTCCGACCCACATACGCCGGAAGCAACACGTCTAGTATCAGGTCGAAAAACAACACCGAAAACACAAATGGCAAAAGGAAATCCTGCGCTTCCACTGCCAAGAGGGAATGCAAGTCGAACTTCGAGTTTTCGTTGACCGCATCAAAGACTTTTCCAAGAGTGATAAGCCATATGATCCCGATATCAATGATCAGCATCCCGATGACGCTAAAGTACGTCGCCACGAAGAAAAAGACGTTCCGCGTCTCCCTATTCGTGAACCCGACCCAAGTGAAAACCGCACCACCAACTCGCACAATGTGCATCGCGCCTATCGCCGAACCAAGACCAGTGAGCCAATCCGTGATGAAATGCAGCTCTTGGCCAGGCGTTCTGGCGTAGACGATGTTCAAGTACGCATTGGGTATACTCAGGAGGACGTAGACGAACAGCAGGACAATCATGCTGCCGACTGCTACTACAAGTCGTTGAGCGCGGAACTCTAGACGCCAATTCACATTCTCAGGATCTGCGTCGACTGGTGACAGGGATACGTAGTGCTTTCCGCGGAATGGTAGGAAATCAGCATCAAGTTGAGATTAGAAAAAGAGGTTGAGGCTGGAAGGTTTCAGCAATTTATTAGACTTATGCGGATACTCTGAATCTGTTCTGAGTTACATCGACGTCGCAGTTATAACTTTACCTCCTTCTAGCCATAATTCGACAAAACCAGTTCCCGCATTTCCCTTGTTGCAAACGTGATGTACACTGTCCCATCCGTTCTGCATTTCAACAGTTGCGCAAACAAAAACTGTTCGTCTTTGGCCGAGAGGCGATCTACAAAAGGGACGAGAGCAGTACTGACAGGTCCAAAACCAAACAGCGCATCGGTTTGAGGCGTTGGCCGTATCAATCGCCTATGACACCTACCACAACATCCGATTTCAGCTTTTTTCTTTCGTTGTCCTTGTCCTCCAGCTGCACCGGGTCTAGCCGTTGGAGAACCTGTCGGAGAACTGTGTGCTTGGCTGACATCCTCCTCTCCAGACGAGTCTGATTCGTGACCATTCGCATCAGGATCATCCTTATCTATCTCGTCGTCTTCGAGTACGTTCCCCCGTCTGAGACCACCTTCTGCCGCTTTTTTCTGCTTTTTCAGTCTCTTCTCCACTCGCATCTTCGCACGCATTTCCTGAAACCCATGCGGATACTTCTCTCCCACAGGGCCTGCAAAAGGCGTGTTCCCATCTCCATGCGAGTCCTCCAACTTCGCTGCTTCAGTTTCGTGCCTCAGTCTCAGTGCCTCTTTTGTCCGAGGTGCATCCATTAGCAACCGTTTCTGCACTTCAATCGCCGCTCGTTTTTCTTTTCGCTCTGCCTTCGTCAGTGCTCTTAATTCTGCCTTCGCCGCCGCTGTCACGGGAGGAGCAGTGGGAGTGACTGGGGATTGGTCGTCGTCGTCGTAGAATTAGAATGATTTAATAAAGCAGTGGGAGTGACTGGGGATTGGTCGTCGTCGTCGTCGTGAAATTAGAATGATTTAAAGCAGTGGGAGTGACTGGGGATTGGTCGTCGTCGTCGTCGTGGAATTAGAATGTGAATGATGTAAAGCAGAAACAGACTAATGTGGAACAAGTACAGTTATTTTTAGAACAACGACAATGCGCATCCGCATACTAGCCTTAATCTTCATTCGAACTATCATCTCCCCCATGACCTCCCTCGTCGTCGGAAAGCGGAGGCCCTTGAGCACGGATATCGAAAACGCGCTTTGCTTTCTTATTACAGTGTTCCTTGAGCATCTGCAGGACTGCACGTTCGATATGCTTGTCGAAGTTGATTGCTGGCAAGTATCGTAAGGAAACTCCGTGGGCATGAAAGGAAGGAATCAGTGTTTTTTCGTCCTGTCACTGCTTTGAAAAATCAGTTCCGTTCTGGGTCTTTCTTCACATATTATAAATATAATCCTTCATGAGGAGCAAATCAAAAGCACGCAGGACTACTTTCTGCAAAATCAATGTACAATATGCAGAATGCAAGGAATGGAAAAAAATACTCAAAAAATATATCCTCCTTCAGCTTCATAAACTAGTCTTATCCCAGGAATCCACTCCATCAGCCACATCCTGATCTCCTCCGTATCCACACCGTCAGGAAACCCAGACCCGACTAACGAAAACTGCCGAGGACTAGGAAGGATTGAGTCGGTGGTTAGAAAAAGGGATTGGAGGACAGTCCTCTGGCTTGTTTAGTGATGTTGAAACAAATACTTATGGTGACGGTGAGATTGATAAGATATGTTTTCACTAGAGAGTAGGAGTACGAGTACTATTTTGCTGTGTACAATTCCATGCATCCAGAGCCTGCCTCATAACAGAAAGTGTGATATCCGCACAACTGAGAGATAGTAGCTGAGCGTCAGCATGATGGCTCCCACGTATACCCCCAGCATCCCGGCTGCCATGGCTTCTTCATGCGCTTGTCTTTTTTGTTCTCGCGCATCCCCATCTCCGGTCTCTAGAAAGCTAAGAAGCGCTTCTTCCTCTCTAGCGCTTAAGCGTTTTTGAGCTCCCTCGATTTCAGGACTTGTACTTGGATCTACAACTTGTAGCCAGGTTGTTCCCTTGCGGAAAGAAGTTGTAGCTTTGTTGTTTCCTCCTTGGCCGTGTCGTGATGCTGTTGCGCTTGCTTGGAGGTTCAGTAATGTTGAGGATGAAGAAAAGAAGGACATCAAGAACAGGTAGCTGGACGAAGAAGAAGGAGTGGAGTCAGTGTCAGAGTCGTGGTCGCCGTCTCCACTATTGAGATCCCCGTTGATCATGCTCTTTGGTCTTGGGCTGCTTTTTCTGCTCCTTCTCGAAGATTCTTCCTCATCCACCGCGTCGTCCTCTGCTTCTAAAAAAAGTGCATCATCTCGATCTCCTGCAAACATGCTATTATTATTAGAGCTGGTCGTTGTAACAGCACATCTTTTGGAGCTGCATCAGGGAATTTTTTGGCGGAACAAGTTTTTCTGCTGGAAGTGTGATAGTCAAATCAATTTGAAAAATTGCAATTTGGTGCTCTAGAAAGATCCATACAATTTTACAGTTGTAGAGAGCCATCCATAGCTTCGTCCTCATCCCCCGCGTCGTCCTCGTCAAAATTGTCGTCCCTTGGTCGTGGGCTCCTTAAGCTAGTAGCCTTCGCGCTCTGCTCCAATAGCGACGGTTCGGTGGCGCTGCTCTTGCCTCTTTTTGGTTTTCTGCTACGAGATGAAGAGACAACGGCCACATCTTGTAGTTCCTTGTCAACAGTGTTAATACTGTCGTTTTCTGGAGATTCTTCGTGTTTCCTCACCGCGTTCTTATGATCGGCGTCCTCTGCTCTTTCTCTTTCTGCCCCAGGAGAAGACTCTGACTCTTTCTCCTGCACTTCATCGTCTTCCATAAGAATCAGAGGTCCCATTTCCATCCCAGAACCTATCTCTATGGCGTGCCTCCTGCCTTTGGTTTCGAGCATTTGAGACTTGATGAAAGCTATTGTCTTTTCCTCAATACCACCAAGACTTCGTAGGACCTGGTCAGCTACACCCGTGAAGATGCGAGTGGGCCATGCAGCATGATCTTGTTCTTGCATTCTACTTCTTGTTTCTGCACTAGAGGAAGAACGCTTAGGCCTCTTTCCTCGAGCGTTTTTCCTTCTACTCAGGGTTGTATCAATCGTTTCCGAAGCTTCCGACTCCTCGTCTAAAAATGAACTCGCCAACATGTTGCTTCTGCTGTGTATCTTTCCTCTTTCTCCATCCTCAAATTTTCTTCGATGGTGGTGATACTCCCGAACTTCCATAAACGAACGGATCGTACTAGTCCCGTTCGAAGTCGCATTAGTCCCGTTTTTCGGCGTAATCCCAATGCCATCTTTCTCATAGACTGCTGCGCACATCCGATTCACGTCGACAGCTGTGCCATTCGTGTACTTGGGGTGCGTACCAGCAGCTTGAAAACTTGCGAAATCCGAAAGAGCTTGGGATGTGGATATTAGAGAAGATTATCCCCTTAGGTACTAGTACAACTACAACATCAAATTGAAGCGACCATCTGACACTGAAGAATTCCATGTCCTCGTCATTGTATTTTTACAACTCGCTATGAAAATGAATGTGAGTTGAACTAGTATCTAATAGTAATACTCATCTTGGAAACAAAACTTTATCCATAAAAACAGGTTCTGTCCGCTCACCATATACCGCGTAATCCAAAGCTGGGCAGCCAAAGCAGCAGACACAAAGATGACCAAGCGATGGAAGGCGAAAAGATAATAGTGTGCGGGCCCAACCTCTGTTGGCCCAGGTAGAAGCATCACGCGAGCAGGGAAGAAGGCGGAGGTTAGAAGAAGAGCTAAATCGCTGCTGGTGCGCTTGATTAATTTTTTTACAGACTAGCATCGCGTCGTGTCTGGATGAAGGTTCTCTGGGGAGAATCAATGTAGAGTTCCTCTGGTGGAATCGGACTGGTGGAATCGGACACTAGCCTTAAAAACTTGTCCAGTTTCTTGGAAAAAAACACCTTGTGTGGTTTACAGCATCTGCGGAACTCGCGTGCGAAGTTGGAGGTTCTCGCATTCACCGTAGGTCTGCAACACAGCTGGAGCATGTATCCGACAAGAAACAGGAGAGAGAATGAAAGAAGAGGATGTACTTAGTTCATGTTGGGTACTGGGTCGGCAGAAGAGAAAAATAGTTTGAAATCAGGTGGACGACGTCGTGGTGTGCTGTGCTTCATACCTGATCTTGAGGGCTCTAAGACATTCGTGACAGCGAGTTGTAGGTACCAAATATTGTAAAAATCACATCTTTCACTTGTTCATAAAGACAGCACAATAGCCCCATACTGGATGTCCTCCAACTGCAGCAGCATGCGGTTCACACAAACAGCGCCTGAGCCAGTAAGCTCAAGACCATTTTCACAGCGATGACAGCGGCCACCACTATTGGTCGCGTCGCATTCCACACAGCCAGGAATCAAGTCGTCGCCTCTAGACCTCAGATTAGATGAGAATGTATTTTTTCCTTTAAAGCATCAGGTTCAGCAATGCCTTTAACCCTCCAGGAGCCCCCAGCCACTCCAGCTGTCGCCGTCGCTTCCGCCGTGCCGAAGACCCTTCCTAGCTAGATGTTAACTAGCTACTTAAACCTACCTAGTGAATTTATGTAGTCTAGATAATCGAAGTCAAATTTGCAGAATATTTGAGTGTGAGTATACTTTTTGGTTTGATAACTATTGGTCGCGTCGCAGTCCACACAGCCAGGACCTCACGTTTTGTTTTCTCATTAGAGGGAAACTTTGGTGAAGCGTCGTGAGTGTGTAAGTAGTTCAGTTTCATAACACACGGAATCGAACATTCTCTGCTTTCAGGATGAGCGTAGTGGCGCAAACTGTGGAAGTCCCCACATTGACTTGGTCGGACGCAGACTGGGGATTAGAGCTGCCTATGCCGAAAGCAAATATATATTATATAATATGTCGGATGCAAACTGTATAATATGTCTATAAAAAGCACTCTCATACATAATTGTAGCAAAAACTATCCCCCAGGCGTTGAGTGAAGGCGCACTCAGCCGGACATTTCGCAGCCAACGGGACAGCGAAGGCGTTGTCGTTTGAGCAGGAACAGCGTGCCGTGATATCCTTCGCTTTGGACCTATACAAGTCGATTTCGTTCTGAGTCGTCACATTTGTAGCTGCATCATTTTTCCCCATCTTTAAAGTTTTTTTCGCCATTGCATTCTTCAGAACATCCAGTCAGGACTGTGAAAAGAATCAGGAATGTTGATCACTCTCTAATGTCTGACACTTCTGTGACTACTAGCTTCCTTCTTATTCTAAAAAATGTACTGTACTGTCGTGGGAACCCTTAACATTTCCCCTTCTTTGATCTTGACCGCATAGCTCATGGCAGCTATCCATCTCTGAAGATCAGCCTCACACATTGAGGCACGTTGTTCGGCTGGAGTTCCCTCTGCCTCGAAAGAAGATGTCCCGGTTAACAAACGCATCGCAGTGTAGTCTGAGTTTCTGCTTCGACGTTCCTCTCGCATCAAAAAAGCTTTTAGCAGATCCCAAATGCCATTCGGAGACAGGTCTACTTCGCCGAAGATCCCTTGTCGTCTCGGAAGGCTATCGTCATCTTCCCCTTGGCCACTGGAAGCCGCACTTTGGCCTTCATTCTCTTGCGCCCTCTTCATGTATTCTGTGAAACCGCGTCTAGCGTCTGTATTCGGCGCGATTCCGGCACCGCCTGCGGAGTAGTAGGCCAAAGAACTATTCCATAAGGGGTACTCCTCTAGGAGGTGAGATAGTGTCATCCCACTCTCGTAGTATTTGGCGATGTCGGATTGCGTTCTTGCAGAGGAAAGCAAGTGCTGCCACGGGGGATGAATGGAGCGGGGAAGACGGTGCGACTTCAACATACATAGTCGTGATATGTATAATGGGTACCATATATCATATCTTCAAAGAGAAGAGTTCAATCACGTCCTTGCAGCATGCCTTTCGTCGGCAGAATAACGAACGATAAAGATGCAGTCGTCGTCATAATGTGTAGAAAAATATGCCCCAAAAGCGGCTTCAGCTTGTAGATCGTGGACGTAGTGGCTCAAGTTCATGATGCCAGACTCAAAGCGGATGCCTTTGGGTAACAAAAGACTCGTTCCTGTAGCATGGCCAGGCAAATTGACGATTTGCCCAGCTGCCGTCGAGGGGTGTTAGAGATTGCCCAGCTGTCGTCGAGGGGTGTTCTTCATCATTTTCGAAGACCGATGTTCTTGAAAAGAGTATGAAGTGGAGCAATCCTCTTTTCATCTGTGTTGTCATAATTGTTCTGTGCTTCCTGGATCATCTTCTTCAATTTCAACAGCTCCTCGTTTAGCCTACTTGTGTAGTAGCGATTCAATCCACTAGGACTGGTCTTTAGGGTGACGTTTCCGGTAGTAGGCATACCGGAGAGTTGAGAAATGACATCGCCTGCCTGTGACGTGAACTGCAGCAAGCGCGAAAAGTCCCAACCCTTATCTGGAGGTGTTGGTATGATGGTTGGTTGTAGTGGACGGTCGCTTGGTGTGGAGCATGACCACGAAGAAGATGCAGTCAAGGATGATAAGGTTGTCATCAAGTGAATCTCAAGTAAGTACTAACAAGCAGCTTTATGAGGCTAGCCGCGGCTGCATCTGGGTCTGTGGTGGCGAGGTCTTTAGCTTTCGCGACTAGAGCGGCTTCGAAACTTGGGATCTGGCTCAACCTTGGATACACATTCAGCTGCGACAAGAAGGCATCAAGTGTTGTCACCTTTAAAGCAGTTGCAAGAGCTGCATTGTCCGCAGATGTTGGATTGAGTATGACTGTCGCGTTTCGGTTTAGGGTACTGGAGATCAGAGAAGACAGTGTTGAAAGAGAGGAAGATGCGGCTGTGCTTGAGGCTGAAATCGCACTCCTTGTTCTAGCCGAGCTTTCAACTTGACCATGCTGCTGTAAATTCGTCTGCGTAGTTGATGCGATGCTGCGATCTGCTTCTCCCATTGATGGAGTAAGTGGGAGGTCATCGTCCTCTCTCTCCCGTGCAAGTGCATAGGCATCTACTTGCCGAACATCCTCATCTTCGTTCCGAGATTCTTCTTCGCGAGGTACCTCCAACGTAGCCAAATTGCTAACCAGGGTTGCAATAGTCTGAAGCGCGCGCAGTTGTTCGCCTTTTGATGGAACAGCATCTGCTCTGGAACTTGCGTGTGAAATAGCTCTTTGTGCCGCGACAAGAAAGCAAGCCAGCAATCCAACAATCCATGTTGGGACGGCGAATAGCCGTCCTCTGAGCCTGCGGGTAACGGGGAGACTCGACATCTTCATTCCTGAAGAGAAAGTCATGCTGGTCGTAGTTGCCTATACGAATTTGTCGCGTTCCTCAGCAACCGCCACGTCTTCGTTCGTGCGGCGTCGTGGCTTGCTGCTAGCATACTGGTGGCCTCGAGGTCATAGGACGAGATACAAATATTCAAAAAGGCAATCAATCACGTACGGGTACGCTGGTGATGGAACAACATACAAGGAAGTAGTCAAAAATAAATTCAATATAATTAACAAGGAGCTACAAGTGTTCTTCTACTAAGCTGGATGGGATCTTTGGGTATAATCACGTTTAGCGTGTCTTGGCTATGGGACATATTATTTTAAGAACATGGGAAAGGGGGCTAAGGAGTTGAAAGTGAAAGACAAGGAAGCCACATCACAATTTTTTGTTGTTCTCTACCACATGATGGAAGAGACAAGTAGCTTCAGACTAGAGTAGAGTGACAATTCTCAGCTCTCTCTTTACTTTCTCGCTCTCACTTAATTCTCTTTACTTTCTCGCTCTCACAGCAAGAATTATACCAGTTGCACTCGTACCACCTTCAGGTCGTTCCAGAGAATGTAGCGCTAGCGGTGCTGCTAGGGTATCCTCGTCTGTTCAAATTCTGTGTAGTTGTGTGATGTCCTATTTAGTCTTGAAGTGAGTCCTAAGAAATACTTAAGTCCACCTCGTTCCTCATCGACGCCCTCTTTCTTGCTGGCAACGTTCATCACTGAGTACTAGCCACAATAGATACGATAAAGATGAACACCATGGAGCAACTTTCCATATCTTCTAGAGAGACTCCAATATCTTCTAGAGACCCAGCACCCAAAATACCCAATCCCAAAGATCTACACTTTGCTCAATGAGTGTGCTCGGTTGTTTTTTGCATTTGCATAAGTTACCTAGATACCTCTATAATTGAATCGGTTGACGCTTGGTCGTTTTGCCTCCGTCCCTGTGCTGCTGTCATAGTGCGTATTCGTACTGAGGTTCAAGTTTGCTATTTTTCTTGTTCTAAATCTAATTAAATTGGCTGTATTCTTCGAGATGATTTTTCGTTCTTTCACAATCGGATTACTTCATACCTACGCTGATGCAATGTATGCTCCGACGCTTATATTACACTGGCTTTGGTTTTGGATGCACTTACTCATTCACTCTCGCATTAAGCGGGGCTCCACATGATGGGACAGCCTTACCCCTATGCATACAATAGTGCTCCCTTAAGAAGGTGGCGCTTTTTCTACTTCCTTGTTCTTCTTCCTTGCAGCTAGGTAGAGAGATGTAGCTTTCCGGTGGCTCCAAAAGCATGTGGCCTTTCTTCGACGACAACGATGCTGCATATTCCACCTATGCTACAAGAACAAATACCTGATCCGATTCCTAGGATTTAATAGAATGATGACAACGGCAACGCTGTCTATGCGATGAACATGAAGACAACGGCAGCAGCGTCTAAATGGACGAACAACTTCCGAAGTTGTTCGGTAAATTTCTGTATCCAAGAATCAACTTAGATGAAAGTAGGCTATTTCCCCTCAGGTTCAAAGTTGATTATATCATAACCTGTATCTTCTAGTTGTACAACTTCTTGTTCTACCTGGACTAATCCTCTCGTCCATCCCGGAAAATGAAGTTACAACCCAAGAAAAGAATGAAATTCTTTACTAATCCTCTCGTCCATCCTGGAAAATGAACTTACAGCCGAGAAACTTGGCTTTCACAGCCTGCTTCAACCACGGCTCCTCTGGTCCGCCCAATATGTCCAGGGCATGTTTGATTTGCTTTTCCACTCTCCGTTCTGGGTCGCCCGTCAGCCATGAGGGATTCACGAGCCGGCCCTCACTTTCGTACACCAGGCCCGTGTACAAGGCCACGCGCCAGCGTCGCGAGATTCCTGCCTCTTCCACAACTGGAACAAGCTGAAGAGGAATCTTTAAGACCCGCTCGAACTCAGTCATCAAAGTCCATCCGCCTTCTTCTTGTCCATCTTCTTGATGAAGATCTAGGTGATCCCCATCTTGATGAAAATCTAGATCCCCATCTTGATGAAGAAGGTTCCTCTCCAGAAAAAGGTCCGTGTTAATCCTCCTCAAAATCTGATGTCGCATGCGCACCGACGCAACCACACAATTCACAGTCAGATCGGCTGGCCTCCATGCGCGCTCTCCGGTTCGGACCTGAAAAATGTTCAAATTTTTGACAGTGTTGACCATATGCCTTGGCGTCAACACCCAGTAGTTATGATCATGAGCAGAGCTACAATACGTTATGATTCAATTCTTGCTAGAATATTAAGATAAAGATGCTATAGCTATCCCTGAGCAAGTAGAAGCTCATTGTCCTCTACAAGCAGCATCAAAAAAAGTACATGATCATCAAAATAAAAAAGTAGCACTACCGCTTCCCGCAAATCTTCCCGACTAGCGAAATCCGTGTTGAAAAGAAGTGGGTAAACGTTGGTGCCGTCTTTGAGACTCTCGTGATTGTGTCCGAAATGCGAGTCCTCAAGCGTCACTTCGCGAATCGAGATCTCACTGCGGGTTTTCACCAGCTTTGAGGGGTTCTGCTCAAGGAGCGCGGCCGCGCGTAGTCTTGCATCCGCCGCAAGAACCACGGCTGCAGAAGAAGCATTGCCCGACTGTTCAGCACCTAGACGACCTGAAGGGGACGCAGGCGCACCTTGTCGTCTTTCTTCGTCATAGACGAGATGAGCGAACCGCTGCTCCAAGAATTCATCATCATGTGTCTGTTCATCATGTGTCACATCATCATCTTCGGGGCTCACCTGGTCGCCTGTCCCCGATATAGTACCGTCGTCATCGTCCACGGCTTCCCACGTTATCACCCCGAACAAGCTGTGGCGGGAGACAAATCGCACACCTTCCACTACGAGTGGAGCCGGCAACTGTGGACGCATCTCTCCCTCTTCTTCATCGTCTTGAGTAAGAGGAGGATTTCCATCGCCATAGGGAAGAAGATCACCCGCATCACCGTAGAGGGCGCGTTCGCTTTCGGCAAAGAAATCGCTTTCGAGGAGGTGCTGGTCGCCTCTCGAGGCGATTCCGTCATCTAAATTAGCGGATGAAGGTGCGAGGCGACCTCTGTAGCGATCGGTTCGCACCCAGCCACCGGTTGCAGGCTGTTCTTGTTCTTGCCAGCGGGTGGTGCTCCCTATGAGCTCGAGAGTCCATGCTTTGCCGCTGAGCGCGTGCCTGATGGCTTGGGACCGAGCGGAAGATATTAACTCCTCCTCTTCAACAGAAACGTCGACTCCCTCTCCATCGAGGAGTCCTGAGCCTCGCGCCACCTCCGCCTCCTGTCCCGTGGCGGGGTCAGACAGGCTCAACCCTTCGACCAGTGCCAACACGTTGACCATGGCATCCTCCACAACCAGTCGTTTGCTCGGCTGTTCGCGGCTCTCCTCTACAAACTGGGTCCACAAAGAAAAGTCCAATTGCGTTTGCGTTTCGCCTGCACCAGCTCTGGCAATTCCACTAGTGCTACCTCTTCCAGAGTTGTGATGAATAAAGTAGTACTCCAATTGGAGCTGCACGGCCGATACTGTGCGGCGCAACCTCTGCATGTCCATCGTTAGGCAGTTTGACATCCGGATATTAAGCAGTTGCTGCACCCGCTCCGTGCCCATCCCGTAAACGCCCTCAAGGACTGTTCTGACGTTCGTTAGGATCGCTGAGGCAGGCGGCTCGCCTGGACTCGCGTCTGCAGGTCCCTGAAGGTCCGGGATGCTCGTCGCGGCGGGGACCAAAATCTTCAGGACGCGGCGCGCCACTGTAAACTTGGCGGTCGCTGCCCGGACCGCCTCCACCGCGACTTCTTCAGCATCATCCGCAGCGCCCACCGTCCAAGGCGGAAGCGCGTCACGCAGTTTGCCGTCCAGAAACTGCGCCAGCGCCTGCACCAACGACCGGACCGCGGAGTCGCTTCCAGGAAAAGAAATTTTAACGTCAAATGACAGTGGAGAGCTGCTGGTCGTGCTCCTGTTTTGGCGGGCGCCGCTGCGCAAGCGTTGGCTCATCCAGCTGTTGACGCCCTGACAAAGGAGGTAACTCGGGCCAAAAAAGACATTGCTCAGCCTCTGCAGGCTGAACAACTTGTACACCTGCGGCCGCGCGAAGCCGCCCAGGTTCCTGGCGGTCTGCCACACATCGCCCAAGAGCAGTCGAAAGTGCGCCACGAGCGCCTCCGCACGCTGAAGTAGAAAAACAAGCCGCCGATACTGCGACTGCTCCACGTGCTGCTGCTGCTGTCCTACAACTTGTTGTCCCGACTGTTGTCCACCAGTTTGCCGAAGGGGTAGGCCGTGTTGTGAATGACGCAGCTGCGCGCTGATGCCACTTCGAGCAATTCGCTGAAGCGGTAGTCCGCGCGGCTCGCCCTCCGAAGGCTGACCGTGTGTTTGGCGAGGTGGAACAGCGAAGACAGTGACTGCGGCAAGACGCTCGGTGAACTCCGCAAGCACGTCCTCGGGGTTGTCGCCGTATGCGATGAGCCGACTCTGGTGCTGGTCCATCGTGATACTAGAAGAGGAGATCCTCGTCCCTGCTGTTCCCGCAGCGGACCTCAGTCCAGTGGAAGCCAGAGGAGTCGTGCCACCTCCTGTGTCCGAATAAATGAGGCCCTCGGCCGCGTCTAGTGGCACACCAGCTTCTGCCAGTCGCTGCCGCATATACGCGGCTGCGCTGCCGAGTTCGTTCATCATGCTCGCGATGCGCTCGACTGCCTGCACAATGTGCGTCCCGAGCATCCCCCAGCGGAAGTACCGATGCACCGCTGGTTGCGCCCCTCCGAAAGCTCCTTGTTGCTGATGTGCTTGTGCACGACGTCCAAGAGCAGAGGCCCCTCCCGGAGGAGAAGGCATCGCTTCGGCTAGCCGATCGCAAACTCTCCTTGCTGACTCCACATTGTCGAACAGCAGTCCACGAAAGTCTTGCGGTGAGCGCGCCAAGTCTATCAGCCTTCGGGTGTCCTCCCACAGCTGCCGCCGCCGGGCATAGTCTTCGTCCGACCCGCTGACACCGTGCCAAGGGCTCCGGCCAGCACCTCTGGCAGCATCCGCAGCACCCGTGGTCGGTGGAGTGGGGGCCGCTGGCCGGTACCCGGTTCCTGGAGCTGCAGACGACCGAGTACCGCTAGATGTAGATCCTGGACCAGGAAAGGCGGACTGTCGGATCACAGTTGGCGAGAACAACGAGGATTGCCCTAGCGCTTGAGAAGGTCGGGGCGCTGGACCACGGAGAAAACCCACCAGCCGCGACACGTCGGAATCGCTCGCCGGATGCGGCGTTGTAGCAGCGTCGCGCGCGCTCAGCCTGGCGCTTCCCTGCATGGGCCTTCGTTCCAGCCGTGCGGCCCATGTGGCCGGAGTCGGGCTTCCTTCTGCTTGCTGTTGCGGTGCTCCGGATCCGGCAGCGGCGTTCTGCGCGGGCGGCCTTAGGTTTACTTCCTGTTTCTCCTCGTGTGCCATTATTTCCTCCAGACGGACGGCCGGCCCGCCAGTTTGGAATGGAGGCGCGGTTCCTGGGTCATGCCAAACACTCCTAGAAGACCGAGTCACGACGCCTCCCTGAGGCCCGGCTGGGCAATTGGCTCCTGGATCCCCGGCGGGAGTTTTATCAGCAGCACAAGCCGATGAGACTTGGGCCGCAACAATAGCAGGACTCGGTTTCGAGACCACGGGACCATTGGTGGGACAGTCATCACCACCAGGGGACGAAGTGCTTCTGTGAGGCGGCTGCGCGGAGGACGCAGCCGGGGACGGGGAGTTGTCCGACTCATCTTCAAGATCAGCCCAGGCGCCCGGCCTCTTTACTCGCGTGTCCCTTAGAGTTTCTCCAGGCACTCTCACTCGTTTAAGAGGTTCGGGGGATCGGGGTACCATTGCCAAAAACCCCGAGGGAATCGCGGAAGGCTGTGGAGGCGTCTCTCTACCAATTGGCCGGGCTGTAGAGCCAGTGCCGGTGGCTGTCCCTGTCGCCACTTCTCCTGCGGCAGAAAGCTGGGGGTCGGCGGCAGGCTCATAGTTAGCAACCCGCCTTTTCCTCATTTCCAATTCCTTGAGCATTTTTGCACACTTTTCAATTGCGATTTTCTCTAATTCCTGCGCTTTCGCCTTCCTCGAAGCTTCCGTCTTTTGGGCGAGGTTGGTTTTTGCCTCGTTGAGCTTTTTTGTACCTTCTGGATGTACTCGTCTTTGCCGGATCGCCGATTCGTTCCGAGTGTCTCTTGTACTTTTAGTATCTTCACTCCCGCCTGCGCCTGCTGCTTCTCCTACTGCTCCACCTTGAATGTGATGTGCTGTACCTTCTAATCCATCTCCATCACCTCTAGTACGACGGGTCCGGCCGTGAGCAGAACCCGATACTCCAGGGCCAGCAAAAGTTACGCGCTGGAGCCGCAGGCTGCTTTCTTCTTCGGCCTCGTCCCGAAGCAGTCTTTTGGCCTCGTCCCTTCTTGAAGACGCACTTGCCCTTTGCGCATGGGGCTCCTTCTTCGGCGCTGAAATTAACCCTTCTGCAGCTGAAGCCTGTTGTAGTTCAGAAGCGGAGGCTGCTTGCGCAGTAGACAGTGGGCCTGTCGCGGGAGACTCCTCGTGGGGCCCCGAAATCCCTCGGCCATCCGGGTCCGGAACTTCCTGGAGGAACAGCGCCGCAACTAGCGAGTCGCGAGCGAGCAGTTGGGCTAGCGTGTCCGCCTCTGCTTCCGCGAAGTCGTCGGCCTTTGCTCCATGTGCGGAGGGCGGTCTGCTTGGTCCCCTGGCGGCGTCGAACCCTCCGGCCCCCCGTGCAAAAGGTAGTGGCCAATCATCTGCTTCCGCTGGTCTTG